CGTGTTGACGTCCTTTGTTACACACTGGGTAAACAGTGACCACTCATCTCACTTACGATTTGTGTATGAAGTCTGGGCGGGGCTTACGGGTATAAATAAGGGATCACACGTTTACCTCACCAGCAGCTGAAAATCGCTACCAATTGGTCAACAGTGGGAGGGGCCTATGCAACATGATCGTTTGGAGGGACTACCTAACAACAATGACAAGTGATTGGATTATGACGGCTCGCCCACAACGCCAAGGGCCAATGCACAATTTATGACAAAACGTAATGGAGTCTCTAAGGTGGCCGTCTAAGACAGGTGTTTTTGCTCAGTGCAATAGGGGTTGTGTGTTAAAATTTGGTGGCCGCGGTCGCGTTGGACAGGTGCCCGTCTTACACAGTTAAATTATATAGAAAAAACGCAAGGGGGGAAATGGAAAGTGACCGTTTGTACAGGTGGCCGTCTTATAGAGGTGGCCGTCAGGGCAGGTTCGACTGTATATACAGGAGTATTATATCTGGTGGAAGAGTCTGAGTCATGATCATGCGTCATTTGTCTTAGTTGTAGGTCCGTTTAAGGTTACTGACTCTTTTATAAAAGTGTCAACGAATCTTTAACCATTTAACTCTCGTCTTCTTTTGCAGTCTTGCTAGAGATCCTAAATGGCCATGGTTTTGATGTGGTCTTTTTTCGATCTTTCTTTTCTTTTTTTCTGTTGTTTATTTTGATTTTCTAGAGTAAAAAATTCGAGATTGTAAACACGAAACGGGATCAACAATAGTGCCTTTTCCTTCAGCCCGCCACTCACCCCAGCACCAACAGCAACATTTAATGGGTTTTTGTTTTTGTTTTAGTTAGAGTTTTACGGCACTTGAAACACATTATATAAGGTCATAAAAGTGCCAAAACAGAAGTGTTACCAGAGAGTTACAAACACACAATTAGGAAAGAATAAGGGGTAAACGACACCAGATCATCCCCCAATCACCCACAATTAATTTACTGAGTGAACGTGTATCAATAATATTATATGTAGCCTTCATGCAGTGGTGGACATGCACGAGGGCGCCGATCGGGGGCATGGATTGAGGCAGCTTCATTAGGGACCTCAAAAGGGCTCCAGCCTCGTGTCTTGGAAAGTGAATTCTAAACTTTTAGAGACAATGTTAAATCGATGCTAGTGCTTGTAATCGTAAGCACCTCCTCCCCCCCCCCCACACGCTCTCCCTGTATATAATAATATGGCTATGATGAAGGATTGTTGAGCAAGTTTCATTTTTTTTACTTGTTTATTTTTTCACTAATGGGAAGGGACGTTGGAACAAAATGAATTCCTTAAACGTAAACTTTCCATATTCATGTTCTGTTTCGTCGCAAGCTAGGCCTACCGGTTCATATTATGTCGTTTGTGTTTCCCTGCCGTTTCATGTCATATTATATTACATTCACCGAGCCAGACTATTGCAGCATAACGTTTGAGCAAAAAACGGGGGCGGGGATAAGGCTCTAAACTAGGCCACCATGAGAAAGGGTTGATTAAAATAAAACATTGAGGTCAGCCTTTGTTTTTTTTTAGTAAAACATTTGCTTGTTTTAAGATATAATATTCTATTGTCCTTGTAGAAAACCTTTTCGATTTAAATGAAGCGCATCAACCGTACAAAACAGCCTTATACATGTACTATTACTAATAAATTAAATTCACTCGCTTTCCGAGCGTTCAGCATGCACCACGATCACTTCTCGAGAGCCACCAAAGATCGGTCGCGTCCGGATAGTTCCGTGAGACCACTCGCCAACTTTCGCTGATTTCCGGGAACGCACGACTGGAGAAAATATTGTGGAAGTTGCCTTGCTTGATAGCGGAGGCCGAAATGGCATAAATTTCTCTTTGTCTTCCCCTAGACAAAAATATGACCATGTGTGGTATTTAGGTGAGAACATTGCCATTTATTTAAAATACACACTTTATATTTAATGCCCAAATGGAGTTCAGGCTTGTTCTGCTTGCCGAAGTATGCCCGTGTTTAGACACTTGAGATACCCATTACTTGACCAAGACCAAGATCGTAATGTTTATGTTATGACTAGACTTGGTTGTGTAGACAGTCGACCAGACAGTCCGACTAGACATGACGTTTTGCTCTGGGCCCAGGTAGATTCTGGGCCTAAAACTCAATACTCTACCTGGTGCACTCCGAATGTACAGTGAGTCGGGTATTGTCAGGCGAAGGATACATTCCTCGGTATTTCACAAATTATTTAGATCTAGATTATAGACCTTGAATCTTGAATCAAGATCTTATCTCTCGACTGAAGAGTATTGTCTGGATCAGGATCTGTCCACGGACCACTGTATGATGAATAGAAGTCTAAATAACTTAAGCTGTAGTACTAGGCTACGGAGGATTTGGGCTTGTGAATAGATCCTACTGTACTACAGCCGAACAGTTGATGTCTTTTCTTGTTTTCATCGTCTAGATTAGATGATGTTGACCCGCTAGGCCGAGGCTGAGTCAAGTAGCCCCTCTCAGGCCTCTGTCTGTTTGTGTTGGATTTATAAGGGGAAAAAGTCTTACACTTAACTTCACTTTGGACTTTGGGTTTGGGTGCAGCAGTACTGTAAGGCATTGAAACATTTTCTTGGATGATTCCTTAAACAAAAACAAAAAACGAAGTGGCTATCGAGACTATTTGTACAGCCCCCCCCTTGACTATAATAGCTAGGCTTTGAAGGCGGCACACATAACTCAAACCGGACACTACAAGTGGACAAACTTAAACCCTGGAAGCCGGCAGGCCCTAGATCTATATAGGGATGACATACTTCGATTGGGAAGCGCACAGCTATAAAGGGCATAGATGCTGACCTTCTTATTTCAATGGAAAATTTCAGCATTCCTTTTATGGAAAATAATCTAAGGGCCGTACGCTAGGGAGGGGCCGTACGCATGAGCATGAGGGCCGAACGCATAGCCAGTGGCAACAAAAAAAGGATCATGTTGGTTTTGCTGAGATCTTCGTGAGACAAAATTCCAGAGCTCTCATAAAGCTACGTTAAAAATTTTAGATATATTAGGCCAGATAATAACTTCAAATTCAAAAGTCGTCTAGATCTAGACTCTATCGTATGCACAGTAAAAAAAAACCTGTTTCCTTTCGGAACTCTACCGTTTCGTTGATTCTACTCTAGCGATTACCTGTTCAAGACTGTCCACTATATTATATAGTATAGAGTATAAAGGTCTACTTTCCACTCTCCACCTTGTAGGGGCCTATTATTTTCTACATTGTGTGGTCGAGAGTATAAGTACCACAGATTTGAAGGGTGTTCTGAGATGACTCAGATGACCACCTGTCGAAGATAATCATCACCAGAACACAAAGAATGACTTCCCACTTCCTCTCCTATGCTTTTTTCTCTATATTAGAGAAATGTAGACACTGTCCAATAGGGTAATCTAAAATGACCGCTTTTCTCATCTTGGGCAGTTTCCGACTGTATTTTGCCTCAAGTCTGAGGTCATTGATGTTGGTGTCTGAAAGTTTATGTTTCTGACACAGGTAGGGGAGTTGCCAGTGAGTACCGATAAAATCAATTCTCTTTGCAGTGTATAATGTGTTTTATTATTTATTAACAGGAGGATGCCTTGGTAAACCATTTTGAAGTGTCCCGGCATGGGAAGTGCATCGTCCAAGTTTCGCAAACACCTCCAGTCTGGGGATGAAGTTCAAGCCCTACAGCTGTACAGGAACAATGGGGAGCTGAGAAAAGCTCTGGACCCCAACTGCTCCTATGGGGATTCGCATCAGCACGAGACTCCCCTCCATCTAGCGTCAAAGCATGGGATGCCCACCTTGTTAAAGTATGTTCTCTTCTTACTGTACCCATTGGGAGATCGGGTCAGGTTGGTGCGGTTTGCTAGCTAGATTGAGGGCGCAAAGCGACTATCGTGGCACAAGCTGGTTGCCCCCAACTCGTTTCCTAAAAAACAAACGCGTTTGTTTTCAGGCGATGAGTAAAGAAATCGACCCGACCCGATCCCATCCGTAATGGGCACCCGGTATTAGTTCTCATGTGTGTGCTTTCCATGTCTGGAAAAGCAGTTTCCTCATTTCTTCGTGATCAACCAGCGTCTAGTTATTGATATAATTTTAAAAAACTGTTTTCAATTATAGTTGCTTGAGCAATAGTGTTTTTCAGCTGCGGTGGTTGGTTCAAATGGGGTAAAAAATCTTTGAGGTCATATTATATAATTACTTCAAGTTTGCATCTTGCTTGCTTTTTAAAAACCCTCAATCATCATCATCATCATTGTTTTTGTTGTCCTCATCTTCATCATTTACACCCTCTGCTGATACTGACACACACATGTTATAAAATTGTTACCTGTTTGGTCTTTCCTATAAAAATTCTGTGGGCCTAATCTTTCTTCCTTCTTTTCTTTCTATGATACTTTCTAGTAGCAACACCTCAAATCTTAGACACTTATGATCTATTTGTGTTGCAAATACCATAAAACTCATACTCATACTAAAAGTAAACTAAACCTGTTTGGTTTTTCTAGGACCTTCCTGTTCTCCAAGGGTGGAAACCCAAATAAGACAAATGCAAAGAAGGAAACCTGTGTGCACTGTGTGTGCATGGAAAGTAATTGGCAGTCAGTCCATGTGTGTAACAGACGCATGGAGTGCCTAAATAGTTTGCTGAAGTGGAGGGGAGCCACACTGTCAGAGGGGCAAGTGGAGAAGATCGATTTGGGAGCACAAGATGAGGTAAGAAGATCGAGAAGGTGCTAGGCCTTTGTTGTCGGCTCTTGCTTCTGTGTATCCTGTGGTCAGAGCTCCAGTTGGTTCTTCGACCCCTGGTTGGATAGTTGTATTGGTGTAGTGTGGCTTGCTGAAACTTCTTTTCGTTATTGTTGTCTGTGAAAGTTGTTTTTGAAATTTAGCTTTTAAAGTTCAAATGGAGCATTTATAGTGCTGACATGGGATGGAATATAACTCAGTTCTCCTTAAAACACCTGCTGCTCCTGTTGATAATTACATAGTGTGGCAATTTGACATAATTTGCAGTTCAGTAATTTGAAAGTACATACTTGTCACTATTGAGGCTCCAACCATTGTAGATTAATTATAAGAATGAAACATAGCCATTGGTCTGGGCAGTGCAGTTTATTTCAATCTCTTGGGATAAATATATCTTAAGATATATAAAAATTTAAGTTAAATATTGCTTTGTGCCATGACCTTAAGTTATTTTTTGTTTACTTATGTAATGGTGGTTGTTTTTCAAGATAATAGTCTTTTTTTATTGATGTTTATTAGTGTATCTGGTTCCTTCATTTCTCAGAAATTGAACACAGCTTTGCATTATGCAGCAGCTTCGGGATTGGCTCAGTGTGTGGAGGTAAGATCATCTCAGTGTTCAATTAAAACATTTGGGGGGGGGGGGGGGGGGGTAAGTGTTTTACGGCACTCGCAACTGCATAAGGTCATATGAATGCGCGGGACACGTGAAGCTTTTTCAGTTGGTAGGAAATTTTGAATTTTGCCCGGGTGGCGGCCGAAACCTACTGTTATTGATTTTAAACCACCAAGGAATCTTTAATGTGCACAACTTGCAAACGGGACCTCCAAGATTTTTCGCCCTTGTCCAAGAAGGCTAGGTGTAGATCTTTCCTGCCAGAAGATCAGAGGTGTGGCTGAAAGACAGCAGTAAGAAGGAGCCAAGGAGTAGCAGTAGAAAGGCTGCAGAAAGAGTCAGTAGCCCAGAGGAGGGGGCAAAGGAGGTGAGGGGGTGAGGTCAGAAAGGGCAGACGAAAGCAGACGAGAGAACATTGCTAGAAGGAAAGGAGGTAAATTTAGAGAAGAAAAATTTTCCGTCTCTACCCGTATTCGAACCCGGGACCTTTGCATGAGAGGCGAACATATTAATCTCTAGGCCACAAGAGCCCAAGTAACGTGAAGAACGAGAAAATGCAACAGTCTAACGCTTGCACACGTATAGCTTTATCAACATTGAATTATATTTTTGTTTCTTGGAGCTTACAGCTGAAAATTCATCCCTTTTTTTTTGTGGTAAAGAATGTAATATGTATGTTTCATGTGTGTTACTATCCTAGTGCAGGAGGGTAAATAATACAAAATTTTGAGTTTAAAACTCTGGTTCAATCATTCATTTTTTTAATGAATCTTTATTTCAAAATATAATTTATAATTTCAGCATTGTTCTTTGTTAAAAATCTGTTATGATGTGCTTATCCTGAAGATGTAATTTATCACCAATATAACGGTCTCCGTGGGTGGTTGGCGGGTGCTCTGGTGTGGTTTGCTCCTTTTTTCCTCTAAAATACCTGTCATCTCTGTCTCCCCCTCATTCTTTTCTGTGTTTGTTACTCTCTTGTAACTCCTCTTATCTTCGGCTCTTATATGGCCTTATTGTGTTGCAAGTGCCATAACACTCTAACTAAAACTAACGGTCTTACTTTTTTTGTGATTCTGTCTACTCAAGAAACAGAAAGTTATTGGGCTTTTTGAAATTGGAGTATTGAATTTTTAGGGAAGCCCTTATATATTGCTTTTTGCAGTGGCAGTTACTTTACTTTTCAGTACTGATAAGGTATGTCAATGGCTCAGGTCTGCAGTGAAGGAAACTCTGATTTCATCTGCATCAGGGGGCTTTTTGGCTGCTCTTTTATTTGTTCTGTTTTCATTTGTGTCCTCCTTCCTAACTCTGTAAACTTTTGATATACGATACGGCGCATCAGTTTAGGTGGTGTATGGCATCACTCGGTTGTTTACAGTGGTAACAAAAATGGACGACACCCTAGTTAATTCATATGTATTGAAATTGTAGTTTATTCCATTGATCATTAGTTTCTACTCAGTTTGGTGTTTACTGTATTCAAATAGTTAATAAGTTAAATAGGAACAGAGTTATTGGGAAGTTTGTGATGCTAAACCTTGGATGACAAATTCAAGTATGGTTTAATGAGATGAACAATGATTACATAGGAGGCCCCTGCCTCTGTAACACCTCTATTCTCTATTTTAAACACATGTCAAATCTTACTTTACCTTAGATATACAGCCAGTTTGATATTTTTGTAGGCCTAACGGTAAATACAGTACAGGGGTTTGGAGAAAAGTTTCCAAATAAGTGTCTGAATTTTCCTTTGCAGACCCTTGTACAGTATGGGGCTCCACTGTTTACGGAGAATGAAGACAGCCTTACGCCTTGTGACACTGCTGAGAGAAATGGACATGCCCGGATTGCTCTATACCTTGAGTCGAAAATGGTGTTTTCAGTAAGAATAGCCTTTTCACTTGTCTTATATATTTTGGGCTCTTCCCTCGATAATTAAAGACAATTTTTTTTAGATTTACTGTGAAAATGTCTGCTATTTAGTGTTGCAAAACTTGTTTTTTCTTGGGTTTCTGTCAGCTAGTGTTTTTTTTTTGTAGGGAGGGAAAGAGGAAAGTTCTATGTAAATTGTATTGCATATTTAATTGGTCTGTACCAAAGAAGCAGCCAAGGTTGTTGGAACTTGATTTTTCCTTTATTCATCGTCAAACTAGTGTTTGTGTTAACTGTGCTGTTAATTCACCCAAATGTTATTGTGGTTTTACATTAAAGTGACTTTATGTTATGTATGCTCACTGAGAATGTTCTCAACACATTGGAATAATTATCTGTAGACGATAATAATATAGATTGCAGTGAATGTAATTTGGACATCGTTCGGGGTATTTCATAATTGTTATGGCAGCTATGATATGGTCTGCTCCTTCATCATTTCCAGTAGACTGTTCTCTTCTTGTATCTGTTGTTGTGTCTCCGGATGCACACTACTAGTCATCAAGATTCTTCTCTCAGACCCTCTCAGAGATGCCAACCAGTACGATTTTACGTATTTTAGTACGATTTTTTTCCGAAAATACGCGAATACGACTTTTCATGAAAAAATATGCATCCTGGAATGCGAAAAATACGAAATCCAGTTTGGGCGAGTAAACCTAATTATATCTCAAGTTCCCTCTTTTGTCAAAATAATATGAGTATCGCGGAACTGGAATATTAGAAATCCAAGTCCGATAAGGTCAGTAAGTTCATTTTTTCCGGTCGCGATTGTGACTATATTTGTTTAGCTTTTCCTCCTCCGAGAGTACGTTTCACTTTCACGCGAACAGGCGGCTATGGCGACAGACGGAAGTGTATGTGACACCGAGGCTTGATCGGGAAAATCAAGATCTACTTTCGGTTTCGTTACCACCGAGAAGTTTGCCAGCGGTAGACTGATAACACAACTTATTTGCGACGTGAAGGTTGTGCAGTGTAAACGCTGCCGTGCAAATAAAATTTCTTGAACTCGTCTCTATGCTGTCACTTGTAGGAAAAAAAGAAAAGAAAATACAAGCGTCGTCCGAGTTTTAGATTGTCGGGCTCGCCATCATGACCGGTCAATGAACCTGCGCGCATTCGCATCACAAAATAAATGTGGCATCGTGTGAGCAAAGACCGTGTTTGGTGGGAGTAACGGCGCTGCCAAGTATAGGACTACAGGAGGGATTATTGATTTTTTTTTTGTACACTCGAGAGGGGGGGGGGGGTGTGAAGGCAACACCAGAGGACAAAAACTTGGAGGCAAATTTCAGAATTTTGATTAGAGCTTTCTGCAAAGCGTGCGTTGGTGCAGACCGTGTGCGGAATCGGGACCCCTTATACTTTGCAAGTCTGTGTTATTGAAATAAAATGTTTGCGTGTCATTGGGTGGGTGATAGTAAATTATACCTACAGTGTATGTTGTAGCTTTCTGTTCAAGACTGGCAGATTGTCAGTGTCAGTGTCACTGCATCTTGCCCTCCCACAGTTGTTACAACTCTCACACTGCGTGGGTCTACTTGAGCCATTCAAGTTATTGCTCTTCTCTGAGTTTGAGCAATAATTTTAGTCTGTCAGTTCATAATATGAATCATGACACCCAGACTGGTTCTGGATAGTAATGATAGTCGAAATTCTTGTTCTAGGCCCTTCCGAATGCTCAAAACAGGATTAATTTTTTATTATAATAATGAGAGGGAAATATTATAACAGACTGAAATGCTTAAGTCAAATAAGACGTCAATACGACACTGAACACTGACACGTTGTTGACTGGATACATGTTTATTGTATGCGTATGTGCTCCATTTTTCGAGCTGGTGAGCTAGTAATTTTTTTCCAGGAAATATTGCTGGACACTTTACTGGTTGGTCGGTCGATCGTGAAGAATACACATTTCCCCATGAAAATACACATTTTCATATTTCCCAATACTCATTTCGGTTTTCTGTGGTTGGCATCTCTGCCCTCTGATGAAAGATTAGGGTTGGACTGCTGGAAATTTGTATTGGGTAATTCGTACCAGTAAAGAAAATACCAAGAAAATGTGATGTGAGGCACTCACCAAATTGAAACTGGAAAAAGCTTTTGTTTCTGTACTTTCCGTTGCACTGAAAATTGTCACATTTTTCACCGAAGACTAGTTTTCTTTTCTCAACGTGTTGAAAAGTCTTATGTTTAAAAAAAAATTTTTTACAGAGAGGTCATGCATGCTTTTTTTCTTTCCATTGCAGAATGAGGAAGAGTCTCTCAATGAAGAAGACAACGTTTCTATGCCTCCTATGGAGGTAAATAACTACATTATTTTATGTGTGTGCCCAGTTTGATGTGTGTGGATGTACTCAAAGAGAACCTTAGAATCTTTGTTTTTAAATACAACTGTTTTTGACAAGTTCAGGAGTTCCATTGTTTCTGTATGATTTCATTTGAAGTTTATTCCTTGTGTTTTCTTATATTTTGAAACAATAGAATACCAAGATAACAAACCCTTCTGAGATGTTAAAAAAAGAGGTTTTGAGTTTTTAACAATTGTTTACAGTTCATTTCTTACATGTATTGCCTGAAATTGGACATTGAAATAGTGGCTATGGAAATAGGCTTTTATCAATGTATTTTGTATGGAAAAAGACTCTTGATTATCATGTAAATGTCCTATATATTTAGACATTCTTGATCTAAATTGTAATGATGGGTGTGTAAAAATATACATTAAAAAAAAAGAAATTTTGAAATTCTAACCTGCACTCGCCTTCTGTTGTCCTAAATTCTTTCAAGTTCTTTGTGTAGTTGCGAGGAGAATGAATATCAAAGTTCTATACACTGTGCTCCTCAGGAATATTCTGGACTCCGGCCTCAAGACTTGCAAGAAGCAAAGGACCAGTTATTGGTGGAGACTGCGGACATGCTCAGTGTGCCTCTTTTCACTGCAGAGGCCTTATTGCGAAATCATGGTAAGTTTGGGAGCCTTCCAGCAAATCACAATATTTTTTTTTTGCCTTTACATACTGCTTTACAGAGTATTGTCTTCATAGTATTATCCCCTCTAGTGACTGGCTTTTGTGTTTTTACAGCTTTTTAGTAAGTTGGTGCTCTAAACAATTAGCCCCTTCACTGCGTCGCCCGAGCCTGACTCAGGCCATCGTATGTCACTATAATGTGTGCAACCTGAGCACAAAGAGACAATTCTGAGTAATGTATGGAGGAAACTATTTTCATAGATGACTTCCCCTTATATAAGGGACATCTGGGGAATGTTATGAAAGTGAAAGTAGAGGCCAAATCGCAGTCTGTCATTTTTAATGGAACTTTGTTGTTGATCTTTCCCATTTCACGAACAAACGTAATCTTTGTTGACATGGCTTCAACCAGCCATTCGAGGCTCCAAGCGTCCGTTCACAGCGTTAGAGGTATTGGACGAGGTGAATAATGATCCTGATAGTGATGAATACGACTTCGATGAAGGAAGTGAGATGGATGAAGACGAAGAAGACAGTGATGTGTTAATGAGTTTGATGGGAGATGCGATAGAAGGTGATCGTGCTGATAGTGAAGATTTACCAACAAGGAAAGAGAGACGTAGATCTAGATCTCAAAGTTGTTCAGAGAATTAAGGTATACCCCTGATAAGATCTAGATCTAGATCGATGTGATCTAGATCTATGATAATGATAATGGTGGAGTTGCCAATTGGGGGTTCAGAGATACCCCTGATAAGATCTAGATCTAGATCAATGTGATCTAGATCTATGATAATGATAATGGTGGAGTTGCCAATTGGGGGGACAAGGCATGGCAGAATTAGAGAGAGGGGATGTGGCAGAGGTCGTATTCCAAAGTGTTTTCAATGTTGACACAAGAAATCTATTTTTTGGTTGTAAAAATTACCAAAGCAAGGTGGAACACTGGATTACTCTTAATAAAGGTAATAATTATTATTTCTTTTCTTTTTTTTACTTTCTGCTGTAGAACCAAGAAAATTTTGCTATAAGTATGCATCACTCATAGCTGCCACTTTTCCGCCAAATAACGGAAACTCCGCTTCATCTAGCTTTTCCCGCTACTTTCCTCCTTCCTCTGCTGGACCGCTTTCGGTCACAAATTGCAATACTTTTTTTTTACCCGCGGAAAACACTGAAACAGGAGAGAGACGAAAACACGGCTTGCACATGTCCGCCCGTAGCTTTCTTCTTCCGTTCTTCTGTGCCTGCCTGGCACAAGTTTCACATTGTTTCTTGTGGAGCGACAGTGTCAATCGAGCATCGGGACGATAGCGCGCCGAGTTGTCTTTGAAAACGGCGTAAATTCAAGAGAAATTGATGCAGAATGCAAAAATAAAAGAAGCTGGAATAAGAAAGAAGCAGACGGTGTACGACTTGAAAAGTTCATTAGAAAATTGAACAAGCTGCTTGCTGCACTTTGCGTTTGGTGCGATAAAGAAATCGCTTAGTTGGCCAACAGTGGCAAAGGTGTTGCCTCCTTGATCCAATACTGCTCTACATGGATGCACAAGTTTAAAGTGAAAGAAATCTTTTTATGAGACACCAGCTGGCAACAAACACTGGATTTTTAGTCACCAAATTGTGTCAAATGCTTGTCAGTCAACTTAGTGCCTTAGTTTTTATTGTGTTTTTTTTTTTCAAATACATTTTAATTCTGTAGCCTATGGTTAAGGTTAACAAATATGACAGTTTTCCCTTCCAAAACCATGGGCTAGATGTTCCAATATATTGCCTCTGGATCTCACTGTTTTTACTCCGGCGTTCGGAGAGCGCGTGTACACCTTCGCCTGAATTTGCTCCTTTTTAAAAATTCCTGAGTGGCAGCTATGAGCACTCCAAAAATAACAAACTTAAAAAATTCTTATTTTCCATAATTTTGATACTACACCACAAATAAAATAATTTTCCTTCTATATATAGCACGTTTTTATGTACTTTCCGATATAACATGTATTTCTAAATGTGTGGGTGAAATATATGAACCTTGTAAGTGCAAAAATAACCAAATTATGCTCAATTTAGTGACGGTACCCCAAATCACTGGCATGCTGCTCCGCACAGGGGGATAAAATTAGCCCAAAGGGAAGGGGTTTAAACAAGAACATTTTTTCCTGTTTATATTTCTCTGATATGTGTCAAGCAAAATATGCTCGTTGTTTCACTGACTAGTACAGAAAGGGTTAAATGGTTCATAGGCTTGGCTAGAAAGAAGAAACACTGGAGGAATAATACTCATGAATTACAATACAAAATTTTTACCTCCTGGTAGCATCCCATATTCAGTCTGTCCACTTGTCCATTTGCTCATGGAATGCATGAGCTTGGTTTTTTTGGTCGCTTTTAAGGACAAGTAGGCTAACCCAGATTTCAGGGTTTTCCAGAAATCTTGACCTATACCAAAAGTTGGCATTGCCCTACTTATAGGAGAAGTTTTCTTTCATTGGTGTGTACATTTGTTTTGTTATAGAGAAAACTCTCCTTGTCCTTTAAAGAAGCTGAACAAGGGGCAAAAACTTTAGCCTCGATTTTCTCAAAACAGTATTTTTTGGGGATAGCCCCCTTGTTCTTAAAAGTGACTATTTGACAGACTGGTTATCTCAATACTTTAATTACTTTTCAGAATGGTCAAGGGAAACCTTGCTGGAAGCTTGGATGATAGACCCCGAGGCATGCTGTGAGAAATGTGGCGTGACCCCACCGTCCAGTCTCTTTAGTGACAAGCCACAGGTCCAAGAAAACTTGGCCAGCCCCCTCCCCTCCCCTCTCCATTCTGCCCCAACCCCCTTGGATGCTGAGGTAAGAGAGTTTATTTTCAAGAAAGGGGGGGGGATTTAGAGAAGCTTTTCCACACAATAATTAGCACTTAATAATAAGGGGAAAAAAAAAGAGATGATGAATACTGAAACAGTTCCGACATGTGAAGGAATTGGGTCAAAAGCATGATGTATTAGAGAAATTGTCTGTTGAGTAAGTTTAGAAGAAAAAAAATGTTGTACACAAGGCTATTGTAGCAAAAGAGGCTTTGTTTCTGAGGGTGAGTGGTTATACTCACTCTGGTTTGACAACAGCTATGATTCCAAGTTGATTTGAAATTTTGATGTTTGCCACGTCTTATTTTCAGCTTCTGCCTGTCATATAAAAAATCTATTTTATAGATTTACTTTTGGAAAGAAAAGGGAGAATTACATTTTGTTGGTTGGACATTATAAAAAAAGTAGTTGCTGATTTGTCTTTTAGTAGGCTCTCCAGTCAGGACAGATGTTTTTCTTTGTTTATAATTTTTTTTCCTTTGAAGATTACCTTTTTAAAGCTAATATATGTTTTTTAATTCTTTTTCTTCAGTGCAATATCTGTGCAAATACATTCCTAATTGCTGAAGAACCTGTCCATATGACTTGCTCACATCGCTTTTGCATGGAATGTTGGGAAAGGTAAGTCTCTCTTTAGCTGTGAGAAAAAGGGTCGTTCTCCTTTTTGTCTTATTGAAACCACATACAGGGTGACTGCCAGTTGAATAGAATTTCCGAGTCCAGGGAATGCCCTGTGGATTTGAATTAAATTGCTGAGATCCGCAGGGTCCCCACCAGGTCGAGAAAACAGGAAAAAGTCGGGAATTTTTAGATGGGTCGGGAGGTCGGGAAAAAGTCGGGAATTTTGTAATGGGTCGGCAAGTCGGGGAAGGATAGGGCCTGTATAATATCAGTAGTGTAGCTATCTAGATAGTATGGTTGATGAATCATGAAGAGGAAACGTAATTGAACTGCTATGGCGGAAGTGTTTGTGTAACACCGAGGCTCGATCGGGAAAAATCAAGATCTACTTTCGCTTTCGTTACCACCCAGAAATTTTCTGGTAATAGTCTGATAGATAACGCAACATTTGTAACGTGCAGGTTGTGCATTATGAACGCTGTGTCGCCTTGAAAATAAATTAATATAAAAAATTTGTCCTCTGCTGTCACTTGTGGAAAAAAAAAGAAAAGAAAGTTATACAAGCATCTTGTCACGTTCGCCATCGTGACCGGTCAATGAACCTGTGAGGTATCGGAGTCCGGAATGTGTTGGGGGGGGGGGGGGTAGGGTTGCTGAAGGCAACGCTAGAGGACAAAACTGAACTTGGAAGCAAATTTTTAGTATTTACAATTTTGATAACAACTAAAGGAGCTCTCTGCAAAGCGCGCGTTGGTGCAGGCGTGGTGTGGAATCGGGATCCGTCATGCCTTGTTATTGAATAATAAAGTGTTCGCGTTTCATTGGATGGGGTGACTGTAATTTATATCTAGATCTAGATCTATATATTAGCTTTCTGTTCAAGATTGGCAGATTTTCAGTGTCACTGCATCTTGCCCTCCCTCAGTTCTTACACCTTTCACACTGAATAGGTCTACTTGAGCCATTCAAGTTATTACTAATATTACTCTACTTTGAGTTTGAGCAATAGTTTTCGTCTGTCTTCATGTTTATTATATGAATCATGACACCCAGACTGGTCACTGACAGTCGATATTCTGGTTCTAGGTCTTTTTTCAGGCTCAAAACAGGATTCATTTTTTTATATAGGGCCTATAATTTATATATAGACTAATATGATGAGGGGAAAATATAAATAAGTAAGAACAGGCTGAAGTACCCAAGTCACGCAAGATCCCAGTGCCACACTGACATGTTGTTGACTGGATATAATGTACCAACATGTGTGTGTGTGTATTCCCTACATATACATATACATATATTTGATATAAATGGAGCATGCGCTGTCATTGTTATGTGACATGCCCCTGGAAAATGGATGAGGCCCCTCCCTTGGAAAATTGAGAAGCTGGGTTGGCAGTCACCCAGTATTATAATCATCTATTGTTTGAAGACTATACTACTAATGTACATTTGCATTCATTTAAAAACATATTTACTTTTTATCATTGATAGATAGGCTTTTTGGGGGATCATTCTTGATGCGCAACGGCCTGATTTTTCCCTCAAATTTGGGTCTTGAAAAAAATTTGGAGGTCTTGAAAAAAATTTCCAGGATTTGGTGGGGGCCCTGGATCCGGGAATGCCACAAGAATATAAGGTTATCTGTAAGGATACATTATTAAGATTGGTTGGTAAGGCAGTCCTATGAGGTAGCTTAGCATGTTGGCATAGAAATTATTTGAAGTTTGTTGTGTTTTAATCTTCAAGATCATTTGTTAATCTATTCTGTTATCGTTTCATGATAGTCCTACTTTTCTGTTCTGTTTAAAAAAATGAAATGCTGATTTAGCTTATCATATTTGTGAATATCAAATTTGTATTCTTAAGAGATTGAATGAGAGGACTTGCAGAAATTGTATTCCTACTGTATCTCAAGTTTTTACAAATAACTTTTTATTGTCTACCTGTGTTCTCAGGTACCTAAATGTGAAAATCCAAGAAGGCGATGCCCACCACATCACCTGTCCGGCGTACGACTGTTGCATGCTGGTCCCTGTGGACATTATAGAAGGCATCGTGTCTCGTGACATGGCTCTACGTTATCTTCAGTTTGACATCAAGGTAACTGACCGGTCACTTTGTGAACAAAGTCTAAGACTTGTGCTCAACGGAAGTAAACCTTACCGTTCTGCTTATGTTTTTTATTGTCTTTTAACTTTCACAGAATAGGGTCGATTATGCAATTCATAAGCTGAGGTTGGGGAGCTAGGGGAGGGATAATGGAGATAAAGTTTAAGAATCATTTATTTCTTTGTTAAAGGCATAAGAGCTAGAAAGTTAGAAACTATGCTTCTACATGTATTTATGGATAAAAAAATGGCCACCACATGAAAAGGTGTTTGCTGTGTTAAGTTTTCATTCAGAGCTTAGGTTGAATTTGTTCCTCCTTCTGTATGTTCTCGGAAAGTTGGTTTTTTTTTGTGTGTAGCAGCTGAAAAAGTTTCTGTGCCTTTAAATCAATTTAATTGCATAAGAAGTTTCAGACTCAAGCTGTTTGAACATGATTTTTATATATTTTTTTTACCTGAAGGGAGTAAGGAGTGGAAAGAGATTTGTTTTCAGAAGTTGGCATTTTGTAAGGACATTTGTTATCCTGTTTTGCTTACGTTTGCTGACACTTTAGCCAGCGGGTGCTTATGTTGTCCTCAGGCATTTGTGGACAGTAACCCGGATATGAAGTGGTGTCCGTACCCGGGGTGTGGCCGAGCGGTCAAGCTGCCGGATCTCGACACTGGAGCTGGACACGGCAAGAGAAACAAGATCCCTTCGGATACGTCTCGTGGAGTGGACTGTGGTATCGGCCACTATTTCTGCTGGTGAGTGTCCTTTGTGTCGGGACATACCCTGCTACGTTTTCTATTGTTGTGGAGTTCTATGAAGCAGCCTCCTCAGCCTGTTCTGTTTGTCAGTGTATGATTTGCAACAAGGCACTAAGAGATAATTTTCTTTATTTTGGGATAAATTGGTATTTGTTGTTGTTATTGATCCAAAAGTTGGTATGGGGAAGGATGATTCACCTAGTTTCACTCTGACTGATAGCTCCGTGCTAGTCGTGAAAATGTTGTCACTTTGAATATCAGTGAAAACAAATAATGTAATCAGAAGAGCATAGTCTCTTGCCTGATAAAAATTTTGATCATTCTTTTCATTATTTTAGAAAACTTGTGCAAGTTTGTAAGGAGAAATGGTTCGAATTAGAAAAATCCTGTTTTGAAGAAAGTAAAAAAGTTGGTATTAGGCTCTACCTTGATGAAGGAAACGAAGAAGGATTGAAGACTTTTAGGTGGAAAAATATCTTGAAAGTATATCTGTACATTTGTTTAGAAAACTCATGATTACCCTGAGCCTTATATTGCATTATGTTTGTTTTCCAGGGAATGTCTGGAGGAGTCCCATGAGCCTTGCAGCTGTGATAACTGGATTAAGTGGTCTCAGAAAATCATGGAGATCAAGCCAGAAACATGTGAGGACAGGATTTTTTTCCCCTTTTATTTTTTTTGCACAGTCATTGGTATAATAATTAAGTCTGAGGAGCTGCGAATGCAGTCTAAATTGTCCTGGACGGCCACCCATTTTCGAAGAGCTTATTTGTTGTCTTAGACTGTGTCATTATAATGTAAAAAAAAAAAATACACAAAGGAGTAAGTGACAAGTGGTCATTTGTACAGGGGATTGTCTTTGACAGGTGGCTGTTAGAACAAGTTTGACTGTACCAAAGGTTTTGTATAACAAGATGGTTCGCTCCTCTCTTTGAACTAATTAAAAAAGTGTCCTCAAAATCTGGTGGCGCCCTCTTCGGAAAAACGCCCTCTTTGCGAATTGAGTTACCTTACTTGTATTGGAAAAAATGAAAGTGAAACTAACAAGTTTTTGTATGAATTATAATTACAATTTCGGAATAACGTCTTTTGAAATGGTTACTCTGACAAAAATCCTCTTCAGATGGAAGGGGCGACAGATTTCTTTGTTTAATTTGGCTTTAGAACGAGAGGCGAGAGGTCATTAAAATAAAATAAACCCAAAACTCCGCACTGAGTGAACCGGAACAGCTGATGCACAAGGGGGTGCTATTCCTATTCTTCTTCTGGAAAAACGAAAGAGAGCTTCAAAACAAAGACTGCAGCGACATCTGAACCTATGCGCGGACTTCCACAGACACTTTTTCTCAGAGTGAACTATCTTGTTATGTACTATGTTTGACTGTACCAACCTGTGTTACTACCCTACAAAAAGTCAATTTCTGTGTTGATATTGGTAAACACACAATGTGAACATTATGACGGACAGGAATGATCCTTCTTTCCAATGATGGACAAGCAAACAATGCAAATGTGTACCAAAATTATATTGTTGTTTGGGGATTTTTCAGATTATTATTCTCTATGGCCTCTGTGTACTTTTGATAGTGAATTATGATGAGACTCTTGCTGTAAAAGTTTACTGTCCAGCATACCAGTACATATAAAAAATACGTCACAGGCCTTAGAATTAGAATACTATTGTGGATTTGATGTTTTCTTATGTTGATGTGATCATGCAGTCGTTAATGAATGGAAAACTATACATACTGCATGGAAAGGTTATATTTCTGTGATCATTTGAAAAGAACAAGTGTTTTGAATTCCATTTATATTTTCAGTGGATGGCACAGAGCAGGATACAGAACTGGCAGCAAACTGTTTGTGGTTGGTGACAAACTCTAAGCCATGTCCTAGCTGCAAGTCGCCCATTCAGAAAAACGAAGGTTGCAATCACATGAAGTGTAGCAAGGTTGGTTGACTTTTATCATTCTTCTTTATTGGAATCATATGGAGGGAGCAACTTGTGTTACAAATAGATATTTAATGCATACATTTTTTAAAGTAAGCCTTGCTAAAAAAAAATTAGAAGAATGTAAATCTGTGTCCTCCAAATGTTTTAGCTGATAAAAAAAAAAAAAAGACATTTGAGGAGAGTTATTTTTAAAAAAAATACCCACTCCACAAAAAAAAAAGAATTTAGAAAAAATTTTTAAATATGAAAAATAGCTTAAATAAATTTGCGTGGTTTTTGTAATTTTGGTTTTTCTTGTTCCAGTGTAAATATGACTTCTGCTGGGTGTGCCTGGAGCAATGGAAGCGCCACAACAGCTCAACGGGCGGCTACTTTAAGTGCAACCGCTACGAGGTGGTCAAAAAGGTGGAGGAGGAGAGCGCTACTCTTGTCTCTGAGGTGAGTTGACAGAAATGTGTCGCTGGTAGCTCGTGCCACTGAGGTGAGTTGACAGAAATGTGTCACTTCGCTACCTCAAAATTGCAAAGTTCTATGTACTCAGTGCCGAGTTTTGAGAAATTTGACGTAAAAGATTTTGAATTTCACGTCATGCCAAGCTTTTTCGAATGCAATTCTTTGAATATCTTGATAATGACTCTGAATAACCTTTTGCTTTTGATAGAGCAGATAGAACGTCTGGTTTCTGACCTCATGGTTGAAGTAACTGAAAACGGCCAAAAATGTCAGATAGAACACTGTAATTCTGTGGTAGTGACTTGTAGGTCTTGTCACTGAGGTGAGTTGACAGAAATGTGTCACTTGTAGCTGGGAGTTGCATCAGGGATGCCGTTTTTCCGGGGGGGGGGGGTTCCGTTATTTTGGGCATAGTCCGTTCTTATTTTTGAAATGATATGATGTTGCTTTGTTGCATTTATTACTGCGTCGCTTGCTAAATCTAGTCTAAAAAAAATTTCAGTTATTTTTAAAAAGTCCAGTGGCATCCCTGTTGTATGTGAGATACTGACATGGCCCAGTTTGAGATTAGTAGAAAAAAAAGAAAGAAGAAAAGCAAAGACTACATCATTCATCCTTTGTGGAAAAAACATTTCTTTCAGTGGTTATAATGCCAGGACATACTGACTGATTTCAAATAACATCCACTGAGTTAGAAAATGAGGCTAGGGATGAGGGATTATATGTCCTGTCCAACTTGTGAACCTGCGTTTTTCTTGCTTTTTTTTGCCTATAATTTACAGACTTCTGCCTTCTGCCCCCCCCCTCTCTCCCTCTCTCCCTCTCTCCCTCCCTCTCCCTCCCTCTCCCTCCCTCTCCCTCTCTCTCTCTCTCTCTCTCTCTCTCTCTCTCTCTCTCTCTCTCCCTCCCTCCCTCCCTCTCTAACTCTCCCTCTCCCCCTCCCTCTCCCTCTCCCTCCTGGAAGAAATTCACTGATCTATACTTCAATAAAACTGACTTGTTTGGGTATGTATGTTTTTTGTTTTGTTAATACTGTGATGGTAATGGATCTTCCCTTACACGTTTCATCTTATCTGTCAACAGGCGGAGAACAAGAACAAGAGAATGCAGGAGCTGAACAGATTTGTTCACTACTACACCCGTTTCAAGAATCACGAGAACAGTTATAAGGTGAGTCCAGCGTTATTTGTGTCTTGAAATGATGTTTTTGGGCTCTTGTCAGTTTATGGACATAAAGAGTTATTGTTATCGTCTTAAATCTTGTTTATTTTTCTTGCTTTTGATGAAAAAATACCCGTTTATCTTGAATAGAAGTTGAAATATTTGTCATAAAAAAAGGTTTGTGCTGACTCACGGTGAATTCTGTATTTCGTAATCTCAACCCCTGTCCTGGTTTTTTTTTTCCCTCACAGTTGGAGGAGCCCCTACTAAAGACGGCCAAAGACAAGATGATGAAACTGGCTGAGGCTGTGACAGAGATAGGTGAGCTGGAGGGCTTAACCCCTACGTGACCTTTATGATGCCGTCAGTAATTTTTTCTTATGCGGTGAATGAGCCAAGATGCTGCTGTGGCGTACAGCATTCATCATGCTTTGTGAAGCATGTAGACCACAATGACGTATGCCGTTTGTCAGGGGTTGTATTCTAAAGTATACTGCTTCTATTAGATACATTTAGTAAAACGAATTGCTGATTCGCATTTTGGGAATATTTATTCTGTTGAAAGAAAAAAATTTTCTTTTAGATATTAGGAAACTGACCGCTAAATCTAGCGCTACTCTGTGTCGTTGGGGATCCAAAACTGTGCCTGGTGCAGCAGGAACTGACCCTGTGTCACGAATGGGTTAAAGTGACTGTCAGCTGTTATCTTTGTGCTTAGTACGAGATAAGGGACAGGTCACCTGCCATATTGAGTGGCCCTTTCTAAGGCAAAATTTTTTGCTTGTTTCGCTTATCGAGGTTTACAGGCTTTTTAGCTTGAATTATGTTAGTTTGTTGTTAATCAGAAGTTGTTTACTCGACCATGTTGTTTTTCTGAATTATTTTGATTGTGTCAGAATCAGGTGCAAGATAACTGATTTGTAGACAAGTGATTTCTGTCCTGCTTCTGGAAGGCTTGGGTTATCTTTTTTAGATAGGAAATACTGTCTCAGGCATAAGACTGGTATATTCAAGATTTTGGTATTTAGTTTGCTAAGGCACTTAATGTCACAGTGACAAAAAATATTAAAAGGGGTTCAAAGTATTACAATATGTGGTCTATATTTACCAAATGATTAGAAAAAGGAACATCTATAATAAAACTCACTGGATTACACTTAAGAAGTGTCCCCACAGGGCTCGATCAAAAGAGTTAATAGATTTTCTGTGTGGCTATCAGCTGGTTCGTGAAAATCACTCAAAACATTTTGAGGAAAGGAGAGAAAAGATGGCATTTTAGATAGCATACATGTTTTGCACAATGTGATGCATTTGAAGAGGATTGGGTAAAGAGTTTATTTTTATGAAAATGAAGTGTAACAAGCTTCTCTTTCTACTTCACTTTCTACTTGGTTTTCAAAATCAGTTTCTGGCTTTAGGTGCCTGTAGTTTTGATGACTCGATATGTTTAAAGAAGAGAAAAACCCTCATACAAAACAGAAAGACAAACATTGCTTCTCCCCCATAGAGGTTAAAAAAACCAAACAAACTTTTTTTGAGGACGAGCATAACAAATGGTATTAGAAACACACTATTATTGGTTGCCATGCTGAGAACCAACAACCATCCATTGTGTGTAAAAAGTGAAAGGATCTATAAGTGGTTAGTGGGTGCTGTGGTGGGACTGCTCCTTGTGTCCAATCAAGCATTTCTCATCCTCTTCTCTCCTGCTACTTTTCTTTGTATTTTACTCTCTTTTAGTAACATCCTTATTCTTCGGCTCAAATATGGCCTAATTGTGTTGCTAGTGCACCAAAACTCTCTTACTCTTCTTTTTATTATTTCTTTTTTTTTGGGGGGGGGGGGGGGGGGTCCAGTGTCCTGATTTTGGTGCGAGTATTTGTAGGTTATGTAAAAAAGTATTGACAATGTGCAAATTGTTATGTTTCAAGAAAAAAGAAACAAGAAAGAGAGGAATTGTAAAGTCGGTGACGATAATGATGATGATGATGGTGGTAACGATGAGCTCCAAAACTGACCATTGTCTTAGAATGACACGAACACGATCGCTCTTTGACAGAAGCAACGGCTCAGGCGGAGACCAAATTTGTGGAGGAGGCGGTGCAGCAGCTGTTGAAGGCGCGCAGGGTGCTGAAGTGTTCCTACGTCTACGGCTACTACCTCGACGGGCTGGGGGTCAAGAAGAGCGTCTTTGAGACTATGCAGGTGAGATATAATATATCCTTGTTGTTGTTGTCAGAGTGTTCTTAGGTGTGTTAAATGGAAAAAAGTACCCTTGACTGATTTTTAGAGAGGTGGTTTTGAATTACGTTCATTTCACTACATTTTGGTACAATATGACAGAATTTGACTAAATTTTACAATTGTTCTTTTTCTTCTTCCTTGCGTTCCCCTGCTAGATCTCGGGGGTAGTTGACTGCTGGTTCTTTAACCAGCATTGCAACTGATTTTTACGTAGGCGGCCGTTTTTCCTTCTCAGTAGGGCCCCTTGCCTTCAGGCAGCCACATTCCGATTTTGATGGTACTGTATATTTTTTTATATTGACAAGAGAAGAACATTTTTTTGCCACTGTCCGGTTTTTAACTCAGGACCTTTTGAATGAAAGGCGAACCCCTTACCTCTAGACCACGAGAGCCCCTGGCTATTATTTATTATTCTTATTATCACTCTAGTAATACCTCTAATCTTTGACACTTATATGACCTATTTGTGTTTACAAGTGCCGCACAACTCTTACTAAAACTAAAACTTTCCTCTCAGTATGTGATGTTGTCTGTGAGTGGTTGAGGGGTCCCCTGGTATAGGGTGCTCAAATATATATTGTTCGTGTCTCTCCACCTTCTTTTTTGGGTTTGTTACTCTCTTGTAACACCTGTAGTCTTTGACACTTTATATTACCTAACTGTTGGAAGTGCTGTAAAACTCTTCCTAAAACAAAACTAAGCAGTAACACCTCTAATCTTCAGCACTTTGTATGCTCCTTCTTTCCTTTTAAAAAACTATCTTCTTTCTCTCTCCTCCTCCTTTTTTTGTGTTTGTTACTCTCCTGTAACACCTCTAATCTTCAGCGCTTATAATATGACCTTATTGTGTTGCAAGTGCTGTAAAACTTACTAAAACAAAAACTTTATGAAAAGTTAAAACTTTCCTTTCAGTATGTGATATTGTCCTACTGTTTTCCCTCAGACGGTCTCGCCTCTTAAATAACCTAACAGTGCTGACAGGGTCGTTATACCCATACCATGGGTGTTTGGCGGGTGCTCTGATGTGGTTTGCTCCTTCTTTTCTATCAAATGTCTATCGTCCTGATCTCTCCTCCTTTTTTATTTTTGTTACTCTCTTGTAAGGCCTGTAATCTTCGTCACTTATATGACCTTAATGTGTTGCAAGTGCCGTAAAACTTTTACTGAAGCAAACAAAACAAACAAACAAGAAAACTAGAACTTTCCTTTCAATATGTGATATTGTCCTAATGTTTTCCCTCCGACGGTTCTGCCTTTTAAATAACCTAACAGTGTTGACAGGGGCGTCATACCTATTCCATTACCATTTCCCTAAGATGGTCCCGCCTCTTAAATAACTATACCGTGGGTGGTTGGAGGGTGCTCTGGTATGGTTTGCTTCTTCTTTCATATCAAATATGTATCGTCTTTATCTCCCCTCCTTCTTTTTTGTGTTTGTTACTCTCTTGTGAACTTCCAATCTTCGGCACTTATATGACCTTACTATGTTGCAAGTGATGTAAAACTTTTACTCACCCCCCGGGTCGGTGCTACTGACTGAAGTGTCTTTACGCCATTCCCAAAGGGGGGACATTAATATGTTCTTATGCTCAGTAGAATTGTAAATTGTAAATGGGCTGATTCATCAATATCATTCTCATAACTGTGCCTGAACTGCAACAGGGAACTGCCGCTTTTTCTTTCCTAATCCTTGCTATCGTCATTTTTCCTCTACTTATTTTGTATGTTTGTCACACTCTTGTGACCCACTATTTCCGGGATGCCCTGATAGTCAAAACAGACTTTGTGCTGTTGAAGCTAGAGAGGTGAGCAGAGTAAGCCCAATTCCCTGTAAGTTGACATCCACCCCTTGGGGTTCATATGACTGTATGCAGTTGTGAGTGCCGTAAAACCTGACACAAAAACCCCCCCACAAAAACCCAACTCTTACTGAAACTTTAAAATGATATTGTCCTACTGTTGTCCTTCAGACGGAGCTGGAGGAGTGCACAGAGATCCTGTCCCAGATGGTGAACCGGCTGTACCTCCGCACGCCGCGCAGGAAGATCATGGAGCAGGCCAACGTGGTGCAGCGCAAGAGACTCGAGTTCATCATGGCCATTGCGAAGGGCCTGGTGCCCCCAGAGACCCCGCCAGCTGCCCGCAAGGCGAAGAAAAGGAGGAAGCTGAGCGGAGAGGCAGAAGACGTAAGTGGGTAGAAATTTGTGAAGCGTGGTGCTGACTAAATGAGTTGCTTCTGGCAAAAAAGTTGAATTTGAAGATTTTTTAACCGATGCCATTTTGTTAAGTTTAACATGTCTTTTACTACTTCATACTCTGCCATTTCTTTAGTGGGTGGTTGGCGGCTGCTCTGGTGTGTTTTGCTTCTTCTTTCTTATCAAGCATCTATTGTCTTTGTCTCTCCTTTTTTTTTGTGTATGTTTCTCTCTTGTAACGCATAATCTATTCTTCGGCACTTATATGACCTTATTGTGTTGCAAATGCCGTAAAACTCTTACTAAAATGAAGAAAAAAATTTTTTTCTTTTAATCCAGGAGGATTTGCATCGTGCAATTGTTGCTTCCATCCAAGAGGTGGACCCTTCCAATCCGTGGATCAAAGATGCTTCGGGTCGACATACCAATGTGGCAGCATTACTGGAGTGGCCGTCGGATGAGAGCGAAGAGAGTGAGGCCGAGGGTTCTGTCACTAGAGAACTTGGTGAGCTGTGTGGAAGTAGAAGTCTTGAGGTTTTTCTGCTTTTGTTTTCTTTGTTTCTTAACTAGTATTATTTCCTAGCTTCGTTGTAGCATGGAGTAGGTGGATAGAAAAGGGAAACATTAAGTCATGAGAGTTTGATGGGAATAAGAAACGTTTTGAAGGGCTTGTTGTTACTTTGATTAACTCACTCAATCCCCTGAGTTTTTCCCGAAATTGTACCCAGATACCGGTCATTTTGGCTTTTATGTAAGGGCCTACTAATAACTAAAACAGGGCCCTGAGAATCCCGGGGACCCCCGGAATTACCTGGGAAATTGCAGAGACCAGGGAATGCCCCGGAAATTTGAGAAAATCTGTAAATTGCCTCTGGAAAGCCCGACGAAAATACATAAAATTCTCGAATATTTGATAACCAAATCCGATAACGTCCTTAAATTCATTTTGCAGGCCGCAATTGCGATATTTATTCAGCTTTTCCCGGTCTGAGAGTACGTTTCACACGAACATGCGGCTCTGGCGGCAGGCAGAAGTGTTTGTGTGACACACAGCGTCACTTTTCGCCTGATTCTGTTACTTTTAGTTAGCGTGACTCAGCAGCCCGCCGGAGCTCCCCGGCTCGAGGTCACGGGGTTAATGAGCCCTGAAGCGACTCTGCCGGTGTCGGTCAGGAAGTTCGCGTTTTTGACTATGTTTAAAACGATATAACTTCTTCCCCATCCCACACAGCAAACCATTACGCGGATGTACTAAAAGCTCAATGTCTGGAGATTTATTCAGCGTTAGAATGGTTAATTTCTGTGGCTTAGTTTTTGTTCTAGGCAAGTGTTTGTAGAGTACCCAATTTGTCCTATTTTAGTTTCAAACTTATGAATAAATGATTGTTAATTAAAAAATGGCTCGACAGATCTCTCCAAAATCTGTGTTAAACTGACTACGAATATTATGTCTTTTGCCATGAGAAATCTTAAATCAGCGCGAGTAGTAATAGTCAAGTTATAAGAGAAGAAAGATGCACATCTGCATTTTTTAACTAAAGACGATTAGCGTTAGCTCTTATTTTACTATTAAGCAAGAGAAAGTTACTCTGCATTTGTTCAAGAATCATGCTGTGTCTGCGGCAGCCTGCATACAACTAAAAAGATATAATATAAGCGATTAAAAAAACAACACAAAACCGTGTAAACACGTGGGCAGAGATAAACTTCTTGTATCGAATAAAAATAATGACAGCTAGCACATTCATTCTTAGTTTTTGTGTCGGAAATATGCGCGAACACAGTTATGAATGTAAATGAATGTAAAGAAATCAGTCACATTGTCAGTTTTTGCAAATGGTCATAGAAACGAAAAATAAAGCTGGAAAAGTATGGTGCTGATTCAGTGTCCCTGGAAAGCTAGAAATTATTCATATAACCCTATTACGAAAAGTCATCCCTATTATTCAGTCAACTTAAGAAACCTAGACTTAGCGTTTTAACTCATTCGCTATGTATTATTTTCGGCTTGTGGACGAATTCTTTTCGGGAGGGCGAAATGAGATGATGACTAGTGCGCAGTTCACAGGTTTTTGGGGCCATAAATTCAAATAAATATCAACATATTATATACCAACATTTTCAGTATGGTTTGTAGAATACATCTGCATTATTCATTTGCGTATTTTTCAACTTTGGTTCCTGTAAGAGGCGATTATGCAACACAATTGTGATTGGATGCGGATAAAATTGGAAAATAAAAAATGTATAATCTCAGGTGAAACTAAAAAAATATGTTTGCACCTAGTCAAATGATACATCAAAATAACCATAACTGTATATAGAACAGGTAAATATTGAAAAATGTGCAGTTATTTACATACATTCCATGATATTTGTACATTTGGATCATTCCATCCGATATTGAAAAAAATTTTTTAAAAAATAATCTTGAAAGACGATCACAAACAGATAAAAACCCACTCGTATCTAATATGGAATTATTCAGAATTGCATTTGGAATAAACCTATACATGTCTTGAGTGGCATCTTTGGGGTCATTTCATCAAAAAGTATTGATTTTGGGGAGAAAAACATATTTTGACAATTTAGATCTAGACCTAGATCTGGCACTCAAAAATATTGATTTCTAAATAACAGTGCATTGGCAATATGAGTCCAATCGTATCAATATTATAAAAAAAGAGTCCTACACTTCTTTAGTGGGCAAAATAATGATATATTTTGTTGTGTAAAATTGCTAAGACTGGTGTCCGGGCTATAATTTTGGCATCGCGATAAAACAAAGTCGAATAAACTACGAAATCGCGTTTCAAAATTGAATCTAAACTTTCGATTTTCAGTGGAAATGCTTGACCCGGAAGTCAACATTATATTATGACCTTTATTTTTACATGGATATGCGGATTGGAATAGAATCTAACCTAAAATTGAAGATCGGTTCTCGAGCCGCCAGGGGCGGTTTAGCGTACTTACGGCACATTAGCCGCGCCGCCCCCCACGGCTCGGCGTAGCAAATGAGTTAAGAGGGTACTTTCTCTCTTTTTTTCTATGTCGACTTAAATGGTTGGAAAATTATGTTGTTTTTTTTGTCCGATCAGGGTAAAAAAACCCTCAGAAACCAAAAAAGCGTGAGCTGCCAATTCTAGCAGGAGATGAGAGATTTGTAGAAACAGTATTACACCATCATTCTTTTCTTACTTATCCTTCCAGGCAAGTGTCACCGGGCCGGTTGCAATCGTGTGCGTGCCAGGAACCCGAGGACGAAGGAACTTCACAATCACTGCAGCCGCTGGTGCATGCTGGTAGATAAAGACGAGGTGCAGAGGAGAGAAGCCGAAGGCAAGCGAGCTTTGTATTTCTTTTTTGTATTTATTCCTCAGTCTTAGATGACCAAGGGGGAACCTAGGATGATTAGGCCACCACTTTTCTCCATCCATCTCTATTTTCAGCCTTTTGAAGGGCGTCACCAAACTTTAAGCCTGTCCATTCCGCTGCATGCCTCTCTATAACGACATCGTCGGAACAGAAAAAAATGTTGTTTTTGAGGGTTGTCGTTATAGAGAGGCAACCAAAAATATTACTAATGATATATAATTAAAAAATCGGGACCTGGGCACCATGTGGCTATGCAGAGGATGTCGTTATATCGAAGGTCGTTAAAGAGAGGCTGCACTGTATTTTTGGGGGGTATTTATCCCTTAGTCTTGGATGACCACAGGGGAACCAAGGATGATTGGGCCACCATCCCTCTCTATTTTCAGCCTTTTGAAGGGCTTCACCGAACTTACTTGTCCATTCAGTTATGTTGTCTTCCCATCTCTTTTTCTGTCTGCCTTTCCTTCTCCCTCCTTGTACTGCACCCTTAGGATCTTCTTTGCAAGTCCTGTTGATTTTGTCCCTCACTTCCTCATTTGTAACATGGACTCTATCGTCCTTATTTCTCCCCCTTCTTTTCTTTTTTTGTTAGTTTCTAGTTACACCTGTAATCTTTGGCTCTCGTATGACCTTTTTGTGTTGCAAGTGCTGCAAAACTCTGACTAAGCAGGTGGTTGGTGGGTGCTTTGGTTTGCTTCTTCATTCCAATCAAATGTCTTTTGTCCAAATCTGTCTTCTTTTTTGTGTTTGTTACTGTTTTGTAACACCTTCTAATCTTTGACACTTTTATGACCTAATTCTGTTGCAAGTACCGTAAAACGTTTACTCAAAACACTTTGTGCCTTGTACACTGTTGGGTTGGTAAATAGGATTATATAGCAGAATACTAAAACTTACAAACTATCTGATAAGTATGTATGTGTGACTGTGTGTGTGTGTGTGTGTGTCTCCAGGCCTCTCGGAGATTGTCCTAGATGAGCACATGGAGCTGCTGAGGGCCTTGGAGATGTCGCGTCTGCAGTTCCTGAGGGACAGCGGTCTGCTCTGTACTACAGACGACCAAACGGAGCAGCAGTGAGTACCAGCGTCGGTGGTCTAGGGGTTAGCAGGGATGGGCAGGTACGGGTACCCAGTACCGGAAATCCCGGTTCGACCGGAGGAGGTGTCAGTACGGGCACCATGCCTTCAGTACTGGTCCTGGGAAGGAGCCGACACCAACGTTTTTTTACCGGCCGAAGTGTGTAGGCCCAGCAGCTGTGATGTCAGATGCACAACGCAACGGGTGACCTTGTGCTGGGTTTTCGCCGGTACCGCCCAGCACGAGTGGTTATTCTGTTGGGCTCACAACCGAAAGGTTGCAGGTCAGAACTCCAAAGGTCCTACTTCTTTTCTTTCCCTTTTGTTATTCTTATCTGTCTTGCCTCTTCCCTACACTATAATATGATTGTTATGGCGTTGATGTGCTTCTCTTTACTCAAACTCAAACTAGACCTCAGAGGGTGGTTAGTGGGTGCCCTAGTGTGGTTTGCTCCTTCTTTCCTGTCAAACATCATCATCGTGATCTTTCCTCCTTTTTTGTGTTTGTTACTCTCTTGTAACAAGTGGGTGCGATGGCAGAGCGGTTAGTGCGCTCGTTTCCGAAGCAAAAAGTCGGGGTTCGAGCCTCGGTTCGGACACAAATTTTTTTCACCCCCTCCTGCTCACCCAGCAGTAATGGGTACCTGACTTGGAGTTGAGGAAGTAAAGGTGGCGTGGAAAGGAACTGGCCACCCTACCACAATAATGCTGAAGGCCCAGGAAGTTGTCTCACTAACAAGGCAATCCCCAATGTCCAGATCGGATGTGGGAACAACTTTACTTTACTCTCTTGTAATATCTCTAATCTTCGGCACTTATATGACCTAATTGTGTTGCAAGTGCTCTCTCTAGTAATATATCTAATCATCAGCACTCATATGACCTTATTGTGTTTCAAATGCTGTAGTAAAACTCTTACTCAAGTAAAACTACAAAACCTTCACACCTCAGGGCCAACAAGAGCACCCAAACCTGGGCTTCCCGCCACCGGCAGCGTCCCCGCTCCAACAGTGCAGGCCAGGAGGAGTGGAGCAAGAGGAACAAGACGGGGCTCAGCTCCATGGAGGAGCTAGGCATCGAGTTACAGCGCTTCCAGGAGCTCTCCTCGCCCACCGTGCCCAGAGGTAGTCTTCTAGATATTGTTTTTTATTTTGTTAAAAAAAAAACCAGACAGGAAAAGATCTTGTCAGTTTGTTAGTGTTTGCCCACTGTGCCGGGAGGTAGACCGATGGAGACTTATTTATTTAGTTAAAAAAAAAAAAACAGACAGGGAAAGATCTTGTCAGTTTGTTAGTGTTGGAGCTCTTTATCGGCTGCTTGCACTGTATACTTCAGGGGAAACTGAGAATGTTTCTGGGTGTTCCAGGGTCTGTTTGGGTAATACTATAGATTGTAAAGTGCTTAGAGCTTGCTGTTGAGTGGGCTCCCATATGCATTTTACAAATGAATGCTGTTTACTTGTATTATTATTATTATCATTACATGCAGTACTTACTTGCCAGATATGTACTGCTTCATACTTGTTTTAAGATAATGGGCTCGACCTCGATTTTCTCAAAACTGTTTCTGACTCTCCAGCTTCAAACGACTACAACTTTGGAACCAAAGCATCTAGACTGAAATTATTTACACCTGCTTCTAGCGCTCGAGTAGATCTTTGATTTTCTACCCATTGTGTAATCTTATCAAAGTGTGACATGTGACTTGTTTTGTCGTATCGCTACACGTTTCTTTTCAATGCGTCTGATGATGTTCCTCAGTTCTGTGGAGTTTTACTCTTTTAAACGTTTTCAGAGATTTTTTTGTTTTTATTGCTCTTTCTCGATAAAGTCAAACAAGTTCCTCAGAATAATCTAAAAAAGGAGCACCTCGTATTTTGCCAGGCTTTTTTTGGTCTGTTATAGTAAGAGTTTTACAGCACTTGAAAGGTCATATAAGTTCCGAAGATTAGAAGTGTTACAAGAGAGTAACAAACACAAAAAAGGAGGAGATATTAGGACAATAGATGTTTGATAGGAAAGAAGGAGCAAACCACACCTGAGCACCCGCCAACCACCCACAGGAAATCTCCAAAGGTGTTTGTGTGTGTGTGTGTGTCTGGGCTCTAAGAGCTTCGTATCGCAATAAAATTTTCACAGCTTACACAAATGCATGTTTCATGCTTACTGGCCCATCCAATGTACTGTACAACAATCCTTTCAAATACATATACACCTGTAATTTAGCAATTTAAAAAAAAAAAAAAAAAAAGGGAAAATAAAATGTAATACGCAAAAATGCAATGTGAGAAGTGGTCATTTATACAGGTGGTTGTCTTGAACGTAATCATTAGAGCAAGTTCAATTGAATATACAAAAATGTTGTTTCTGCACAAGGCTTTTTAAGCGTCTTTTCAGTCTTTTTTTCACAGGTGGTTAGAGGGGGGCCACTGATAGGTCCTACATTACTCTTTCCCTCTGTTGTTTCCATTTGTCTCCCTCTATTGATGCTCTCAGTGGCTGCTATTTTGCTGGGGTGCTTCATTTTACTCCCTTGAATTCCTTAAATATGAGATGTGCAAAGACATTTGTGTTGTTCTGTCACTAGAGCCTGTTTTTCTTGCATATGTCTGTGTCCACCCCCCCCACCCCCGGGCAGTGCTACTGACTGAAGTTTTTTTCAGGCCATTCCCAAAGGGGGGATATTAACATGTTTTTATGCACAGAAAAATTGTAAATGGGCTGATTTATCAATGTCATGCTCTTACTGTGCCAGAATAACATAAGGGGGAACTGCTGCTTTTTCTTTCCTCATCCTTACTATCGTCATTTTTCATCTAATTCTTTGGTATGTTTGTCACTCTCTTGTGAACTGCTATTTCCGGGGTGCCTTGATAGTCAAAGCAGACTTTGTGCTGTTGAGGCAAGAGAGGTGAGCAGAGTAAGCCTGATTCCCCGTTTGGACTTTTCTGTTGACATCCACCCCTTAGCGCTCATATGACCTTATGCAGTTGCAAGCGCAGTAAAACCTTATTAAAACTAAGTGTTTCTCTCTGTATCTCTGTAGGTGAGAGGGAAGAGCCAGCACGCCGTGGCTCTGCCGGGAAGAGCAGCCGACGTCATCACCGCAAACTGAGCCAGTCAAGTCGGTTTGACGAGTCCAAGTCCACTGTGGTGTCCCGTGTGCCCAACAAGAGCGTGGAGGACTTGTACTGCATGGAGCAGACCCTCAAGGCCACCGGACCCGCTGCTCAAGGTCAAGGGAGAAAGTCTCAGTCTCTTACCATGGCAGAGAGCACCCAGAGTTTCCCCGACTTTAGCGGCGTGTTCAATTCGCTCTCTGAGATGTCCTGCGCTTCACCGGCTGTAGCTACCTGTGGCGGGGTGGGTGTGGGTGTGGGTGTCTGTGGTGAGGAGAAGGAAAGAACGTCCGAGTCCAACTGTGCCAGCAAGACTCTAGGCCTCTTTGGCACCATGTTTGGTGCCATCAAAGACCTCTCCGTCTCCAACATCCACGCGAGCGAAGATGACAAAACGAAAGACTTTCTCAGCAAGGATTTGGCTTCCATCTTTGCCGGATGGGACTTGGATGATATTAGCTCTCCCTCGTGTGAGGTTCACAATTCTTTGAGCGAGGCAAAACGGCAGAACACCGAGCAGAGCTCATCGGAGGCCGCGCTCCGACAGGACGTGTCCGGCAAAAGTAACATCGGGAAAGTTGCCAGCAAAAGTAATAAGTCGAAGAAAAAAGCTGTGGCAGAATGTGTCAGAGGGGACAGAGGAGTTTTTCAGGCAGCGGGGTCTTCTAGTTCTGGTGTGCATACTGCTAGAGATGACTTTGATGACAGTGGTCGAACAGTCAGACAAGTGGATCAGTATTGCCGGAGGAGGGCGGTGGGTGCCTCCGGGGACAAGTCATCACAGGTTGGCCCTTCGTTAGGGGAAGCGTCCCTGCTTGAAATGGCGGAAAATTTACTGCAGATGACAGCAGATGTGCGTTCTCGGATGTCAGAAGTGGACGAAGGGATTCGTTTTCTGGGCGTTGGCCAGAACAGTGACACTGTTAGTGGTCTGGGCAGAGAAGAGGGAGCAGGAGCAGGTGGGCGGGGTAGCTTTGGGGAAAAGTACCAAATAGAGCAGTGTAGTGAGGTCATAAGTGAAGCGGAGGAGAATGTCGGGCAAGAGGGGGATGGAGGTACTGGTGTCGGGGGGCGTGTTGGGACGAGTGATGAAGACGAAAAGACGGCGCCTTTCTCGTCCCATCAAAAGCTCGCTTTGAAGATGGACAACCTGGAGGATAGTACTGTGGTGACAGAAGATGAGTCCCATGTGAATGCGAGTCTATCGAGTCCCAGTGTCGGTCATAGACCAGGGGTGTCCTCATCTCCGTCGAATGGAAATTCTTCCTGCTTGAGGTCAATCAAAAGAGAAACTGCTGAGGTTGATCTGCCAACCGTGCAGGTGGGCGGAAGTTGTAAAACGCCATCTGCTGTTGAGTTGTGTGGAGATACTGCGGACCTCATCGTTGATGAGTTGGCTATAGGCGGCAGACGAAACATTTCGCTGGAAGACGGGGAAAGTCCCGGTGCTCGTGCTGCTTGTCTTCCCTGCGAGGATGCGAAAACTGAAGTCAGTGACGCGGGACTTCATGATAGTGCAATTGAGGAGGACAAAAATGCCTGTGTGCCGTCGGCAGCGGGCGAGTCAGCTGGGGCACTTTGTGCAGACAACACCATTGAGTATTCCCTGGTGAGGAAGATTTCTTTTGGTGAGTTGTTCGCCTCCAGCTGCTCGGAACTAGCTCCTGACTTGGAGCTCCAAAGTTCAGGTGCGGAGAGGGCTGACGATGGGGGCAGCGAGGACAGGGGGAGATGGGGTAACGAGTCTTTCAGTCAACCAACCGGTGGCGGTGGTTTTACTTCAAGTGCCTTGCGTGGAGAAGCCTTAGAGGTAAACGTGTTGGATGACGTTTGGGAAGATGCCAGCTCTTCTTTGCCGCAAGACGAGGGTGGTTTGCCTGCGTCCGAGGTGGATGAGAAGGCTGTGGGTGATTCTGATGTTGACTCTGTGTATGTGTGATGTGAAGAGAACTTGCTATGTTATGCACAAACATGTGAATTGTCGAAGCTAAAAGTAGGGTTGTTACTTCAGTTAATGTTGAAATCCTGTGAGGATTTCATTGAACTTCTTTGAAGTTTGTAATGTCTTACAGGGATTTCAACATTAGAAGACATCTTGGGATGCAAGCCATTGCTTCTCCGACAAAGCTGCTTGATCACTGTGCAAGCGGCTTAACTAATAACACAAGATGCGTATGAAATTAAAAACTCCGATTCAGATTAGATATGGATGATTATGAAAAAAAAATAAATCCCAGTAGAACTTTTTGAAGATTGCTTTGCTGGTCACTGTTTATGGATAATGCATGCATAGTTGAATTTTGATTTGACAATGTGTTTAGACTGATTTTGGCTAGCGAAGAGAGTGCTGGCAGGGCTTCACATGATTAGTGGAGTGCATTTTTACAGAGCTTACTTGTTCACCTGCACAGTGAAGGAAGATCTTAGTTGCTAGTGTAGTCTTCATAGGCAGGTTGTGGAGTATCTGATAGTACTGGCGGTGTTAAAAATGTTTGAGTGGTTGATTGTGTATACGTTAGTGTGTATGTCTCGTGTACACCCTTATTCCTGAAGCTTAAGTGTGTGTCTGGGGAGGAAAGGAGGTGAACGAAACTTCATTTACTGCATTTGACACAAAGTCACAAATGACATTTGCCTTCACTTGAAGGCAGCACAATGTGTAACAAAAACCATATTGTTATTATTATAATTATTATATTTTTGTGAATGTTGTTCATACGAAGAACCAAAAGTGATAAATTCATATAGTTAACCAAAGCGTGTGGGTGTAAAATTATAAGCAGGAACATTTTTAACCAAAAATGTACAGTTGTCTATTTTTGTTAAAGAGCTGCTTTCTTAGTGGTGGGAAAGAGATTCTTGTGTATGTCCTCATGAAGAATGTAGTAATGATTTATCTTTGTGCAGTGGGCTTTAGATGGGCTAAGACTAAAGGCAGGAGTCCAGGAGGAGATAATGTGAGGACACCAGTATGCTAGCGGCAAAGTGACTGAGCGTTGTGAATGTAGCAAGCTTTTGTCCAACTGGGTTCCCCTATTCCTGCTGTTTTGACTGGTTGCAGTTTTGTGGCGTTTGTGGCCAAGAGGTTAGGCTTCTGGACTCGCAGTTGTGAAGTTGCCTGTTCAGGGGTTCGAGCCACTGGCACTGGCCCAATGTGTGCCTGGGAAAGGCATTTTACACAAATTTTCCTCTCTTCACACAGGTGGGGATGGGTACCCAGCTATAGACAGTGAAAGATCTTGTCAGAATGATAGTGTTGAAGCGCCTATAAATGGCAGCTTGCACTGTATGTTTCCCAGGAAGCCGAGATTGTTTCAGAATGCTATCAGGTCTGCTGGGGTCATAATATAGATTGTAAAGCGCATAGAGCTTGCTGATGAGCGAAAATTTGTGCTATACAAATGCAATTTATTATTAATGATTTTGTTTCTGTGCAGTTCGACTGTTCTCACCTTATGTTGTCATGTAGAAATTTTCAGTATGTAAAAGGAAAGAAACATTTGACAGAAAATGCTGATGCTGTCTGGTTTGTGGAGTAGAGCTTGAAGGTCATCTATCTCTTTTGTCAATGTTTTCTGTTTAAAAAAGTCCTGGATGCATTTAGCTCAATGAATATTGAGATACCCATGTTGAACCTGAAGTCTTGTGGCCTGATATTTTTCAAAATTTTTCACCGGTTTCATTGCTTGAAATTTATAAGGTTTAGTGAATCTGGGCCAAATATTATGACGTTTGACGAGAGTTTCTGTTTGTTTCGTCAGTGTTGAGTTTGCCATCACCTCTTTCGGTCGTCATTTACTGTGACATTGAGTAAACGTTCATTGCTGCTTCAGGTATGTAATTCTATAATTATGAGTTTTTCTCATCATAATACAGCGCCTACTCTTGTTATTTCGTCCCACCAGTCAAGCTTGTGTCTTAGGGCCTGCAGAGAGCTTGCGAATGTGGTATAACGTTTGTGTGTTTGTGGCAAGGGATTTGACATTATAACCTTTCTGTGCTCAACAAAATATAAACCTGCACTCTAGATCAACATGCATTGAATTGAACAAGTAGTCACATGTGATGAAATAGAAGCTTTGTTTACTCGTCAGCGATGTGGGGATGAGAAAATCTCCCATGCTAGTGCGTAGCTGCGTATTGTGTTGAACAAAATGTACAAGGCCCACTTTGTCCCAGGGCTAATGCTTGTATCATTTTAGGGACATGCACAGAATGCGGGGGGGGTAACCTTCCTATCACAGTTTTGGTCACTGATGTGGTGAGTGATTATATGGTATGCTCAATCATAAAGGCTTGCTATTGCAAATGGTTGCCTCAGAATTATTTGTCCAAAGTGTACTTAACTGTAGAGTGCACTCTGGAAGAAATGGTTCGGAGGCACTGAAATGTTGAAGGGTCCTGTACAAGGATAGAGAGGGAGAGGTAGATGGAGAAGAAGTAGAAGGACAATGTCCCAGAAGGAACAGGCCTGAAGCTGAGCAATACTGCGAGAGAGTCAGGAGAACATTAAAGTAAGCAAGGAAGAATTTAGGGAGCTGATGACTGCTAAGTCATCCACCGTGCCCTCACAGTCACAGACTCTGGTTATTTGGTGAAGGGAAGGCTGTGTGTGTGTGTTGCTTTACATACTGACACATACATAGTGACAGGAAGTGTAAAGTTCTCCAGCGGCAGGACTGCACTGATTTGCACACCAATGTACATCTGACGCACATCATATGTGTCACGACGTGGTGGAATCAGGCGCTCGTCAACTTTTGGGCATTTGGAGTTATTGGTATCATCTGAAAGCTTATTCATTTGCTTTGCTTTCTATGAAAAAAACACCCTTTTATCTAGAATTAGGTACCAGAAACTAAATTTTCAATGTAGCTGTATGCCAAATTTATCAGTTCCATTTGAAAGGCCTATATCCACTGAGCATTTTGGTACCATTCTTTAACCTCTCAGTTAATTTTTAAGAAAATGGTATTTGTTTAAAATTTGATCAAATTTGTTAAAGTCAGTCACTGGCTGCAACCCCATGTTTGACAGACAATAAAAGAGTACCAAGAGCACTAAACATCTCCACATTAACAGAGTACAATCACTATAACAAATATATGGAGCCTAATTTTTTTCAAGACTGTGAGATCATTACAAATCAGTACTTTATCGCCTCAAACACGATGATCTGTCGTTATTTCGACAAAAACACCGAGCGTTGACCCGGCCGGCGCCGCACCGGGCCCCGCGGCGAGCGAGTCGGCTCTATCATGTAGTGTACCCCGCGTGCGGGGTCACATGCTTTCTGAGTCTCGCGGAAGGATTGATAAAAAATAATTCCAAGCTGATTACTTTATTCTAATAGGAAATAAGCTGATCTTTTATTAAATATATTTTTCAAGCCGGTATTTTACATATTATGGGTAAAAAGTGATCTTTAAACATTTTGACAGTATTTTTAAAAGCTTTCTATTTAGACGCCAAAGGCAAAACACATACCACGGGAAAGCTCGTGTAAAGCTCTACAGTTCTTTGCCAATGAAAAGATGGTATTTAATCATTCCTCGTTCCGCCAAGCATTTGAATGCACCCGTGTCAATTTTTCAACCAGCCGACCACGCATTCCCACCGCGAGGGGCTTCGCTTTCATCGGCGATTCTCCAGCTCCTACTAATCGGACATAAAAACAACTTACACCATTGTAACGAGGAAAAGCTGAACTTTTACAAGGTGTACGGCACTTGGTGTTTTACAGCGAAAGAGCAAAGAAACAGCGATCGGAATTACCCCGATTTCACCGATACCACGCGGTCGGAAGGCCGCGAGTGCCCGCGAGGCCGTGTTTACGCTACCTACTAGAATAGAAGTCGAAATATTTTCAATTGAAGGAGGTGGGGGTAGCATGGTTTCAGAGGTAAAATTATCGAGAAAATGGCCTCCAAAGTTTGGAAACTTCTATAGCTTGAGAGTCCTCGAAAACTGAAAATTTATATATTTTGTGCCATTAATCAACGTTTTTCAGTAAAATTCACATGGAAATGTGTTTTTATATGGACATAAAAGGTGTTCAGCCAAAAAACAAAAATGTGATAAGAATTGCTAAACTGAAGGAAAAAATGCCTGTTTCTTCGATTTCAATATTTTGACGAGCGCCTGATTCCACCATGATGCCTCACAAAAAACATATATAAATAAAGGTTTGCAGGTAGTTGTTATTTATTCGCACAATGTTTGCTCCTCATTTTTGAACTTACAGGCTGACATTTTTTTTCTTCAGTGAAGCACAAATTTGTACTGCGGTATAAAAATAACAAGAATATTAATTATTATTTTGTGAGATAAATAATGATCATCTGTTTGTGTTGAGCATTTTCATGTTTTTGTTAATGGGGAAACAGGCTGTCAAGGGTGGAACAGCTTTACATCTGAATTCTCTCTCTATGAAGACTGTATGAGCACGTCCAACAAGGTGGTGGAATAGGTTTTTTTGTTTTTAAAAAATTTCCCTCGACATAAAGTGAATTTATGCTCTGTTTCAATGCCAGCTGTGACCAGTGCCCAAATTTGAGGAGGAATTCAAATGTTCAAATATGATGCGTGCATTTTCTATCTTAGCTGAAGTGCAAGGGATGTGGGGAAGGGGTTTCATCAGGTTTTTGTAAAGGTTGTCATTGGTGGGTGCTACATCTTTACTGTCACTCTGTTGTTTCTGTCAGTGGTCAGTCGTGCTTCTCTGTGTTGGGAAATTATCATTGCTGAATTGCTGTGTTGGGTGTTCTTTCTGTATCCCAAAAGTATACATGTTTTTTTCTCCACCTTTTTGTCAAAGGTTAGCGTCATGTGGATCAAAAAAGGGAAAGTAGGTGGTTGGCATAAATTGCCCTGATGTTGTTGGCTCCTTCTTTCCTATCAAACATCTATGGTTGTTTACTCTCCTCCTCCTTTTCTTTGCATGCTATTTGTGAGGCAGCGTGGTGGAATCAGGCTCTCGTCAAAATAATCAAAATGCTGAAACTTGCATTTTTCCGCAGGTTTGTGAATTTTAATAATTTTTTTTTTTGGCTCAACACCTTTCATGCCCTTTAAAGAACTAATTTTTGTGTGGATTTGTCTGAAAAGCATTGATTAAAGGCACAAAAAATGTAAATTTTCAGTTACCACAGACTCTTAAGCTAAGGAAATCACTCATCTTTGGCGGCCATTTTTTCACTAATTTTACCTCTGAAAACAGGTGACCCCCACCTCCTTCTGTCGCAACTATCTCGACTTGTATTCAAGATAAACGGATATTTTTTTCATCCAAATAAAGACAAAGGAAAAAGCTTTAAGATAATACCAATAACTCTACATGCCCAAAAATTGACGAGAGCCTGATTCCACCACGCTGCCTCACATTTGTAATTCTCTAGTAGCACCTCTGATCTGCGGACTTACATATGACTTAATTGTGTTGCAAGTGTTGTAAAACTCTTACAGAAATTAAATTTATGAGGAAGAAAGTGGTTGAGTTGATACAACGGTATTCAGCCTGTGTGTCATACAATGGGGTTGTGTCATGAGTTGTGGCTTCGTTTGTATTAAAGTTAAAGTAGGTCTACGACTTGAAGAATTTTGTTATACATGTGACTCTAAGAACGTTTCTTCTAGGATAGTTTTCCTTGACAATTTTGGATTTTGCTTTTACTGCTCCTTCAACTTTGGTTTTATCATAAGAAACAGGGGTTGTGAACAACCTTATTTAATCAAGTGGCCTCCTTTAAACACAGTGAGAAGAGGTTCAGTATTCAAATCATTGACACATCTGAGAATTATGTAGGATTCCTCTACTTTTTTCTTCTGTTTTGTCAATTTGTTATCATGAAACTTACAGCCTGAGTATACATATATATATATATATATGTATTTGTATTGGGATAAATAAGCACTGTTCACATAGTGGTTAAGCCTTCAGTAGAATCTGTGAAAGAGACAACTGATGGGGTTAGGTTAATATTATCTGGTGACAAGGCAAACAGATTGTTTTCTTTCTTTCCTCTTTTTGTTGTTGTTTGAGTTTAAGATAAGTTCACTAAAATTCATTTGTTTTTGAAATGTAGTTCATGTAGTAGAGCCAGATGCTCAACTTTTAAGTTTTTAAATCCAGGAAAACTGATGAAATGTGGCCAACTGTTATTTTTCTGTTTCATTTATCTCCGTATTTGACCCGACCAATATGGATCAGTGCCTGTGTCTCTTTGATCTTTTTTTTTCTTATTTTTCTTTTCAAAAGTATTGATCTTTCTTTGAATGGCGTTGTGAAAGAGACAAAACTTACACTGCTTTTAAATCTTTACAAGTTCATGAACAGGTTATGACATTCTGATCTTGGCAAGTGTAATGCATGGCAGGTTTCTCTGTCATTTCTACAATAAGCACGTTCTTCTTCTTTTGTCTTTAAAAGTTTACACAGCTGTGAGAGGTCCTGGAAATCACAGAATAATGGAAGTAATGGAAGTTCTTTGTTCTGTTAATAGTAACATATAAAGGTTTAAAAATATATATATTTATCTTGAATTTAAGTAGAGGTTTCTTTCCTTTTTTAAAATTCACTTCCGAGTTCATTTTAATTTGAAAGTTGGGACTGAATTTGATACCAGAAGCCTACATTCCAAAACTGGGGCAGTACATTACATTTTGTACACACACGTCCACACAACCCTCCCCACCCCCTAACTAGAGCGAAGTACTTCACCAGACTTACAATGAGAGAAATAAGTAATGTTTTGCTTAAATTGGGCAGTGGCCTGACAGATTTCCGTTCGTTACATGAACCAAAGGTCTGGAAGTTTTATTTTATTTACCATTTTTCATGTCCTGCCTGCCCTGTGTGGGTGGATACATCAGAGTTCTCAGGATTTAGAAATAATGCTGAGGAAAAATATTCCCAATTTTCTTTGAAACTTTGCTTTAAAAATTATTTTTTTTATAGTTGAGAAATACAGTGTGATAGTGATCAGTGATAGGAAAACAGAAGTTATGTCCAGCCCGAAGTGTTTACTTTCTCCAGTGTTGTTCATGACCACTGTTTTATTTTATAAATTTTATTTTACTCCAGCAAACAAGTTAAAGTTAGAGCGTCGTCTTCTGATTGTACAAGCTTCCAGGAATTGTTCTCTGCCTAGCTTATCATCATTAGGTAGAGTTTCAGTTTAATTTTCATTGGTTTTTCTTTCTTTTTTCATCAAAGCACTTTTATTTTTAATCATGTGTCTTTAAAAAAAATTGGAATAAATAAATAGTGTGATTAATTATGATATAATATATTTCTTCCTTTTGTGTATGTGTAAATCAACACCATTTTTTTGGGTTTCTTTCTTTGTTAGCGTGGTGAGGTGGTGGTCATGGTGTTTCATTGTCAAAAGTTGGTTCCATTTTAGTTTTGTCACTTCAGTTACCGTCAAAGAATGTTCATTAAATTATAGTAAGTGCATCTCATTTACTAAGTTGTGGCTGTATCAGTCCAGTTTTTGTGTTTTAAAATGGATAATTACACTCCTTTTGTATGCATTTAATTTATTCTTTACAACAGATTGTTCCTGTCTGTTGTCTTCCCAGTCTCTATTGTATTACTTTTGTGTTTTATATACATGCGACTCGGTTGTTTAGAATGCTGTTTATGACGCAGGAAAACTAAGTCTAGGGTGTGATGATAATATTGGTTTCCCTTTGTGGGGATTTTTCTTTTTTTTTTTTGGTATCTTATTTAGATGTCCAGGTTTAAGTTTTGTGTGATACAAGAACGTGATTTTGACTTCAGCATTCAGTTTACTTCCTACTTTGATACTTTTGTTTACAAAGGCGCAAAATGTGTACTTCTGTCTCTGGGTCTGTGGCCTGTACTAAGTTGTACATGTACTACAAGAGAGCACAAAATCAAGCCATGCCTTTGGCTGAATGCATTCTCCAAATTTCATTTAGTTGTTCATAAATGAGTCTCTGTATCATGTTTCCGAGTTCTTTTCATTTGAGATGTTTGGGTGAATGTGATTTGTCAGACAGCTCGTTCTCAAGAACATTTTTGTGTACAGTGAGTCAGTTTGGTGACCATGAAACCGAAGTTTGTGTATAAGTCAAAAGTCTTGTCCTGTGTGTATCAGGTGGTTGGTTGGAGGGTGGTGTGGTTTGCTCTTTCTTTCCTATCAAGCATCTAATGTCCTTATCTCTCCTCCTTTTTTTGTGTTTGTTACTCCCTTGTAACACCTCGAATCTTCGGCACTTATATGACCTTATTGTGTTCAATTCCTGTGTGGCACAGCTTATTCTTCTAGTGTTCACCGGTATGCTGTACCCCAATCAGTAAGGGTTGACCTGAACAGGCAGGGTTGAGACATGATTTGAAATTTGTACATGATTAACGGCAGCGAATCAGAACTGAGAAAGGTAGCGTAGTAGCTCCTTTGATTTACGTGCGTTCAGAAAAGACACGGTTTTGCCACGTCGCATGTCAGCACACCCAGTTGTGTAGCTTTGATTAGGCTGCATGTCAAAAATAATTCGCCTTGTATGAGTATGAACTAATATATTTTAACAACAGTATACCTGATTCACACATTTTACAAGTAGGCCTATTACTTTACCAGGCTTGCTTTGAAAGAAATGGCTGCTTACCCTTAAATAACCACAGGGAAAACCTGCTCAAAGATAAGAATGCCCAGGGATGAATAATCAATTTTTCTGTGGAGCAATTCACTATTTTCTCAGAAGCAAATTCATACATGGACAGCTCTTACTCTTGACACTGCCGAATCCAAGCCTCTGAAGTTGTTCAGCTGTGACTTCTGGCGAATGCTCCCAATAATGGAAACATGTTTTTAATTTAAAGAGCATGAGTAGGACAAAACACAAAGTAACATTGAAAAGTAAAGAAAGTAGAAGGAGCAAACCCCACCAGTCTGACAGTGACACTGTCGGGGAGAAAACTTACACAGTATAACTGACGAAGAAAAAAAGACGCCGACGCAAAATGAAGCCAGCTATTGTCCATCATTTATTTCATTCAGTCTGAAAGTGCAAACATTATCATCATCACTCAAAAACTTCAGTCATACATTCTTGTCAATGTACAAAAAAGTGTAGAACCAAAATGTGCTTTCCCAAAACAAGGACAGGCACTGGTTCATTAAGAATAACACTTGCACATGTGAGCTTGTTTTGTCTTTGCAGGCTTATTGTAAACTACCCCTCCAAGTGGCTGGAATGCAGCAAAACAATACTTTCTTTTCTAGGGGAAACTGCTCTACAGACTTCTCAAAGTGTCACTTTCTGTAAGAATTCAGCAGGAATACCAAAAATACAACTGGAATAGCCTACTTCCACAAAAAAAAAAAAAAAGAGAGCAAAGCTTGGTTTAACCCCCCCACTTATTCTCTCTTTTAGGAGAAAGAAATAATGCCTTTAAATGTAAAATTCAGCCATCAAGTTTTTGTCTTTTTTTAAATCCCAAGGCAAAATGAAGAAAAAACATAGAAAAGGCCAATCCTGGCGATACAGCAACATTGTTTCAAATCATAAGAAAACCCAAGACATAAATCATTCATTTGTGTCATGACGTGGTGGAATCAGGCACTTGTCAATTTTTGGGCATATAGAGTTCAGTATCATAAAGCTTGTTCATTTGTCTTGCACTTGGCGAAAAATATACCATCTAACTTAAATAGAAGTCGAGGTATTTGTGATTATAGGGGGTGGGTGGCTTCCAAAGCTTTGAGTGTCTTTGGAAACCGGAAATTTACTTTTTTTTGTGTGCCTCCGATCAATTAATTTCAGTTATATCCACACAGAAATGTGTTTTAAAATGGACATCATATAAGGTCCAAAAAAAAAAGAAAAAAGTGCCAACGTCAAGTAAAATTGTGTTTTCCATGATTCCATTATTTTGACGAGTGCCTGGATTTCATTATTTTGACAAGCACTTGATTTCACCACGCTGCCTTACATTTTATCAATCCCAAGACCTCGATCCATAAGGACCAATCGAGAAAGTATATAAGCAAATCTCAAACTAACAGTTCAGCTTCTACTTGTGCTGTAAAATGCCCTTTCAGTTGCCTGTCGACCACTGGGGTTTTCCTCAATTTAACAAAGAGAAGAGAGGAGCTGCTCTATCAACATCGCAAGTGGGGAGAAATTGACAAATTTTCAACTCCCAATTATGCCATGGCCAGAACCCGTTACCTGTCAGAGACATGATTTTGTTGGATGATATCATCACAACCTGCCTTCTTTTCCAGGAAAATTTACAGCGTAAAATACTTGGTAAGCATGTTCCTTTGGATGTCTGACACTCAGATCACCTACGTCTATCTCGACTCCTGTCCCTTCCGACCCTCCCTCGTTCCCTGCGATCAGCAGCGTCCCTCCCCCCTCCACCACCTTTCTTCATTTTGATGATTCTCTTCTCCTGCTCATCAGCCTCTTCGTCTGAGGATGATGACGACGACGAAGATGGCGATGAAGATGAGGCTGATGATGACGACGACGACCCTGAGCCCTTACTTGAAGACACCGAACTCTTCCTCTTTCTCTGCTTTGATGTGTTCACCTTATCCTTGGAAGATTTACGTCTGTCCTTCTCCGACTCCTCGCTGGAGTTGTCAGAATCACTGCCGGAAGAGCTGTCTTCTTTCGAGTGTTTTTCCTGCTGTTTGTGTTTTGACTTGTCACCACGACCCCCTTTGTGCGATTCTGAAGGCCGCACAGCAGAGCCGTTCACCCGTGCCTGCTTCGCCTTGCGACTCGCACTTCTGTCGACACTGGACTCACTCTCCTCTTCCTCCTCGCTTGTCCTTCCCCGTTTTCTCTTTCCTTTACGCTCTTCCTTGCTTCCCCTTCTGGGGTCCTCTCTACTAGTCCGTCGAGATTGGTCATCTTCAGGAGCTCCTCTCTTTCTGTCCGGCCTCCCTCTGGCGAGACCATCTGACCCTCTCTCATGACTTCTATCTTCACTTTTTCTACCATCATTGAAGTAATCGCTGGCTTTAGCTCTCCCCTCCATTCTATTGTCCCTGGACCTCTCTCTACCTCTTCCTGCATTGCCCTCTTGTCTCCTGTCGTAACTGCGGCTGCCATTTTCTTCTAAGCTTCTCTCTCTCCCTCTGCCACTACTGTCTCTGTCCCTTCCCCTCTCCCTTGTGCTCCCATTCCTCTCTCGGCTGTCGTGCACATCTTGTCTTCCCCTTCCTCCTCTTCCATTCCCATCTTCCTCTGTCCGCCTTCCTCTTCCTCTGTCCCTTTCTTCTTCAGCTGCCGGTCTTTCTTTTCCTCCTCTCCTGTCTTCCTCCATTCGTTTTCCTCTTTCTCCCCTCCTGTCTTCCTCCACATCAGATCGTCCCCTTCCTTTCCTTCTCTCGTCCCCCTCATTTGATCTTCCCCTTCCTCCCCTCCTATCTTCCTCTTCATTTGATGTCCCTCGTCCTCCCTTTCTGTTATCCTCCTCATTCGATCTTCCTCCCCTCCTGTCCTCCTCCATATCTGATCTTCCCCGTTTCCTGTCTTCCTCTCCTCTCGATTGTCCCCTTCTCCGGTCCCTGTTTTCCAACACCTCCTGGTTTCCTCTTCTTTCTCTCCTGTCCTCGTCCTCTCTTTGTCTTCCCTTCCCTCTGTCTTCCTCTCCTCCTGGTCTTCCCCTTCGGCCCTCCTCCCCATCTCTCTGGCCACCACCACCACTGTTGGATGTATCCTCACCGCGGGCTTGTCCATACTGAGCCATGTCCAGCAGTCGATCAGCAATGGTCCTCCTACCAGAGCGATTCTCTCCATTGATCTCTGCGTCTCGGCCCAATGATTTCTTTCCGCTCTTTCCGCCAACCTTTGCTCCGCTGTCGTCAGGTTTCCTCTGAGCACTCTCTGATTTGTTGCCAGGCTTGCTTCTGTGTTTTGATCTGTCGTCACTTTTCTTTGTCCCCGAGGTCTTGCTGCTCTTTTTCCCACTCTTCTCAGGAGATTTCCGTCTTCTCTTCTTCTTTGGCTCTGCTTCCGAGTCAGAGGCTGAAGAACTCTCTGAATCTGGGGACAAAAAAAAATAAAAATTCACTTAAGATCACAAGTAGAAGATAGCAAAGTAAAGTCGACTACAGACGAGTTGATGTCATCGGGGGACTGAAAAATAGATCAACTCATCCAAAGTTCAACTTAACAGTTGGGAACTGAATAAAGAAGAAGTGCTGGGACTCGTGAAAAAGATCAACTTAACTGTAGAGATCAACTCAAGAGAGTTCAACATAAGCGGAGTCTGCTAGATACCACATGTTAGCAGGTACTAAAAAAATTCACATTCTAGGCACAGAACATGCCATTATAGGTAATAAAACTTCTAATGTAGCATTACCTGACTAATTAAATATTTAAGATCATTTGGAATATTTGCCCAACACTTTGTCCTGCCTCACCCACTTTACTGCACTAAACTGGGACTGTCCTCAGTTTTTTACAAACCAATAATTGCAAATGAGGAGTCCACTGAAAAAAATGGGCAGTCATAAACTGGAAATTGTGAGGGTATCAATTTTAAAAGCACGTGGACTCAATAACTTCATATTCGTTCGATTGGTGGTTTATTTTACATGTTTGTTGGATGGGAAATCTAACAACAATAATCAACCAAAAACTAAACAGCTAGAAATGCAGTTATAATGAGTCAACAAGAGTTCAAAATTGATACCCTCACGATTTTCAGTTTGTGACTATGCCCGTTTTTTGGATGGACTCCTCAAATGTAAACTCCCATACCATTATAACCCCCCCCCCCCCCCCCCCCCCCGCGCAATTCATTATCCAGCTCTGTATTTGCTGTGTTAATGTAAGATGAGCTACGTACGTTTCGGGCATGGAAAGTCAGCAGAGATACAGTTCTGTCACAATCGTACCCCTCCCCCTTGGGTACTGGATAACGAAAGGCTTGTCTAGTCATAGTTGTAAATCTACGTCATATTAAATGACGAGCTAGTCTGTGGAAAGAGGCGTTAATGCTGGGCGGTACCAGCGAAACCCAGTGCCGGACCGGACCTTTCCCAGCAGTGAATGTGGAGAACCACCGGTACCGGGAGTGACAACAGTAGGTGAGTCAAGAGACTGCGCGTTTTGCATCTCCCGTCTCACGCCACGATCAGTGCCGCCCACATCCCGGTACCTGCCCGTCCCTAACAGACGATGCTGTGCGCTAAGCCCTACATTGTGACGCAACTTGTTGCTCACATTGCTATAACTGACACTCAGATTAAACTAAAAGCAGTCTCTCTATAACGACCTTCGATATAACAACATCCTCTGTATTGTGACATGGTGCCCAGATCCCGATTTTCTCCTTATATATATATATATATCATAAGCATGGGTTATAGTTCAAAGACATAAAAAAACCTGAAGAGGTAGGGTGGGAATGTTTAAAAACCTGAAAGTCACCGTACAGAAAGATCAGAAGGCAAAGACAACAAAACACAAACTAAACATAGCTGGCACTCTGGAATTTCAAAAAAGGAGGAAATTCAAAGGCGTACGCGCACTCTCCGAAGGCTGGAGTAAAACCAGTGAGAACCAGAGGCAATATCTTGGAACATCTATGTTTTTGGAAGGGAAAAGTGTCATGTATTTGAAAAAAACAAACCGAGACACTAAGGCCTAAGCTGACTACCAAGCATTTGACCCAGTTTGGTGACTAAAAATCTAAAGTCTCATTTAAAGATTTCTTTCACTTGACACTTGTGCAAAGATGTAGTGTAGTACCATATTTGATTAAGGAGACAACACTTTGCCACTGCACGAGATTTCTTTTATGTACAATGTATATAGATCTAGTACCAAACGCAAAGTGCAGCAACTGGCTTGTTCAATTTTCTAATGAACAGATGAAGTCACACACCGTCTGCTTCTTTTTCAATCCAGCTTCATTTATTTTTGCATTCTGCATTAATTTCTCTCAAATTTCCGCCATTTTCAAAGACAACTTGGCGCACCATCGTCCCGAAGCTCAATCAACTGTCGACACTGTCACTCCACAATAAATAATCAGAAACTAAGCACAGAACGAAAGTAGGAAACTACAGGCAGACATGAGCAAGCCGCGTTTTCGTCTCACTCCCGGTTCGTTGTTTTCCGCGTGTAAAAAAAAAGTATTACAATTTGCGACCGAGAGCGGTCCAGCGGAAGGAGGAGGGTAGCAGCAAAAGCTTGATGAAGTGGAGGTTGCGGGGTTTCCGCAATTTAGCAGACTAAAAAACAACAGGTTTAAACATATTCATGGGCCTAGAGCGGATGGGGGCTTTTTCAGGACTACTGCCCTGCTTCAAGACCACCGTTTTGCATGTTGCATAGTCGCCGGTTTTTACAAACGTACGTGAAAGCCCCAGTCTAAAAAACCGGCAGACCTATGTCTGTCGAGGTTAAAAAAACCTGCGGGGCCGGCATATGCCGGTGAACTTTTACCCATGATCATAGATAATTTTGGGTTGCCTCTCTATAATGACATTTTTTTCTGGTCTCGATGATGTCGTTATAGAGAGGCTGAACTGTAAATCGGAGGTCAGGCCCGATGACTTCGTCAATATATACGAGTTTCCCTGTAACCAGTACATACCAGAGGAATCTGAGCTGGACGAAGATTCGTCACTAGAGGCTGACTTTGCGGCCGCCAGTTCTGCCTGCTCTGCCTCTTGCTTCTGCTGCATGATCTGTTTGGCCACGACCTTGAGGTGGTCACGCAGGTCATCGCTGTGGAAGGTAGAAACATTTTTTTAAAAAGCTTCACAAAGAGTTTTACAGCACTTACAACACAAATTGGACATATAAGTGTAGAAGTTGTTTTTTTTTGTTTTAGCAAGAGGTTTACAGCACTTTCAACATAATTAGGTCATTAGACCTGCTTCATAAAAGGAGGGACTTCCGAGTAACGAGCGACCACCCGAACAAACACAATATAAAAAAGAGCCCTAACCCAACCCCTACCCCTAGACCTAACCCCAAAAGAACCTGCAACGGCCCTCATGTAAAAAGGCCAGCACAAGCAAAAAAAAAAAGAAAGAAAAAAAGCACACTCCAAAACAAACAAGGAGCATTATAATAATAATATGGCCCACATTGCTGTAAAGAGTTTGATACTATAATACAATAGAATTGGAATATATTATATGAATCCTCCATATAGATCTAGTTATATTATAGATCTAGAGATCTAAATAAATCTAGATCTAGATCTAGTAGAACAAGTGAATAGGAAAGGCCTTGAACGAGAAATCCGCACATTGACTAATACAGGTGGGCCTAGCGATAGCATCGGCCGGCTCGCAGGTCGGGTCACGATTGTCGGATTTCAGACGATTGTTGGCAAACATGCAGGTCTAGGTCATATAAGTGCTGAAGATTAGAAGAGGTTACAAGAAAGTAGCAAATGCAAAAAAGGAGAGATGAGGATGACAGATGTTTGATAGAAAGAAGGAGCAAACCACACCAGAGTACCTGCCAATCACCCATGAAGATTAGAAGTGGTACCTGAGAGTAACATACAAAGAAAAGGAAGAGATGTAAGGATCATAGAAGGAGAAACCCAGCAATTCCATTATCATATCTCTTTAGCCAATAACTTTTCCCCAATACTTACGTCAAACCACCCAGTCCGATGGTGGTGAAGAAATTGATGGCAAATCTGGTATTTTTGGGGTTGTCCCTTGGCATGATGCCGGTGAAGTAGACAGACAAAGTGCTGTGGACAGGCCAGATGAAAACAGGTTAAAAAGTCTGAAAAATGACCAGGCATGTATAAAAAACATTCACACATTAGAACTGAAGGTGAAATTTGCTAACATTAACAGTCTAGCAAGCTTATACGGAAATCGGAGGACACATAAATCTTTTCGCTAAGAACTAAAAAGAATAAATCTATATATTATAAATAAACTTCGGGATCTGAAAATATGTGCACTGTGTGCATGCCAGACTGTAACATTTTAGAAAGAAAAAAACATTCTTTTATTATTTTAGAATTCTGATTGCCATCCATCTGATCCACGCAGCACAAAATTAAAATTAACTTGGCCCCAAAAATAAGAACACTGAAACATTTTTCATTAAAGCTACAGGAGAAAAATCCTTGAACTCACAAGACTGGCAAGACAAAACCACCTGAAAACTCTTATCAAAGCAATGACTTGTTTCAGATCCACGCTCTTTGTAATCTTAAAATATTCTGCAGGAGTTTGAACAGAAAAGATTAATAATTAAAAATTTATTGAATATAGAGATCTATTTTTAAAAAGTTCTTCTTACTAACCAAAAGCATGTAGATACTTACGCATCCTTGAGCCTTTCATTAAGCTTGAGCAGACCCATGTACTCTGATAGTTCCTGAAAGAGAATCTTGAGAAAGATGCGACTAGCAGACGTTGTGTCGTCCTCCGTCAACTTGACAACACTCAGCACCTAGGAGTAGAGACAAACAGTCACTGGTGTTAGGTGTAGAAAAAATAATGAAAAGACGTTGTATGGAAACATTCTCTTCGTGTTTTTTGTGTGCAAAAGTTCCCACCCGACCAGCTGTGGGCATGAAAGAGAACGGGACACAGTACTGAAAAGGGTGCCTGCCCTATGACAGAAATGTGGCACACAAGTATTTTTTCGCTTGCAACTGCATAAGGCCATATCAACGCACAAGACACAAATATTTTCAGTTGGTAGGGAATTTTGAATTTTGCCCGGGTGGCGTCCGAAGCCAACTCTTTGATTTTGGACCACCAAGGGATCTTTAAAATGCGCTACTTGCACACAGGACCCCCGGGATTTTTCGCCCTTGTCTGAGAAGACTAGGTGTAGATCTTTCCAACCAGAAGATCAGGGGTGTGCCTGGCAGGCAGCAGTAAGGAGCCAAATAGTAGCAGTAGAATTTTAAGAAAGGCTGCAGAAAGAGTCAGGAGCCCAGAGGAGGGGGCAAAGGAGGTGAGGGGGTGGGGCAGAAAGTGGAGACGAAAGCAGACCACAGAACATTGTTAGAGAGCAGGAAAGGATGTGAAAGGAGAACATTTTAGACAAAAAATTTTTCCGTCACTATCCACATTCGAACAAGAGACCTACTGAATGAGAGGCGAACACCTTAACCTCTAGGTCATGAGAGCACTCGGCACACAAGTGACACTCAATTACCAAAGAGTTGGGTTATATATAGTGTGGGGAGTGGAATAACTATCTCCTTTTTTGTTTTTTAAAAATTTTACAGCACTTGCGACACAATAAAGTCACATAAGTGCCAAAGATGAGGTCTTACAGGAGAATAACAAACATAAAAAAGGAGGAGAGATGAGGACGATAGATGAAGCGCAAACAACACCAGGGCACCCGCCAATCACCCACAACCATATCTCCCTAAGTGGAGATGGGAGAAAGACTACCCACCATTCGTCCCAGTAAAAGACAAGCACATAGACACAACACATTTTGTACTGAGAAAAGCAAACTGAATAGCCAGACACAATTTTAACAGGAAGGAAAACAGACAAGTAGAGATCATAACCCATGGGTCGAACATAACATTTTATCTTATTTATATCTGAAAAAAAAAGCCACAAAAAAAAAAGGAGGAATACTAGAGCCCCTGCTGATCACCAGCACAAGACAGGGGGGAACAATTCATATGCCACAACCCTGACGAACACGAACAGCACATCAATTCACACAGAATTTAAATGACAATTCCACTGTTATTCTAATTGAACAAACTTGTAGTCTGAACTTACCCCCCAGGAGATGGCATCAGTGTGCAGAAGGTGGGCAAAGAACTTGGACACGTTCCTCACTTTGTTGGTCTCCAGTCTGTGAATTGTCTCATATTGTTCCATGAAGATCTGCTGGAACGGCTCTATGTACTTCTTGTCAATCTGGCAGAACCTCTGTTAAGAAAAACAATACAAGGTGAACTAGACACAAATACAATATAATTGTGACTTTTTACTTTCTGTTTTGTTTAGTTCGAGTAAAGAGAAGCATAGCAACATAATATCAGTCATTTAGTGCTGGGGACAAAGAAAGACAGATAGCCAGAAAAAACATGGAGAAAGAAAAGAAGTAGGACTTACTAGAGGTGCCCTCCAGCCTTTTCTATCAAGCTAGTAACACTGAAAAGAACGTATCGGTTCTTATACCCGTACAGAGAATGACGAGAAAAAAAAAAGACATGAATTAAGTTGAAGAGCACGAGCAAAGTGGCTGCAGGTATATATGTAATTTAAATCAGCAACCAAATCACAACAATGACAATCACTTAGGGTACTGTTAAAGGAGCAGCTGAAATTAAAACAACTCTAGTCTACTCTATACACGTCGCAGAATACCGAAGGCAAAACTCTTAACCCCCCCAACAACAAAGAAATCAAAACAACCCAAATTTTAAAGGTAGCTATCACAATAACTATCAGTATAAAACTTATGTCTACTATAAACAGTTCTTCCAAGTTATGAAGTTCATTGCAATATTGTAAGCAATGCTCAATGTAGGCTTCACATGCTTCAAGCACATTCTGTTCCCATCGAGTGTCCTTTTACTGTGGGAAACCGTTCAGACTTGAGAGCATTACCTGAGCTAGCAACCCGAAGAACTTTTCATATGTCCTGAGTTGAGCACAGCAATCCAGGATCATGTTGCACAATTCCACCTGAAAAAATGTTTTAAAAACATAATTAATAAATAATCACACAATATTTCAACACAATTTTTGTGTATCACTCTCTGTTACAAGAAAATTACATCCATTCAAACAAGCTTTTAGAATTCAAATCACAATTCTATGAAAGGATTCTCTGGAATGCTTCCACACTACCATAAATTCTCAGATTGACTACACATAGCTGCCACTCAGAAATTTTTTAAAAGGAGGAAATTCACGCGAAAGCGTACGCGCGCTCTCCGAAACCAGTGAAATCCAGAGGCAATATATACTGGAAAATCTAGCCTACGGTTTTGGAAGGGAAAACTGTCATATTGTTAACCATAGGCAACTGAATTAAAATGTATTTGAAAAAACAACAACAACAAAAAACAACAACATAAAGGCAGTAAGTTGACTAACAAGAATTCGAGTCAATTTGACACAGTTTGGACTTGGTGACTAAAAATCTAGTGTTTTTTGCCAGCTGGTGTCTCATAAAAAGATTTCTTTCACTTTAAACTTGTACATACATAGACGTAGAGCAGTATCGGATCAAGGATGCAGGCACTCCTGTACAATTGCGGTCCCGTTTGCACTTAGTGCCCCTGTAGTGTGTTTCTTATTTAGAGATCTAAACTGAATTAAAATTATAGCCTAGGCTATCTAATCTAGATCTAGATATATCTAAATATGTGTAGATCTAGATTATATCTAGAGATAGATTTTCTAGATCTAAATCTAGATTCACTTCCGCAGCAGCCACAATAGCCGTCATGTAAACAAACGGGACCGCAATTGTACAGGACTGTAACAGGAGAGCCGCGGGCCGCGATTTCTTTCGCAAAGAACAGCTAGTTCAATTTTCTAATGAACTTTTCAAGTCGCACACCGGCTGCTTCTTTCTCATTCCAGCTCCTTTTATTTTTGCATTCTGAATCAATTTCTCTCGAATTTCCGCCAATTTCAATGACAACTCGGCGCGCTAACGTCCCGATGCCCGATCGACACTGTGTTGCTCCATAACAATAAACAATGTGAAACTAGCGCTGGGCCTAGAAGAACGGAAGTAGAAAGCTACGGGCGGACATGCGCAGACCGCGTTTTCGTCTCTCTCCCGGTTCGGTGTTTTCCGCGTGGAAAAAAAGTATGAAATTTGCGACCAAGAGCGGTCCAGCGGAGGAAGGAGGAAAGTTGCGGGGAAAGCTAGATGTAGCGGAGTTTCCGCTATTTAGCGGGAAAGTGGCAGCCATGACTACAACAGCAGGGAACTAGTCTAAACTGTCCAAAACAACCACCCACCATCACGGAGAAAAGTGGTTGTCTAAAGACAAATGGAAATCTAGGGACAGTGTCATTAAAATATGAAAAATAGCAAGGTGGGAACGGGGTCTACAAGTCGCTAGCATAGAATTACAAATATTTATTTAACATTTTTGGCTGTTTTTAGTTGCTAAGACCATGAGGTCAGAAACCAAATGTGCTCTATCAAAATCATAAGATAATTTGGAGTCGTTGTCAAGATAATAAAAAAAATGCACTTTAAAAAGTTTGACATGAGAAACTCAAAATTTTTAACGGCAAATTTCTCAAAACTAGATACTGAGCAGACAGAACGTTGTAATTCTGAGGTAGCGAATTGGTTGTTAGAGCAGGTTCAACTGTATATGCACAAACACACTTCTTTTTCAGTGAGAAAGTACTGTTACTTCTTTTCTTCCCATTGTTCAAATAATCACATGTCCAAGAGAAAACAAGATACTACGAGAAACAAAACAAAATTCAAGGAGACTTGGTCAAGACACAGGAGTTTTCAAGGAGGTTCCTCAAATTCCAGAAGTTTTCAAAGAGGTTTCTCAAATTCAAGGAGTTTTCAAGGAGACTTTTCTTTGAATGCAAATTCAAGGAGTTTTCAACTCAAGGAGGCCGCAGGAACTCTGCTTCTAGCCTACCGACACAAACAGGGACACACTCACGAAGGAAAGTCTGGGATCACATACCTCTTGTCCTGGCTTCAACTCCATCTTGAGCATCTTATGAGCACATTCATTGTGGTCCAAACTTGACTGCACGGTCAGGTAGATCATTCGCCTCAGAGCCACCAGGTTTGTCTCTGTCTGGTCAATGATCCGTTGTTGCTCCTCTGAAGGTGACCAAAGAAAAACAACCATTAGAAAAATGTCACAGGCGAGTCTGTTCAAAGCAATTTTGCGAAGCATAGGTTTAACAGGGAAAAATAAAACCCTCCAAAAAAACCCATAAGGCACGAAAATTTCAAACAATTTGGAGGGGGGGGGGGAGACACGCAAATCAGGACCTAACAGCTAAACAACTTTTCTGTCCAGGAAAGGGACTTTTTGCAGACCAAAATAATCCCTGAAAATATTCAAATCAGTTTTGAAAACAATAAAACCAACAATATAGAACTACTCAAGGCAAAGAAATAAGAACTCTGAAACCTAACGATCTCATGCCTGTCTTCAAAATTACACAATTTGGGTTTAATAAGGATTTAATATCATACAAACAAATTTACTTAAGGAAAAAAGAAGTCAAAATACTCACTCTCTTCTTCCTCCTCATCCTCGCTGTCCGACGATCCGGAACCTGAGCTTTCGCCAGACTCTTCGTCAGAGCTGCCTTCCGCCAGAATTTCTGTCGATATACACAGTCAACAATGTTAAAATCCTACAGGATTCACCACAATAAATTGTTATCACAAAAAAGAGAGCGCATTGGAAGATGCATTGTGCCCAATTGTCGGAACAGGGTCAAATTTTTATTTTGACCAGAAAAAGTTTACAGTTCCAGGCTCTGAAATTGCCTTTTCCTATTCAAACAAATTTCTCATTTACATCTTCCTAGATCCTATCCTCATCAATCTTCTTTTCATCTAACCAGATACACAAAACCCTGCACAATAAGCTTGTTGTAAAAAATCAGTGACAAGATACTTGAGACTTGAATCAGGGATTACTAAGCAATAGGAACACAAGGTACAGCCTTCCACACGAACAAAAAAATAATGAATAAATTTAAATAATCATAGCATATTGAAGCTAGGGAAGTTACCTTTCTTTAATGCCTTGTACTTCTCTTCATTTTCTGCAAAGTTTGGATCTTCCTTGAAAATATCTGAAATACGAGAAAGGAGAGATTGTCAGACTCCAAAGATACAAGAAATGTAATTACAAGAAAAAGGAGCAAGGGGGACAAAAAGTAGAAAAAGGGAGAAAAAAATATTATAATTGGCCTGAAATCACATAGGCTTGATCGCTGACAAGCAAAACAGTGGCACAAAGTTTGAGTCAGGCAGAGGGAGGGAGGTTTTAAGTTTTAGTAAGTGTTTTACCGTACTTGGAACACGATAAGGTCATATAAGTGCCGAAGATTAGAGGTGTAGCAAGAGAATAACAAGCGCAAAAAAGGAGGGGAGATAAAGACACACCAGAGCATCCGCCAACCACCCACAGAGGGAGGGAGGGAGGGAGGGAGAGAGATAGAGAGAAAAAGAGAGGGAGAGAGAGAGAGAGAGAGAGAGAAAGAAAGAGAGGGAGGGAGGGGGGAGAGAGAGAAAGAGAAAGAGAGAGAGAGAGAGAGAAAGAGAGAGAGAGAGGGGGAGAGAGAGAGAGAGAGAGAGAGAGAGAGAGAGAGAGAGAGAGAGAGAGAGGGGGAGAGAGAGAAAGAGAGAGAGAGAGAGAGAGAGAGAGAGAGAAGCATATCGACCAAATAACAATCAATAAGTGCATGGACAAAGCAAGATAGACAGACAAAAAAAAAGGGAAAGCAAATAAGTAAGACCTATCAATGATACCTGCCAACCAGCCCCCCACCCCACCCAAGACACACAAACAGACAAAAAAAGTGAAACTGAAGCACAGAAGGGATGAGGCATGTTACATTTTATTGCCTGTTTATCGTGTATGTGTGTATATCTGTAATCATTTTTAAAATTTTGAAACAATTTTACTGCACTTGCAACACAATAAGGTAATATAAGTATTAAGTGCAGAAGACTAGAGGCTTTACAAGAGAGTAACGGACACAGAAAAGGAGGGGAGATAAGGATGATAGAAGCTCGACGGGAAAGAGCTAGCAAACCACACAAGAGCACCCTCCAACCACTCCCACAATAGTCATACAAGAATAGAAGATTAGAGGTGTTAAAAGAGAGTAACAGACACAGAAAAGGAGGGGAGATAAGGGCAATAGAAGCTCGACGGGAAAGATGTAGCAAACCACACCAGAGCACCCGCCAACCCCCCACAGGGGAGATAAGGGCGATAGAAGCTCGACGGGAAAGAGGTAGCAAACCGCACCAGAGCGCACACACACACACCCCCCGCTGCGTGGTACTCACTGAGCATCTCGTCCCCGGCCGTGGCGTCCTCCAGCAGCAGCAGGTGAGTGAACTGCTCGTCCTCCTGCACCAGGTCCAGCTCCTCCATCACAGACACGTGGTCCTGAACGACGCAAACACACACACACAGAGAGAGGGGTCAGCTTATGTTACTTGTACAGGTAAATCCTGCTAACAGGAACATGTGCACAATATACAGCTGAGCCTGTGTAAAACGGACACCCATTGTCATGGAGAAAAGTGGCTGCATAACACAGGTCTTAGGCAGGACTGATCAAAATGAAGAGAGTAAACCATTCCCTTCTGAAGCTCAAACCGGGGCTGATTCAGGTTTAGGACTGCCGTAGGGCGAATTCAAATTGTTTCCTTTGGGGGGGGGGGGGGGGGGGGGGTGTAAGAAGGGTTTTGTTCTGTTATTGCTTTGTTGGTTTGTTGGGTTTTTGGGTTGGTTTTTTTTAGCTTTTTGGTTGCTGATTTTGGGAAAGGATTTAATAAAGAAAGTAAGACGATGAAGACCGAGTGTCATGGTAAAATAAACACAGGGTCTCCACCACTTGGAGAACGAGTGACGCTCCTGTCGCAAGTTAACGTTTATGTCTGTTGTTACTTTGTTACAAATTAGGTAAACAAAATAGTGACCAGTCACTTCACGTACAATTTGTATGAGTTGTGGGCGGGGCTTATAGTTTATGACGGACACACACTTCCCTCACCAGCAGTTGAAAATGTATTGTTACCCATAGGTCAACTTGGGTAAACATTCATTGGAGGGACTAACAATAATGACAGGTGAATGGATTATAATGGCCCGTCCACAGCGTCAGAGACCGATTTCGAATTCATGACAGAGCATTAGGCTATTATAGAGACCACGTCTGGCCGCCTGAGGCAGGTAAATTTGATAAAACAAGGTGGCCGCGGCGGACAGGTGACCGTTTTACACAAATTATATAGAAAAATCACAAGGGGGGAAATGGAAAGTGGCTGTTTGTACAGGTGGCCGTCATAGCAGGTTCGACAGTAGTTCTAATAATGATCCTGTCTCTTCATATTCCCCCGCCCCATCCCTCTTTCTATACTTTCTAGTCTTCCACGAAAAGTTTTTTAAAAACATGCCCCCCCCCCACAAAAAAAAACCCACCAACAAAACAGCCCAAACACCAACAGCTCTATATCATCTCCCCCCCCCCCGGTGAAAATAGAAAAAAAAAAAGTTGAATTTACTAGTGGCACACGGGTAAACAGAATGCACACTACCTCTTGCCCACTCAAATAAAAAAAAAAAAGACCTTTATTTCATTACAGAATAATCAGAAAAAGTATAGTACTGCATTCATCAGCCGTAGTTTTAGTTAGAGTTTTACAGTGCTTGCAACACAATAAGGTCATTTAAGTGCCAAAGATTAGACAAGACAGTAACAAACACAAAAGAAGAAGAGAGGCGAGATCAGGACGATTGAAAGCAAAGAAGGAGCAAACCACTACAGAGCACCCGCCGACCACCCGCAACTGCAGTCCAGACAAGAAAAAACTTTACCTTGAACCCGTCCTTGCGGATGGCAAACATGACCTCCACCATGTACTGGACGCGAACATCCAACTGACCCTCATGAAGGATATTGCGAAGACGTTCAAAAATAGCTGAAACAGAGCAAAAATCATATTAGTGCAAGTTAACTAAAACATTATTTCTTACAATTCAATGCACAAATGAGACACTGCATGTCATGAGTTTGCTTAAGTAAAGAGAAGCACATTGACACAGTAAGTCATTTAGTGCAGGCAAAAAACAAAACAAACAAAAACAAGACAAATAATAGGACAGAAATAACAGAGGGAAAGAACAAATAGTAAGATATTGCAGCCACCTGACCAAATAACTGATACAGGATACAACTTTCATTATATAGTAATTCAATCACCAACAAAACACATCATCTCACCACACAATAAGCCTATGTATCCTTATGCGCGACGCGACCTTCGTGCGACAGTCGCAAGGTGTGTATCCTTATGTGCGACAATGCTGCGGCCTAATTTTCAGTCGCGTGCGACAGAAGAGGCAAAAGTGTCTCCTTACCCTCGATGCAATGTTACATCGCGCGGGACTGGTAAATCTCGTGCGTGACTGGCAGTTCACAACAGATAGACAGTAGCAAGTCATTTTTTTAACATAGCCTTGAGCCTTGCCTAAACTCACGTGTAAGGAGACAGTTTCTTTATAATATTACTTGATGATTGATTTTAGAGCGACAAGGACCAGATGCGACGTCACGTCGCGCATAAGGAGACAAGCTCTAAGAAGACACAAAGAAATCCAACACCACAGTGAACCAACAAACAATATATATTGTGAAAAGGTTTTTTAGTTTTACGGCACTTGCAACACAAGTAGGTCATAAAAGTGCAGAAGATTAGAAGTGAAACAAGAGAATAACATACTGTATCATACGCAAAAGAAAAGGAGAGAAGAAAAGGATGATAAGATATTTGATGGGAAAGAAGGAGCAAACCATACCACAGCACCTTCCAACCACTCACTAAAAATACTCTCCTAGAGAGAAACAAGATGACATCTAATTTTTATAAGAGTTTTACAGTATTTGCAATTAGGTTACCGGAATCGTAATCGTGAGAGGGCGGTTTTGGGGGTTAGAGCTGCGGGCCCGATGTTCTGTCCTTAGGAAAGGCACTTTACACCAATATTCCTCACTTCACTCAGGTGGGAATGGGTACCCACCAATAGACAGTGAAAGATCTTGTCTGTGTGTTAGTGTTTTAGCGCCTATAAATGGTCGCTTGCACTGTATGCTTCCCAGGAAGTTGAGGTTGTTTCAGAATGCTCTCAGGTCTGCTGGGGTAATAGCCCATGAAGCGCATAGAGCTTGCTGTTGAGCGGAGATTTGCGCTATACAAATGCTATCTATTGTTATAATTATTAAATAGGTCAAACATATACATACAAAGAAAAGAAGGTTGAGATATAAAAGACAATAGATGTTTGATAAGGGGAAAAAAAGGAGCAACTACACAAGGGCGTCCGCCAACCACCCATTCACCCACAAGATGACAGCCAGCTTCTGACTCCTACAATCCCCACATACGGTTTCACAAATTATACTTTCAGTCACACAGTCATGAAAGAATCTTGACTCACAACACTACGCGGGCAGTATTGCATACAGACGTGAGTAATTTTTGGCGGCCTTTGAGACACGTCTGTATGTAATACTGCCCGCGACTAGGTCCTTGGTGAAAATATTTTGTTTTCTGAGATCACTCTTACAATTCAATTAGTAATTCCCCAAAATATTTCTACTCACAGTTAACACCCCTTGGGGTGACCTCTGTCAACTTCTGGCCACATTCCTTCAGAAACCCGATGGACACTTCCACAGAGTCATCGGTCGGTGTCTCCAGCAATAAGGTCAGGACCTCGAGGGCGATCACTTCATGGGCCTATAGAAACACACACAAACAGACATAGTTTTTAACCTTACAGACAGTCACACTCACAAACTGCGGTCATGCTTGCTAAGTAAGACAGTGCACATTTGTTTGTATGTGAGAATAAAAAGAAGCATTTTTGTTTAAGTTTAAAATGTTTTTCGGTACTTGCAACCCAATTAAGTCACAAGAGTGCAGAAGATGTTACAAGAGAATAATAAAAACACACCAAAAAAGAAGGAGAGATAATGACAACAAATTTTTATAGGAAAGAAGGAGCAAACCACACCAGAGCACCCGCCAAGAAGCATATATTTATACAATAACGTCATTAATGTGGAGAACGAGTATGGCAGACAGAAAGAACAGTGAGACAAAAAGAAGTAGGATCTACTTCTGATGCTCCTTCAACACCTGCAAGACATAACAGGGAAGACAAAGAAAGTTCCACAGTGGGGGACAACTTGCACACTGAGAGAATTGCCTATCATTTAGCAACTAGCTTGGGGTCGGGTGAGTTTGTGTCTGTGTGTGTGTGCGTGTGTACTACAGCCACAAAAGACAATGTGAGAGGAAAGAAGTACCGGGGTGACCATGACAAAAACAAAGACAGAAAAAATATCCACAACAGAGCCCAAAGTACAGTACAGTATAACAGTATTAACAGGTTGTTTTTTTAAAAATACCAGAACAATTTTGCTCAAGTAAATCACAACTTAATCCTTCCAGCCCTGAGCATGTATATTTTCAGAAGCTTGTATCTCCCACCGTCCAAAGAGAGTATATTCTCAATTTCAGGGGTACCGAATCTGCGCGTTTTTCGAAATATTAAGCGAACCTAATTAAACTTTAATTTTCACAATTTTGTTCATTTACCTTTGAACCTTGATGTATATTAAACTATTATCTAAACCTCATTACAAAGATACAATATCATTTTTCAGAAGGCATGAGTCTTTTTCAGAAATACTGCAGTATAGGCTGGGACTGGGGTTAGGGAGTGCACAAAAATGGCTGGGGCTGGAAGGGTCAACACAAAAACAGTCCACAGACAGAGACAGTCAGGTAAGAATTGAGTAAAGAATCACAGGCAAACAAGATGCCATAAAAAGATGCCCTCCACGAACCCACCAAGCAAACTACACGCTCATTTTAACTTACACACAACATCTTATCTGGCTGAGTCTTTTCATAAGCATTAACGTAGAGCCCAGTTGAAGATAGGTTAAAACTGATTTCAGTACTATGTTGAGGAATGTTTAAAAGTTGTGAACTGCAGTTCATATTGTAAATACAAATTCCATCCACAGAGTCCAAAGCAATTTGAACAAAATTAACCCAATCTTACCTGAACAATCATTTTATAACATCTTAAGAAATCAAGACACTTGGCAATAGGGGGAGGGCTATCTTGGACCAACTCATGGTTCTGCCGTCAGCCCAGAACGACAGAGTGAATGATCCATGGGTGCCCAGGTGACCAGCCAATGGCTGACCTGTAGCTGCATAGGTCATCAGCCAACTGGCTGATCCACGGATGCTGGGGTGACCAGCCAACCGGCCCATCCATAGATGCACGAGTGACCAGCTTCCAGGAAGATCCACGGATGCTTGAGTGACCAGCCAACAGGCCAGTCCATAGATGCTCGAGTGACCAGCGAAACAGCCAGTCCAGGGATGCTTCAGTGACCAGCCAACTGGTCGATCCAAAGATGCTTGAATGACCAGCCAGCCATCATCATCTTGACTGATCCAAAGATTCTTGCATGACCAGCCTACTGACTGATCCTCGGATACCCATGACCAGCCGAGAGACCTGACCCCTGGGTGCACACTCTGATGACCTGCCAGTCAGCTGACCGCAGATGCTCGTGACCAGAGAAGCAACTGCTCCAGACACCGGTGACTGGCCCGTTGGCTCATCCTTGAACGCTGGTGACCAGCCAAGAGACCGGTCCTCCAACGTACGCTCCAACGACATCTTACAACACCAGCCAGTTGACCGACCCCTGGAGCTACAGACCGGCCACTCCACATCTCTTGGACACATGACCAGCCAGTTGACCAATCCCTGGGTGTAGACTCTGATGGCCAGCCAGTTGACTGACCCATGGACGCTGTTGTGAAAGGCGACAGACCAGCCACTCCACATCTCCGGGACCCACGACCAGCCAGTTGACCGACCCCTGGGTGGAGACTCTGATGACCAGCCACACGACAGATCTGCCAACGCTCACGACCTGCAAAGAGACTGCTTCAGGGATGCTCTGTTGACCAGTCGAAAGACTGATCTCTGGATGCAGGCTCCGATGACCATCCAGCGGACAGATCCGTGGATGCAGAGATGATCACCCACAGGCCAGCCGCTTGACAAATCCCTGGATACCCATGACCAGTCGTTGGACTGATCCGCTGATGCTCGATTGACCAGCCAATGGACCGACAGATTCTTCCATACTTGAGTGACCAACCAGCTGCCCCATCCATCGGACATTTCCATGGCCAGCCAGTTGACTGCTCCTTGGATGCTCGTGAACAGCCAGTTGACTGCTCCTTGGATGCTCGTGAACAGCCAGTTGACTGCTCCTTGGATGCCCGTGAACAGCCAGTTGACTGCTCCTTGGATGCCCGTGAACAGCCAGTTGACTGCTCCTTAGACGCCCATGACCAGCCGTTAGACCAATTCTTCCCCGGAAGTGTGGTTGGTCTGCGAACAACCAGCCACACCAGTGACCGATCGCTGACCGGCCGACTCCTGGACTGATCCAAGAGGGCGCCTGCTTGGGGATCAGTCCTAACTTTGTGCACCTGACGGATGACCGAGAAATCAACTCACCACGACTTGGTTAACCAGATGTGCGATGAATCGGGTGGAGGAAAGGCAGAGAGCCTTGTCATTTCTTCGGAAGCCTCGCTTAAACATCAGGATCAGACGTCTCAACATGAGCTCGCCATTTTGGGGGAACTGTGAAAGAAAATAAGCAGAGCAAAAGATAATCTGGCCCATTAAAAAACTCAGGATTACACAGTAAACTTATCAAAGCTGTCTTTCCATAAAATATTCAAACTCTCTGCCAAGAACAATTGAAAGGCATGAGCCATACTAAAAGAAACAACTTTAATAACCATTTCAGTTTCATTCTGGAACTATATCTCCGATCGAAAAGCAATTGGACACCTGACAACATTTAACACATTAAAATTTTACAGCCATTAACTTCTGATAATTCATATACAATTGTTTTCTTCACCAGCACGACATCTAACAAGAAAAAAAAAGTATTTACTTTAAAAAAGCTTTCCAAAAGGCTTTTGACAAAAATAAACAGACTACTTTTCACTTTGATCTCGTACAAAGGAAAGTACACATTGATCCATCTAAAGTTACCTTGGTGTTGATGATGGCTACAAGAGCAGCATAGACGTGGGTGAAGGTTGGAGAAGCAGCCTGAGCTTGGATCACAGAGCGTGCAAGGAGACCACTGAGGAAATCCACAATTTCAGTGAGTTAGCAGCTCTTTCAATACAGAAGACTACATCATTGGGTGAAGTGATAAAACACGATGAGGGATAGACATAAAGACAAATTGAAAAGAATTACAATATGATAATCATAATATATACTGATAATGCAACAGCTGTTTCTTCAACTGCCTGTTTTTGTGACTAGAGACCTGTTGACTTGTAGTGTAGTTTATAGGACGTCTGTTATCGCCGACTCTTATTTCAGGCATGTCAGAACGATAAGAGTTGTACTTCACAGAGATAAAATAAATCATAGAAGTGAACGCAGAAGACCACATCAAAAGCCAAACGTCCTGTGTTCTTTCAAAGCACACAGTCAAATTAGACAACTAAACAACGAACTCACCACAAAATATGTATGTTTAGAACTATTGGGCTTTGGCCTGGAGCTTAGGATGATCTCAAATCGATGCAACTTTACATAAATAAAAGGCAGTTTAATTGAAATTGTAGAAGCAAGAACTAAATTCAACATTCATTATTCATAAACCAAAAATTCCTAAAAATAGTCATCTTCTTCTAACTTTACGTGCCAGGCCTGAAACAGATAGCGGTAGTTATGGTTCCCCCTCATTTCTCAGGTCTCATAAACCAAAATTATCTAAATGGTCAAATCCTGTACAAAGAAAGAAGCTACATACCTCAACTTTTTACTGAGTTGGGTTTTTAGTAAGAGTTTTACTGCACTTACAACACAAAAGTCACAAAAGTACTAAAGATTAGACGTGTTACAAGGGAGTAACATACGAGGAAAAGATGGAAGACAGATAAAGACAACAGATATTTGAAAGGTAAAGAAAGACCAAACTACCTGCTCTGATTGAGCCAACCTTCTGCTCAAGAAAGATCAGGCCATCATCCTCCACCTGAAGAGACCCCATATCCTACATAAACAGCATTACCACACAGAATGATCTGTAAATGCAGGAGTTAGCATGCCACGCCTTGACACCTGCTTCACATGTATGACTGCTCCCCCCTGACAGAACACAGGGCCATTTTCTTTACTTGCAGCCAAATATGGGTGATGTATTGCACGGAAAAACTGAACATGTTTTTTTGGGTACATCGGAGTAAAGACAAATAAAGCGACACAACACCCATTCAGTACAGTTCAAGGGATTGGCAAGACAAGTATACACTACAAAAGAAAAGCAAAGTAGCACCGTCCAATAGTGCTGTGCGATTTTGAGGAAACAAAAAATTGCTATTCTACATTTGCCAGCTATTCACAGCGCCGTTGAATGTTTTTTTTCTTATATGTGATAAGCCCAGATCTAACTCAGGGTTCCCAGCGAAAAATTTTCCCAATCCCTGAACTTTGTCAGAGGATCGCGATAGACGCAACAAAGACGAAAACGAGCACTGAAAGGATCCATGTAAACAAACAAAACTAGTTATACAGACAATGGCACAAAACAAAAACACAATAATGCACTTGAAAGGGGAGACCTGTAGATCTTGTACAAGTTTCTGTTTCACTGTCTTAGCAAGGTCAAATTTAATTTTGTATGCAGCAGCAGATGCTCCTAATTGCACGGAAGCCAGGGCCTGTGGGTCTGTACTGCAGGCTTTAGCTACATCCACAAGCACAAAGGCAAATGTCAGAGGCATTGAATGCTGAGCCATTACAGAGAGAATCATGGCTTCCATTGAGGCTACCCTGTCTGATAGCGGAATCATAGGCACTGGCTTGGGTTGACTCGAGCTAGATCTAGATCTAGTATCACCTCCTCCATCTTTCTCATTTGAATCTGATGTTACTTCTTGCACTTGGGAAACTTTAGGGGATCCGAAAATTGGGAAAACCTTTTTGGATGGGTTGACAAAGCTCCATTGATTGTCACATTCACCACATCTTCTAACTACTGATACTTTCACTTATTCTTGCAATCATTGTCTATTTCTTTCACAATGGCCTCTTCACTCTTTGAGAGAACGTGATACGCCATCTTCCAGGCTTCTTTGTTGTTTTCTCTTTCCTTCCAACACAGACTGGATGTTTGGAAAAAGAAAATGTTGCCAGACACATGTATTCGCATAAATTGTGAAAGTCAACCGATTTTGATAAAAACCGGAAAGGCAAAGTAAGTAGTAGTTATTAACAGGAAGTAAAGGTGGGCGGTTAGTGCCAAACTGGCATATATCGCTCTATTATTATGTCCTCCAAATTTTCGCATTTTTTCTCGGAGAAGATAATTATGAAACCCGCGCAGACGCGAAGCGCGACGGAAACATGACCGCACGATGCTCAGTGATTCCGCGGCCGCTAATCTCAGCCCCTGACTTTCTCCGAACCGCGAACCCTGGAAATTCGTGGATCCACGGAAGTCTGAGAGCCCTGCTAACTTCCGGTATTCACAGCGCTGTTGAATAGTTTTTTTCTTATATAAGATACGCCCAGATCTAACTTCTGTAATTCGGAACGCTAGTCACTGAGCGTGCGTGTGTTGTTGTCCCATGCGCCCAGACAGTGTAATGTGTTGGCATCATGTCACCGTTCAAAGGACTTCGAATTTCGAGTACGGTAAGGGGAGTTCATTCATTGCGACAGCTAACTTCACTGAAAAAACATTCGCTGCCCTTCAAGAGTCAAGTGCCCTTGCTTGAGCTGTCCATAGTGTGAGGAGTGAATATTGATTAGTAAGAGATATTCTCTAAAGGATTGTTTTATAACTCTTGTAGGCTCCTCTTATCACTCTGTCTCATAACCATAAAAAAAGAGTATTTCTGTATATTTATCTTAATGATTTTAAATTTAATGTACTCCAATTTTTCCATGTTTGAGAAAAATGAGACGAAAATCCAGAATCTGTTAAAAAAAATTAAAAATCACACAGCATTCGAATGGCTCTGCCACGCTTCAAATATTGTGAATAGTGCAAAAATCATGAATGTCGAATAGTAAAGTCGATTGGGAATAGCTCTACCATCCAACTATCTGCATCAACCATGAAACTATTTTTTAGTATAATCAAAGCTAGCTACATAAAAAGATAAACCTGCATCGCACAAACTGAAGGACAGAAGAAAATTTTGACTGTTTCTAAAAGACTGAATTTCTCAAAATGTCTTAATAGTTAAACTAACACACACACACAAAACAACAACAACACCCCCCTCCCCAAAAACAAAAATATTTTTAAAAATTACATTCTAAATTAAATAGCTTCTGGGGACACTTACCGTCCTCTGACAATGTTCTCCTGAAAGAGTTCTTTGGTGATTTCGATGATGTTGGACACGTTTACCTTGTTGATCAGACCGTTGATGCTCTTCTTGAGAGCTTCCCAGGACATGCGCTGATAGGCCGCACTGAGTGAAACAGAGAAACACAAAAATGTGAAGCCAGTTGTCAAGTCAGCCGCACCTGAAGGGTGGTTTGTAGCTTATTGGAAGTTAAAACAAGAAAAAAAATAGCACATTAGAAACATTGAAAAGAAGATGTAGATAACATCGAAGCAACCTGCCATCAAGCATTCTTTACTTTAAGGGACTTGTGATTCTGAGGAAGGATTGCAATTTCACCAAACATTATAAATCTGAAGTCAGAAACTCTGGGGAAAAACAAAACAAACTGAACAGTAGTTTCCCTGCAGCCAAGAACTGCACTGCTACCTAGAAAAAAAAATCTCCTGCATTCTTCCCTTTGGGAAACACTTAAATTGTTCTAGATAATTATTAGACATACAACACCATAATGGCCACTATCATTAACAAAAAAGACAGAAAACTCCCATGAACAGTGGTGAACTGTTAACTCAAAGCATCATCGTGCTGAAAATCATTTACCAGCAAGAGAAAAAACAAAAAGAGAAGATTATAAGACAATTTAACTTTAAATAATTTTACTGTATGGGAGATACAAGAGACAACAAGACTTCCAAACGAAAATAATCTCTGCTTCATTTGAACCTAAGTGGTCGTCAGATGAGTCCAAAAAATTTTTTTTTTTAATCCACAGGACATTCCAGTAACAAACCAATCATACCTTGTCTTGTCAGTGATCTGTTCCTGCATCATGCGCAGTTTGGCAGGTGGGATGTAAGCCCCACCAGTTCTCATAGTTATGTCAATTCCGCCCACCAGCTTTGGCTCAGGCTTCTTGGCTCTGCTTTCTTTGGCATCTTTAACCCTGTTTGAGAAGAAAAACAGCAAATTTGGTCTTTTAAACATGAGAGGGACCACTTTTTTTCTCTTTCTATCAAAGGGAGAAAAAAATGTCTGTGTGTGAGGCGGGGGGAAAGAACAACTTTTTGTTTCTGCTAAGCTAGAGTAAATATAACTATAACTCACCATTAGAGTGACTTAAAATATCTAAATAAAAGATTAATTGCAAGTAAAGGATGATCTTCCACACTGACGTCTAAAAGACCTTTCTGAGGAAAACAAAAACACACAAATGCATTCTTCCATAAACAAAAAGTAAGAAAAGTTTGACAATTCCATGATAGCCGTCCAAATTGTGACAGAAAATTCACAGGGCTTGACTAAGAACAGCCATCCTGAAGGTGTTAGTAACAATGATCATGTGTGGATGTTATCTCACTGCCAACCATTCCCCCCAAACACTGTGTGATACAGCCCTACCTACTGAACTTGCTATCGATAAGACCATATTCCTTTATGCACAAGTCCAGTTCTCCAATATTTTATTTTTTAAAAACCAACAACCCACATTTCCTGTTATTCAAACACAACCCCCCTCCCCCCACCCCCGAAAAAGAACCCACCCCTCCCCTTAACAACTGAATATTTTATTTAGCTTTAGTTTGTATTGTAAGAACCTACAAGTTTTAGGTAAACATTATAAAGCAATTATCAAGAAAATAAAATCGAGCTTCAACGCAACTGACCTGTCATTGTCCTTTTTAGGAGACGTTTGTTCAGACTTTCCTTCATCATCCTCTCTGTTGTGACGCTTCCGGTCTCTGTCATCTCTTCTTCTCTCCAGAGGGCTTCGTTCTCGCCGACTGCGCTCAAAACGATCGTGCCTATCTTGCCAGCGGTTGTCGTAACGACCACTTCCTCCACCACCACTATATCTCTCCCTGGGTGGACTTGCCCCTCTGTCTCGACCAGCAGAGCGGACCACGGAGACAGAACTGCCCATCTTCCCGCCATGCCGGTGGCGCCTTTCCTCTTCCTCCTCCTCACTCTCGCTCTCAAGCTGTGGTCGTTCACGTTGACTCGGAGCTGCCACCTCCCCCTCTTCTTCTTCCTTCCCCCTCTCTTCCGATCTGCCGCTCGCCTTGCTCACCACCTGAACCATAGACCTGGTCCTGCTCTCTCCACCAGGGCCAGATTTTTTGGACGAGTCTTTACCACCAGCCTGGCCAGACTTGGCAGCTTTTCGTGACTCTTTCGTGACACTGTCTGCTTTTTCCTCTTCCTCGGGGGGAGGCGTGCCAGGAGATCCCGGGGACATCTCAGGTGCCATGCCCAACTGGGATGGCGGTGCTGGGCGCTGGGGTTTTGATGAGCTTTCTTCATCGCTACTGATGTCAGATATATCCTCGCTGAAACACCAAAAAAACAAAGTATGAGGAATGAGAAGGTTTTAACGATCCCATAGTAATGCTTTCACAAAAAACGCTATAGTTGGAAGAGCAAAATCAGGTCTCAGCACCTAATTTAGCGTCAGAATTGAATGGCAATCAGAACAAGGAAGATTCTGTTAACCCAGCTATACAGTGGACAGCTTGTGTTGCATTTTGTAAAATAGGGTCACTTATTACAGTTCCCTCATGAGGATTAAAAATATGAATCATGTTTTGTGAAAAGGGAAGTCAGTTCTGGAACGTCTCTTGTCAGATAAGAGGTACAAATTTTAGTCAAACTTCAAAAATTAAACTACGAACAATCCTAAAGAACAATAATCAGGTGTAAGCAGCACCCCCCTCCCCTCAACAAACAACAAAACAATCGAATCATTTCTACATATAAAAAAAAAATCCTTTATCCAATAGTTGCTTTCTCGAAAATAAGTCTGTTCTCAAAGTGCGAGTCACTCTTGGAATGTGACCCTTCAGGAATTCATGAGTTTTCCCAAGAAGCCGCTGACAGTAGTAAAGAACCAAGACTTTTCTCCTCAACATTCTAAAAGGGACACCAGCTTTGGGGGATCTGAGGAACACCACAACACGCGGGCAGTATTGCGGACAGATGTAAGTCATTTTTGGCGACCTTCGAGATACGTCTGTATGCAATACTGCCTGCGAACAGCTCCATGGTGCCTCTGGCTTTGAAGGTGGGGGAGTGAGACAGTACTATTGCTATTCAAGAGGACAAAAGGACAAAGGAATAAAAAATAAAATAAAACAGATTTATCTACCTGATAGCAATGAGGGGCTTCTCCAGCACTTCCTCTTCTTCCTCCGATATCTCTCCTTCCTCTTTCTCTTGATCATCCTCTTGTTCCTTCTTTAGATCTTCATCATCTTTAACACTCCTGTCTCTCTCTGGAGTGCTGTCATGCTTTTCCTGCTCTTCAAAATCCACAGCTTCCTGCCTTCGCTTACTATCATCGCTGCGAGAAACATTTCGATCAGGGAGACCTTTACTTCCTGAAACATCAGCCTGCTCACTTTTCGAGCTATTCTTGGACTTCCTGCTGCGTACAGCTTCGGCCTCAGAACTAGAATCAGGGTCATCACCCTCCTCCGCACCGACAGAGTGCCGTTCTGTGCTTCTACCCTTTTTCTTACTGGCAATTCTAACAGAGTCTTCTTCCTGCGACTCTCTTCCAACTCCCCGACCTGATCTCTTATAAACCTGGCCCTTCTTCGCATCGCCGTAGGGCACCAAAGAAGCCTCAGTCTTCCTCTCATCTGAGGTAGACTCTGGCTCTGAGCTTGAGCTGTTCTCACTGCTACTTGACGAATCCCCTTTCTCCTTCTCAACTTTTTTCACTTTACGCTTAGAGACACTTTTGTTCTCTCTGGATGGGCTTCCTGACTCTGACTCACTTTCTTCTCTCTTCGACTTTTTCTTACTTTTTTCACGAGCCTCCCTCTGCACATCTCTGCTGTTTGATCTCTCAGCACCTCCCTCATCTTCTCTCTTCTCTCTACTTTTACTAGAAGAACTTTTTTCCTTGTCTTTTCTATCGCTCATTTTGTCTCCGCTAGTTTTGTCCCTTCTTTCTTTCCTTCTGTCATCCTCCACGGAAACCTCTCTTTCTGCATTATCCTCAATTCTCTTACCACGCCTTGTATCTACATCTTTCTCGGTACTGTCTCTATCACGAGAATTATCTTTATCTCTGCGACTAGAACCCTTTCCTGCATCTCGTCTTTTCTCACCAGCTTCCGTGTCGCGGCCATCATTTCTCTGTCGATCATCTCTCCTATCACTTTGTCTTTCCACCGACCTGTCACCTCTCTGTGCTCGATGTTTGTCCGAGTCTTCAGTTCTTTCGCTTCTCCGTTTGTCAGACTTGTCGTCTCTTCTACCTTTGCCCCTATCTAAACTGTCCTCTCTTTCATTTCTGCGAGAACCTGATCTGTCTGATCCACGCATCCTGCTTTCCTCTTTGTGACTTGGCTCTTTTGATCTTCGTTTATCACTGCTTGAAGCACTGCGATCTCTTTCTCTGTTGACCTTTCTCCTGTCACTATTGCCATTCCTGTCACCATCCTTGTCTTTCCTCGCACCAGATGGACTTTGCTTGGATGAACACCTACGTGAAGACTTGTCAGACTTTTTGGTATCAGAAACTTTCCGAGAGTGCCTGTCATCTGGACTCCCTGAATCAGAATCAGAAGAGTCTGAAAAGATCCATATAAACAATATTAATGGCAAGTATATTATATAAAAAAATTATTTAAAGAAAACAGTATGTATGTGAGAAGATTAAATATGAATATGTTTTCAAAGAGTTTTCTCTTAGCCTTTTTGTGAAGATGTGCTGTGAACATGTAAGAAGGAGAATATATACAGTCGAACCTGCCCTGACGGTAACCTCTACAAGACGGCCACCTGTACAAATGGCCAATTTCCATTCCCCCCCCTTTCGTTTTTTTCTATATAAGTTAACTGTGTAAAACGGGCACCTGTCCACCACATTTTAATAACACACAACCCTTATCACGCCAAGCAATAACACCTGTCTTTGACGGCCACCTTGGTCACCCCATTATGTTTTGTCAGAAATAGTGCATTGGCCCCAGGCATTGTGGGCGAGCCGTCATAATCCTATCACATGTCGTTGTTGTTATGTAGTCCCTCCAACTGATCATGTTGCGTAGGCTCCTCCTACTGTTGACCAAAGGGAACAAATTTTCAGTTGCTGGAGAGGTAAGCGTGTGATCCCTCATAACCTATAAGCACCGCCCAGAAACTCATACACAAATCGTTAAGTGAGAAGAGTGGTCACTGTTTACCCAGTCTGTAACAAAGTAACAATGGACGTCAACACGAACTTGTGACTGAAACGTGGCTCGTTCTCCGAGTGGTGGCGACCCATATGCTTGTTTTACCATAGCACTCCGTCCTCCTTATCCCATTTTGTTTTATAGTCACCCTTGCACAAAAGCAGCAACAAAAGAAAAAACAGAAGAAAACCCCCCCCAGCCAAAACAACAACAAAATGTGGCTATCTTCGGTTGGGACCTCAGAAAGGAATGGTTTGTTTTCTTTATCTTGACCAGTCCTGCCTAAGACGGCCACTTTTCTCCTTGACAATGGGTGGCCGTCTTACACCGGTTCGACTGTATATAAATCAAAGAAACAAAAGACTTGTAAATGAACAGCCCCCTAAAAACTTGTTTCCAACACTTAAGAGCACTTAGACTTAATTTATATATGACAATAAAACTGCTACAAAAAGCTTTTGATAAAAACAATAGAAGAGCAGGTTAGAAAAATTGATGTCTGAGACTTTTACTTTTAATGTTTATATATACATAGAAAAGTATCTAAAAAGCTAAACAAGGATGATCCTTTAGAAATATCAAAGCTAAAGGTGACAGAAATTGATACATCGAACTTGAAAAGAGACGGACCTATCAGTATCAGCGGCATCATCCTATTGTATTTTCAAAAATATTCTAAGATTGTCCCCATAACACAAACCAGAATAACTTTTCATAGCCAGTGCAATGTTAGAGAAACTGTCAAAACCTGCAACAGACCAGACTATCATACAAGGTCATTGGAAAGCAACAAAGGAACACAGAAGTTGAAATCTGAAAAACAGTGTGCTAAAACATTAAAATTTTTAATGAAAATAAAGAAATAGTAATTTATAGGACAATTGTTAGATAATGTCAGAGCTCTATATACCAACAGCAGAAGCTCAGTAAGAACGAAGGAAGGAAATACAGACTGGTTCAAAGTAAGATTTGGAGTACGACAGGAATGCGTTCTATCTCCCCTCCTATTTATAATATATATAGACACAATAACGCAAGAAGCAAACAAAGCCCAGAAAGCCTAAATGAATTTCTATTCGCAGACGACCAATGTCTAATTCATCATGACTAAGAAAGCCTCCAAAATCACACTACCGAACTCAACAACACCTGTGAGAAATTCAACATGAAAATAAGCACATCAAAAACAGAAGTTATGAAAGTGAGCCGAAACCATAGTCCCCTGAACATCCATGTCAATAGTAAACAACTGAAACAGGTGAAAGAGTTTAAATACCTTGGCAGCACTTTTTCTGAAAACGGGTCCATAGACAGAGAAAAATAGAAATGCGAACTCAAAAAGCCAACGCTGTCACCTGCCAGCTTGCACCCCTTCTATCTCATCCAAACATCTCCATGGACACAAAGAGACAGTTTATCACCTCAATATTCATACCAACATTATGTTATCAGTGCCAGACCTGAACCTTAAGCAAAACCCATGAAGGCAAAATCACCGCATGCGAAATGAAATGTCTCCGCAAAACCCTTAACATCACTAGACGAGACAGGCAGAGAAATGAAGAAGTAAGAGCAGCTATCGGCACTGAGTTCTGCCTGCGTTACATAGAAAGACAGAGGATAAAAAATGGTTTGGCCACCTGTTACGCATGTCACCTGACCAGCCAGCCTTGAGAGCCAACAACACCAAGCACTCAGGCTATAAAGGAAGAGGAAGGCCACGCAAAAGGTGGATCGAGGGTGTCAAGGAAACCCTACGAAAACATAACATCACAACTGACAGAGCTGCGGAGCTGGCCTACCATGGAAAATTGCATCTCCCCTCGACGCTTAACGGCAACAGAGGATGAAAAAGTAAAAGTAAGTAATTTATAAACTTGAGTTGTAGTCCACAGAGATCGGTATGGTACAGCCATATTTCACAAGAAACAAATTATTATGCTAAAAGCAACACTTTGGGGGAGGGGGGGGGGGGGGGTAAGTGTTATGCGGTGCTCGCAACTGCATTCGGTCATCTGAGCGCATGGGACACATTTAAACATTTTCAGTTGGTAGGACAATTTTGAATTTTGCCCAGGTGGCGGCCGAAGCCTACTCTTATCGATTTTAGACAACGGGACCTCCTAGATTTTTCGCCCTTGTCCGAGAAGGCTAGATGTAGATCTTTCCTACCAGAAGATCAGGGGTGTGACTGAAAGACAGCAGTAAGAAGGAGCTAAGGAGTAGCAGTAGAAAGGCTGCAGAAAGAGTCAGGAGTCCGGAGGAGGGGGCAAAGGGGGTGTGGGTGTGGGGGCAGAAAGTGGAGGTTAAAGCAGACGACAGAACATAGCAAGAGAGCAGGAAAGGAGGTGAAAGGAGACAATTTTTGAGAAGAAGATTTTTCCTGTCGCTGCCCGGATTCGAACCCAGGACCTTTGAATGAGAGGCAAACACCTTAACCTCTAGGCCACAAGAGCCCCCAGAACCTCTCTATAGGTGTGGGGGGAAATTTTTTTTAAAGGAACTTATATAATATGATCAATTAATCACATTCATATAAAACAGAGCATGCATACAAGTACTGTAGCTATGCAGAGAAAAGAAAGGACAATAGAATGGGACATCAAATCATCAATCAAATTTGAAGCCAGCCAATTCTTATTTTAAGATGACATTGAATATCAAAGACATAATGGGAAGAAACAAATCAACCCTTCCTTTGCTCTAAAAAAAACCCCAACCCCATAGCTATGTTGTTCTGCAGATCCTCAATAAAAAGAGGACTCAGCATACACAATGAATGAATGGAATAAAAAGACAAAGTACTGTGGACTAACCTTTGTATGTTCTATCATTATTTAAATCAATGGATTATTTTACCTGCTCGAATTTTTACAAGCAACTAGATATACAGGGAATTAAAACCATCAACATAAATGAAGTTCTTGACAGAGACACAGAGTTGTAGTTCCCCCCCCAAAAAAAACCCAACAACAACAAACAAACAAAAAAAACAACAATACAAAGCCCCAGACCTAAGAGGAGCTGAAACAACAGAAGACGAAGGCCATAATCAATCATAAAGGAAAGATTATTGTCTAATAATATAGATACACAAGCTTTGTCAATCACAGAATCCATAGCCACAACCTTACCTTTAGACCAGCCGGTCCATGTAAAAAAAAATGTTTAATGGAGTTAAATTTAAAAAACAGTAGTTGAAGATAAAAAAGAAACATTTTCCTGAACATCACCTGATCAAATAACCTTACCTTCTGATGCAGAAGAATCACTGTCATTTCTACTACTGCTACGCCTTCTGAAAAAAGTGCAAAAGGGGGAAGAAGAAATCTTTTTTTTACTGAATTACTGAATTTTTAAATCCATTGCGACATGTAGATCTAGAAAATTGATCAAGTAAATAAACACAAGAAAAAAAAAATGCAATGTAAAGTTATAACATTTATTATCAAGTGTGTATATTATTATCATATATCCTTGCAAAGCACATTATATTATAAAATAAGTACAGAGTTACAACTAGACGGATAAAAATATCACAATCAAATTTTTAAACAACATTTGGGGAAAAAAATTACCTATCATGAAGTCTAAGGCCAGTCCCAGAGTGGCTCTGTAAGTCTGACCTGTAGCTCGCCTGGCTCGCACCGTGCAAATGAATGTACATTATCGTGTGCTAAAGCAGCGTAGCTGTATCGTCTGTTTTTTGTCAGCAGAGCTGCGCGATGCGTCAGACGTGCTATTCAACAGTGTTGTAAAAATGGCGGACATGTGTCGCCTCGTTTTGTGTTTATTTTCGACTGAAACTCTTCACAGATCATCAAAATCAACAAGAAGTAAGTATTATTAGGTGCTTTACTATTAAATATTGATGCTAGCATCAACACTTGGCCACAAAATCACCAAGAAATGCACTTAATCATACTTTGAAACTTCAAATCGAGAGGTTGACCTAGTTTCGACTGTTGTCGTAGGCCTAGGCCTAGATCTAGGCTAGGTGTGCTTCTCTAGATAAAGATGCAGAGAGATGTCCCTAGAAAGACCAAGATTCTAGATAGATCTATATGCAATAATTTACATCTGATCTAGATCTAGCCTTTATTTGTAACCAATGTAAACTATCACCGCGCGCAGCTGCAAGTGTGTTTGTGTGTTTGTGTGTGTGTGTGTGTGTGTGGGGGGGGGGGGGGGCACTTAGCACATGACGTAAAGAAGAGTTGTCCCGTCTTGGTATAATTGGTCTTGGATTACACAGTACCTAAATATAGCAAGGCAGACCCGTCAGTTGCACACTTACAACGTCAACATACCGTGCGGCAGTGCTGACACACAGCGAGTGTGCCTCGCGCTCGCTGAGACACAGGTGCCAACCCACAGTGCGGCTGTTCTGACACGCACACGGCGTGCACCAGGCCAGCTACAGGTCAGACCTACAGAGCCACTCTGGGACCGGCCTTACACCGAGCGGTAGATATCATGAATACCATGAAATATACAAATTTGTGTTTCTTATTTGGTGTGTATGATGGTTTGGAATGTACTGCAACATTGCCTTTCATCCGCTGATTATAATGGGATGTGACAAGATATATTATGCCATAGTGAAGCCACTAGATGTGATTTTCAGGAAATCTTAACCTTACTTAATTGCAAAATATCAAACTATGCGCAAATGCAGGGGTGTGTTGTGTTGGTGTGTGTGTTATTATGCCCCCCCCCCCCCCCTCTCTGAAAGTACCCTAAAATATTCTTAAAACTTTGTAAGGGTGTAGTGAACACGTGTTACATCGTCGTACGGTCGTATGTGCACCTGGCAGCTAAACATACCAAAATTTGACCCCCTACAAGTAGATCTATTCTGCCGTCATTTTCAAAAGTGTATGCAGTATTCACAATTTTACTGGACAGCCAAAAAACAATGTTGCCAGTAATCATTAAAAGGTAGCGTTAATTGCGACAGAGTGACTCTGTGACAAAAAAAATGTTTTTAAGAAAAACAAACACACACATGCACATACAAATACACATGCACACACACACTCACAGACAAACAAACGCACACGCTTGTGGCCTTATATACACACACACAGACACCAAACTAACAGACAAACAAACAAGAACAGTTGCAGCTCTTTTCTTGTTGTTGTTGCTGTTGTTGCCCCTGGTGGTTTTTGTTGCTGTTGTATGCTGCTGAAGTTTTGTTGAAATATTTATTGCCTCGACTCTACAGAAAGTTTTTGTGAATTTTTACCACACTCTTTAGGTCAGCCTTCTCAACTGTTTCAGTTTCAGATGCTTTCTTCCTACAGGTAACAAAATTTTCATCTTTTAGCAAAAGCTTTGTCAAATTCGTCGTAAGATTTGAATGCCTGCTCTAGAAAGCCTTCCATCATGTCAGGCTGAGACTAACCAAGATAACTAGGACCACGCTGGGAGAAGCAGAAATGGTAGATGTTAGATCTAGATCTAAATCTAATCATCAACGCAAAAGAGCTGCGTGTTCACTCAGTAGTAATTAACGCCGCGTTAGTTGCCACAGCGTCACTCTGTTACAATTAACACTATCTTATTAAAATGTAGGCCTACTGTAATAAGTTCACCTGGGGCTCTCGTGGTCTGGAGGTTATGTTGTTGGCTACCTCTATTCTCACCCCAGGTGAGAATAGCGCAGATGAGCAGATCTAAATAAAAATTGCGAATGTCTTTTTGATGAACGATCGTTTTTCCTCCGTTTTGGAGTTGGAGGAATCACAATTTGAAGAAAAGAACTATGTCATCATAATTTCAATCGAGCAGTCACCCTCTCTATTTCTCTGCCCCTCTCTCTCTCTCTCTCTCCTCTGTGTATCGCTCGCCTTCTCTTTTTCTTTGTTTGTCTCTTTCTTTCTCCCCACCTATTTCCCACTCTGTCTCTATCTTTCTCTCGTTCCCTCCTGCCAACTGGGGCATGTCATACATTTTGCTAGCACTGCTCTCTCTCTCTCTCTCTCTCACACACACTCCAAGGTCTGGGCCCTGAAACTGAAACTTTCCGAAATCACAAAAGAGTTCCCCTACCGGCTCTGTATACTTCGTGACTTTGTTCCCGGTTACCGTTACAACGTTTACCGGGTCTGTATACACTCTGTAATTAATAAGGTCAGTTTTTTTTTAGTTAGGCTTAGTTTTAGGATTATTTTTTTGATAACTTGGGAAGATTGAACAATACCGGTGTATGGTTATTTGAACTATATGATATTAGTTCATGTTTTCTGTACGTTATGCGGTGTACCCCATATTATTTCATGTTATGTTGTACCTGTATCATTCTTTGTCCCTGTTAATCCGTGTTCACAGATGAAATCATCATCTACCGTTTATAAAAATGAACTACACTGAGAGGTCTTTCTTCATGATGATTTCATCGCTTTGAGAGCAGCCACACTAGCGTTCTTCATGACGGTGTCAGCCTTATGAGAAAGTTTGAAAGCAATTGATCACTCACAACTCGGCAACATGGTCATATATGCCCTTTCCCAGGCTGTAACTATGAAACCGGTGAAGGAGACGCCCCGGTGGTGGCGGCACGGCTCAATATACATGCCCTCACACACACTCAAACTGCCCACCCTCCTGCACCACCTCAACTAAAACTCGACCGTCCCAAAATTGACTTCGGGGTAGAGGAGGAGGTATGGAACGGGTTCGTAAGGAGATGGGAGGCTTTCAAAATAGGATCGGGCATAAATGAGGCCACTGCCTCAATGCAACTGTTCCAATGTGTGTCAGAACCCCTGGGCGATCTGATACTGAAGGCAGACCCTAACATCCAGTCGAAATCAGTCAAGGAGGCCAAGTCAATAATGCGGGAATTTGCTGTGATACCAGTCGCCATTGGTGTGAGAAGGGCAGAACTCATGCAGCTACGCCAGGCACTCGACGAACAATTTCGCACTTTCGCTGCCAGGGTAAAGGGCAAGGGTATCAGGTAGGGTTGGGTCGGGCTTGCAAAATTAGCGTCCGCGAGTAACGAACTACTCGTTGGCACTACCCGCAAATGAGCGGACGGGTAACGAACCATCCGTTTGTCAAGAGTAGTTCGCTACTCATCGGACAGAGACAACAGTTCGTTTAGCGAGCGAGCGGACAGGAACGACTCCTCCCATTGCCTACAACTTACAACCCCCCCCCCCCAAAATGAAAAATCAGGCCTAATTAACAAACAATAGACGACGGGTCTAATCTCGCGTCGAGTATCTCGTCTGCTAGAGTTCGTCCGTTTGCCCGCCCGCCCAGTGAATAAAATTGTGGAGCGGACCCAAAAAACGAACTGACTTGAGGCTTGAGGTCCGCAATCCGCTCGCTGAGAGAGTCAAATTGTGGAGTGGACCCAAAAAACTAACTACTAGATCTAGATCTAGATCTAACTGTCTTGAGGTTCGCAGTTCGCTCTCGCCTCAAGGCTGTCCGTTACCCGTTCGCTCTGACTGAGTCCGCGAGTAACGAACCTGTCCATCCGCTCGCCCCAACTCTAGTTTTAGGGGGTCTCCTCCTGATGTGCGAGTACGTTATAGCTGTGTAGTAGGTCGGGTAGGGGGGTTCAGGGGGGTCCCCTGAAATAAAGTGCCGTAACAATAATAACATCTTAACTAGATCTAGATTTTAGAATCTAACCATTTCAGCCATTTGATTTGCGACGATTTTCAATGCCAAAATTGTGTTCAGGGTCCTAAAAAAAACTGTAAAGAGCTACAAAATAATACCCTATATGAGACGGGAGGGTTTCTATAAATTTGCCCTTTGTTTTTCAATGTTGTTTTGTACAATATTGTAGGCTAATCGTTTCGCCTTGTGAGACCGACTTCATTAAACTTTTAACTCGTAAAAATAATTGAGCTGAGGTTCATCCGCGTGTCAGAAGTATTCCAAGCCCAAGTTGTTGTTATTAAGCAACGGGGTAAATTAATCCTGACGTACTTGCGTGGCATGGTGTCTCTTTCGAATTTTCCAAATGTAGGGGTAAGAAAACACTTGTAGACCGTTACTAGTCACTTGCTAAACGATCCACTGACGAACCACACACACAAGAAGCAATGGGCACAACAACGAAGACTCGGCTACAGCCGGAAGTCAAGCTGTAAATTTTGTCCCATTACGTCATATCCGGAGGAAAGTTTATTTCTCGTACTTCTTTTTTTCGCTTTTTTATCCATTACCCCAAAAAAGAGAAAAAAAAGGGGAGGGGTAGATGATAATTTATTTATACTGTACAATAGATGTACACTATAGTTTAAAAGGGGGTAACTTTATGTACTGTACTGTTATAATTATGGATCGTGTGTAGAAATTATTATGAATCATTAATTGTTTATGGCATGTACATGAAGGTGTTTTTTTCTCATTATTTCGTATCACGATGCGGTTAGGAAACAACAGAGGGAACGTTTTAAAAGTAAAAGTAAAGTAGAGGCATGTTACGTAACAAGTACAGTGCATGCTCCATTGAGCGCGCGCGCTAGCGCGGTACATTATATCTAGTCAACAACATGTCAGTGTGGCACTGGGATACTGTGTGACTTAGGCTACCTATTTCAGTATGTTCTTACTTATTTATATTTCCCCCTCATCATATTCGCCTACATAAACTATTTAAAAAATGAATCTTGTTTGGAGCTTGAAAAGGGGCATGGAATCAGAATATCGACTGTCAATAACCAGTTTGAGTGTCAAGATTTATATAATTAAGGTGAAAAACAAAATTTATTTTGCTCAAACTCAAAGTAGAGTAGTAACTTGAATGGCTCAAGTAGACCTATTCAGTGTGAGAGGTGTAAGAACTGTGGGAGGGCAAGATGCAGTGACACTGAAAAATCTGCGAATCTTGAACAGAAAGCTAAATTAATATAGAATAAATGTAATTTACTATCACGAGAGAGAGAGAGAGAGAGAGAGAGAGAGAGAGAGAGAGAGAGAGAGAGAGAGAGAGAGAGAGAGAGAGGAGGGAGAGGGGGGAGAGAGAGAGAGAGAGAGAGAGAGAGAGAGAGAGAGAGAGAGAGAGAGAGAGAGAGAGAGAGAGAGAGAGAGAGAGAAGGGGGAGAGGGGGCAAGAAAAAAGTAAGCACTTGATGAGGTCACACCTTTATAAAAACAACAACAACGCCAAAGACAATGAAACAAATGTACCGTACTATCACCCATCCAAAGAAACGCAAACTCTTTGGTCAAAAAAACAACAAGGTATGAGTATGACGGATCCCTATTCCAAACAAGGCCTGCACCAATGCGCGCCTTGCAGAGAGCTCTTGTAATAATCAAAATTCTAAATAAATACTAGAATTTGCTCCCCAGTTCAGTTTTTGTCATCCGGTGTCGCCTTCAATTACTTCAACCCGACCCCACTCCTCCCCAGAGTGTCTTTAAAAAAAAAAAAATCAATAATCCCCCAATTCCGGAGTCCTATACTTCGCAGCGCTCCGACTTTGAATGAACTTTGGTGACCCCAACCATCGTAGGTACTCACAATGTGACGCGAAGACACAGGTTCACTGACCGGTCAAGAAGGCGAGCCTGACAAGACGCTTGTATAACTTTTTTTTTCCTCGCAAGTGACAGTACAGGACAAATATTGATTTATGTTCATGGCGACACAGCGTTTGTAATGCACACCCTGTATGTCACAATTAATGTTGCGCTAATCAGACTACTACGGGCAAATTTCTGGGTGGCAACGAAAGTGAAAGTAGATCGAGCTTCAGTATAACACATACTTCCGCTTGCCGTCATAGCCGCCTGTTCGCGTGAAACGTACTCTCAGACAGGGAAAAGCCGATTTAAGGAGCAAAACACACCGGAGCACCCGCCAAGTCAATGTATCTCCAACTTTCTATTGGGATGTTGTATTCCCCTCATTGGTCATTGTTTCAGGAAGCAACATGCACTCCGGACTCTCCAAAATGCTGCCGAGGGTCCTTCCACTGATTGTGCCAGTGCACATCTGGTTGAACGTTCTTCAGTTCTTTCCTGCAAGGATGCCAGATTTTCCGCTTCCTTTTTCTGTATCCCCAAAAGATTCATCCTCTCCACGGCAGTAGGCCTACTGGCCTCTGCCTCCCTATCTTCCTCCTCAATCAGCTGGCGAGAGAATTTCAGGATTTCGACCCTATCTGGTTGATGAACCGTATTGTCAACTAAGGTGGCCTCACCAGCCAATCTGTCGGCTTTTTCATTTCCCCTAACACCTGCATGGCCAGGGCAGAAAATCCATGAGAGCGATCGTATAGTATAGGCGTTGGTTCGATAGCTCTTAGCCCGGGTTGGCCCTGGTGGGCAGGTTTGAAGCAGCTCATCTACAAAATGATCTCAATGTTTTTGTTTTTTTAAAAATATATAATGTAGGCGTAAGTATTTTTGCTCCCCCATTGACAAACTTTAGATAATTTAGGAGGTAGGCTTCTGACCTTGCCCTGCCTGTCAGGGCCAACCTGGACTGAAAGGGATACAACATCCCAGCAGAAAGGCAGAGATACTCAGTAGAAGTTTCTACCCACTCAGGAATCGAACTCAGGTCTCCTGCACACAGCAGCAAAGAGCCAAACCGTTACAGAGCAGATGCTGGTGATCTAAATAGTGTTGACCTACGCTTGTGTGTATCATCATGAGGCTTTTAAGGTGGGGAGTACATATCCTGAAAAGCTGTGATGAAAGGCAGGATTAATAGACACATAAAAGAAGAAGAGGAAGAAATAGAACAGTGCGAGTCAAGGAAGCAAAAACATAAACACCAACAAGATGGAGAGCTCTGATTCTGAACAGAGTTCTCACAGATGCCTAACCTGAAATAATACACTAAATATAGTGTATGCATTTTTGTTTACTGTATACAGTGGAATCCTGTTATAACGAGAGGGAGGGGACCGGAGCAAAATGTCCGTTATAGCAGGATTCTCGCTATAAGGGATTCAGTAATAAATTCAAGGGAAACTGTAAAGTAGGCCTAATCTATGAGTTTGGTGTTCTGTTTATTTCCTTTTGCTATCTCCCCTGACGACGATTTTGTTTCAACATGACATCTAGGTCTTACTTGATCAAAAATCGAATCAGGTTTCTTTCTCTAGCGCTAGATCTAGCGATGTGGACTGACAGCTCAGCGTTGGCGATCAGAAAGGAAGGGCTCTGGGTTAACTCACCCGTTGTGTTTTCCCCCACCCCACCACACCCTGTGGTGCATTCTGTCTGCTTGCGCACGTCACACATTCGCTCCATCCATCCCATTGCTGTGACCTCTCCATCCCCGCATCGGAGAAGTGAGAGGCTTGGCAGGCGTTGATAATCTAAACTAAGCTTACGCTGGCATATCACACGATGCGTTCTGCTTGTCTGCGCATGCCACACCCTCCCTACTCAGTTACTCCGGCCTTCATTGTTGACGCACCCATGGGCTCTCCCACTCTTTGTTTCGCTAGATCACCAACAAATTTCTCAACTGGCGAGGTTTTATGCCTATGCACTGTGCACAACAGCAGCAATAATCCATTATAACCGACTCTCATGTTTGTCTGATAGCGCTATAGCAGTATTTTATTTACAAAGGTAAAGAGGAGAAAAAAACGGGGTTTTAGAATAGTGTCTTTATAACAGACTTCTCATTTTTTCCGGACTCGTTATAAGTGGACTCCACTGTAATGCTTTTCGGCCAGAGATATCTCACTTCGAACAAAGCTGAGGATTTTCAATTCAAATGTGAAATCAGTCCTGTTGTAGTGTACGGATGTGAGACATGGAACGCATAACAGATTTGCATAAAGAAGATCCACGTTTTCTTGAACAAGTGTCTTAGAAAGTTACTGAGGATTAGTAGATGGACAGACAGGGTCACCAGCGAGGAAGTATTAAAGAACCAGTCAGAGATGAGGTAGGAAGAAGGCGGTGGCGATGGATTGGACATACTCTCAGGAATTCAGGCAGCTGCATAACAAAAAAAGTGTTGAATTGGAATCCATAGGATGATAGGGTAAAAGATCAAGGTGAAGACCGCGTGGAACCTGGAGAAGAATTACAGAAATTGATGTACAGAAAAGTGGGTAGACATGGAATAACATCAAGAGGCGAGTCTAAAATAGAGAAAAGTGGAAAGTCTTTGTCCGTGGCCTATACCCTGGTGCAGGGTGAGAAACGCAATAATGATGATGATGATGATATTGATAATGTTTTTGCGAGCATAATCTACAATTCTAAAATTTATAATTTCCTGATCAGTCTATTTTTTGGTAACCCACCCCAAAAAAGTTTTGAAAAGCATCTATGTGGCATTTAAGATCAAAGTTTATTAACATCTCAGACAGACAAAAACTCAATCACATATACACGTACCAAACCTTACAGCCACCACATGACTGAAACCAAGAAATAAAATTTCAACACTGGGTAAACAATTAAAAAAGTTTATCATTAGTCTAGTCATTGAGATGCAAATATGCTGGATCTTTATGCTTTATGTGCCTTTCTCCTTTGCTCGAATGTTTTCCCCGTTCAGGAGAGATCTTTTTTTCCCTGAACAAAAAGAAAATATAATACTTCCCCCAAAAGCATTATAAAATGATTCAACAGCATAAATCTTATTGAAGAACTTCATGAGCAGCATTACGAGCATTTTGTAATACAAAAATTCAAGCATTTCCTTAACGGTACAAGACTAAATCCATGCAAATATGGTGTTATTTAGTCAAAATATAATAACTACATGTACCCCTTACCCATTCATTCAAACTATGTTAACACTGCTCCAAAAACCTGGTACCAAGAGATGGTGCCCCCATCTAAACTGTGTTATCCGGAAAAGTTAAAACTAAGAAAGCATTTGTGGTAGAACATCATTTTCAAATTCACATTCATAAAACATTTCACAATAGAGTGCAAAGGGAATTAATTAAAAAAGCTATAAACAAAAGCAGTACCGTAGAGATAAGATTTTTCTACATTATTGAAAAATCAAGAAAGCTGAAAAAATGTTTCTTTGAGGAAGATGATAAACAAACAGTGCTGCAAATGCCAAAGGTTTATCCGATGGATGAAAAAAATAGTTCAAAATTTTGGCGCGACTTTTTCTGACTTTTGCGTTTGATACATAGATATCCTGTATTTCCTGACACACGTGTAAAAAGTTTCAAGGCTCTCCATCAGGCTGGACATAATGTTTTAGAAAGCAGGAAGCTGCTTAGACTTAGACCATCATGCATTGACTGATAAAAGTTCAAGCTTTTAAAATGTCAAACAATACATGTGACTCAAACATACAAAAGTCTACCATGTCACAGACAAAAAAATTACAAGTTAGACATAAGGTACAGTCGAGTCACTTACTCTACTGTATGGTTTCTCATGTCCCCCCCCCCCCCCCCCAAAGGGAAAACTGCAAATCATGAATTTTAAGCTTCAAAATACAGGAGGTTGAACATTTGTGAACACAAAACAAAGAGACAGGCATGTGATAATATCCTGTTACCTTCATGTCCAAAATAAAACGGGGGAAAAAATCATAAAATGAAAAAATGTTACGTTCATTTCATTTTCAATGGAAAATACAACATTCAAACCTGCCATACAAGCATTTCACTTCTCATTTTAAAGTTGTAAGAAAAAACACAGCAGAAAATGCTGCATCATGTAGCATATCTCTTTGTCCACTGGCGAGCAGTTCGGTCATGCTCCTCTCTATTGGTCAAGTACTGCTGGGCAATGCTTCCTACCAGGGGGTCATTGGGGTTGCAGTCAGTCAGCAGAGAACAAATGGATAACAAAACCTGGAAAAAATAAAGACGAAAGACAAGTCAAAAAAAAAAAAAAAAGGTCATGTACTTCCTGAATATCGCATAGCGACATTATAGACCCAATACTAATACTATGAATTAATGTAAATATGAAAAGCAGCTAAAAAAAACTTTCATGTTAAAAAAAAAACCCTGAAAAAGGTGATGACAGTTCAATTTAATAACTGTGAAAACATTGGACCAGCACATTGGCCACTTCGGGCTCCGTTCTGCTTTGTGAAATTTATAATGCCAACTGAAGCTGGAAATTACCATGATCTTTTGGGAAAGGTTTATGAACAGTATATAAATGTGTCACAAGGCGGTGGAATCAGGCGCTCGTTAATTTTTGGGAATGTGGGGTTATTGGTATCACCTGAAAGCCGACTTATTTGCCTTGTTTCCAATGAAATAAATATCCATTTATCGTGGATAGAACTCAAGATATTTGCAATTGAAGGAAGTGAGGTCGCTTGGTTTCAGTGAGAAAATGGCCACCAAAGTTTGGTGTCTCCAATAGCTAAAGAGTCTTTGAAAACTGAAAAATGACATATTTTGTGCCTTTCATCAATGTTTTTCAGAAAAAAATTCACATGGAAACGCGTTTTTATTTGGACATAAAAGAGGTTAAGCCAACAGATAAAAATTTGATAAAAATGTCCAAGCTGGCGAAAAAATGCCTGTCTCCCAGATTTTGTTATTTTGACGAGCGCCTGATTTCACCACGCTGCCTCATAAATTATAAAAGAGAACAAACGTGCATGTTTTAACTCAAGCACTGTCATTGTCATCCATGAGTATGTCTTCAACATGTGTATTTGTACTGATTTAGTCGGAGCAGAAACAGTGGACCGTGGAAAACTTCCAACTTATCAGCCTTAAGAATGCCCTAATTTAAGAAATGCGTGCATCACTGACACAATACTGCTGGCAACCAAAACATTTACTTTTGTAATACAAATCATTAGTAATGATTAACAAGCATGCTTTCAATTGACATTAGTAAGGCGAGTTATCCTTCATTTCAGGCCCATAGCTAAAGTACAGTCGAACCTGCCATGACGGTCACCTGTACAGAAGGCCACTTTCCATTTCTCCCCTTGCGTTTTTTCAATATAATTTAATTGTGTAAAACTGTCATGCGGCCACGTCACCTTATTTTATCAACCCAGAGCCAAATTTACCTGTCTGAGGCGGCCAGGGGTGGTCTCTAATAGTCTAATGCTCTGTCATAAATTCTAAATCGGCCTATGATGCTGTGGACGGGCCATCATAATCCATTCACTTGTCATTATTGTTAGTCCCTGCAATGAATGTTTACCCAAGTTGACCAACGAGTAACAATACATTTTCAACTGCTGGTGAGGGAAGCGTGCATCTGTCATAACCTATAAGCCCCGCCCAGAACTCATACAAATCGTACTTGAAGTGACTGGTCACTGTTTTGTTTACCTAATCCTGTCCTCGTCGTTTTATGCAAGAAAAACTCTGAAAATACGCAAACTGAGCCCAAAAATGTGAAATTAAGTGATTCTGTTAATTTTAACAAAGAATGACAAAAGAAAATAATAAAAAATTATGCAAAAAATGATCAAATTTTGCTAAATTATGCAGGGTGCATAAAACCACAGGGACAGCTAATCTGTAACAAAGTAACAATGGACTTTAACGTGAACTTGCGACAGAAGCGTCGCTCGCTCTCCAAGAGGTGGCGACCCAGCGTTTGTTTTACAATGACACTCAGTCTTCATCGTCTTAAAATTTTTATATTTTGTTATTGCACAAAATCAGCAACCAAAAAATAATCAAACAAACAACAACAGAAAAAACACTTCTTACACCCCTCCACCCCCCCCCCCTTTTTTTTTTCAAAAGAAAACAAAAAACCCTTTTGAATTCGCCCTACAGCAGTCCTAAGCCTGAATCAGCCCTGGTTTGGACTTCAGAAGGGAAAGGTTTACTTTCTTCATTTTGATCAGTCCTGCCTATGACGGTCACCTGTGTTATGCAGCCACTTTTCTCCATGACAATAGGTGGCCGTTTTACACAGGCTCAACTGTACTTCGAATTCACTCACCACAGCGGTACCCCAGCTTAATCCAGGCTACTTAAAATGTGCATGCAGCTGTAATCAGAGATAAATGACCTTGGATGAGGAAGTTTTACAAAGCAAGTGGTCCACCTGCCAACCTTCCTTTTGCACTTTTTCTTCTTTTTCTGTAGTGACACCGCATCTTCCTCCTCTGACTTATTCATTCCATCAGGAGATTTTAGGCTCCAGCTATGCTTTTGTTTTATGTTCCTCCCCAAGCTTAATGCATGCTTACATCACTGTCCCAAACAATCCACTCAAGTCCAGATTTTAATGTTTGTTTTGTTTAGTATAGGGTTTTACGGCGCTCGCAACTGCATAAGGTCATATGAGCGCGCGGGACACACCTAATACTTTTTCGTTGGTAGGAAATTTTGAATTTTGCCCGGGTGGCGGGCGAAGCCTACTCTTATCGATTTTAGACCACCAAGGGATCTTTAACGTGCGCAACTTGCACACGGCCCCTCCGAGATTTTTCGCCCTTGTCCGAGAAGGCTAGGTGTAGATCTTTCCTACCAGAAGATCGGGGGTGTGGCAGAAAGACAGCAGTTAGGAGGAGCCAAGGAGTAGCAGTAGAAAGGCTGCAGAAAGAGTCAGGAGCCCAGAGGAGGGGGCAAAGGAGGTGAGGGGGTGGGGGCAGAAAGTGGAAATGAAAGCAGACAACAGAACATTGTTAGAGATCAGGAAAGGATGTGAAAGGAGACAATTTTAGAGAAGAAAATTTTTTGGTCGCTACCCGGAATCGAACCCGGGACCTTTGAATGAGAGGCCAACACCTTAACCTCTAGGCCACGAGAGCCCCCCAGATTTTAAGAAATTTCGACTTTTACACTGGCCCACAGCACTACCAAAGATGCACCTTTCAACATCATCAAAAAGCAGCTAAATGCTACGGTCAAGGTTTACAATTTTCTTGTTTTTCATGATTCCTGATAGAAACAACACAAGGAAAAAAAGGTTTTTGTTTCTGGAGTCAAAAGTACCCAAAGGCACTTAAGTGCAATGCTTGCGCCACTGAAAATTAGATCAATACAAGTACTTAGCAAAAACCACTCCTATTGTGTATCCTTCATTTAATCACACTCCACTCAAACAACTGAACAATTTTCCACACATCCATTAGACTCTATCAAATACAAAAATACAAAGACAGGAGAAAATAAGTCAGAAAGAGAACCTCGAAGTATCTGTAGTTTTAGCAACATGAGTTCAAACTTGGGAGACTTGATAGAACGTAATCTTTTCTATTTTGAAGAATATTTCAAAAGGCAAAAGAAGCTCTCCCTGTTGGTTCTGAACAGAAAAAAAAAGGCAGTGATTATTACATAGTCAATATTTAGGGGTATTAAAATCACGGAATTAAACATTACCTTTGAAATGGTTAAGGCTGGACTCCAATTGTCTTTGAGTATGTCAAGGCAAATTGCTCCCTGGCTACTAATATTGCAGTGGTAAATTCGAGTTCGAAATATCACCTGAAACACACAAAAGTTAGAAAATAAGACAAGATGGGAAACAAAAATAAATTCAATACATTCACCTACAAATTACTAAGTCAATTTCCTTTGACGTCTTCTACAGCAGTGAGGCAAAATATTTATCAGATCCTCACCTAAGTTTGAAACTTAAAACCCAATTTGAACAAGCTAAAAATTTCATTTTGAACAGGATTATGCTAATTCAAACCCCCTTCATGTCAATCGTTTTATTTCCTTTTTAAAGATTTAACCCAAAAAAATTTAAAATTCAAAAAGTCATATAGAGTGGCTATTTCCACAATGAATTCAGCAAGACTAACATTCACTTATTCAATATTATTTGCTTATCTTATGGCTCAGTGAAAGCTACTTGGCTGCCAGGATGAGATACAGTAAGTACTTAATATAAACATTCTTTTTTCACTGGAAATTAACACCTGCCCTAAAAATGTAAATTAACTTATTGTAAGAAGAGCCTAGTATAATGCTTCTTAAGCCAAAAAAGTTTTAATCATCACCACACAACCGCTCCTGCTGCATGTAAACTACTGTGTGGTACGCACATTGTGAAATCAGTAGGATGAGGAAAACTTTTCGTTGTATATGTATGAATTTCGCTATCATGTAACCTCCCTGTTTTAAATATAAAGAATATACAGTATAACACGGATAGGTTGAACACAGAAGACTCGAAATCACGCATCCGTCGAACTGTGCCTGCAGCCCCGTTCTTTTTTTCTTCTTTATCTTTGTAAGATATCCCTTGAATTTCTGATCCCTCGAACTACTGAGGCCGGTCGCGATGAATTCGAGCTATCCGTGTTATACTGCACATGTGAAAAAAAAATTAAACACCAAAAAATCTGTCAGCTATGTGCGTGTTCGCGTTGTGAAATGCTAGACTGTATATTACATATTGCAAATACTAGATTTCTCATTACAAGTACACGAAGCAATCACCCGAGGAGGTTTGAAGGGGTAGTCTGTGGTGAACTGAATGTCCAAGAAAAACACACCGCCTTCATACACAGATGCTTTTGGACCTAGAATGGTGGACGTCCACTCATACAAGTTGTCACCCTTGGGTCCTGCACTGTTAAAGAAAAAAGAAAAAAACCCATATCAATTCTATTGGTAGGCCCTATATAAAAAAAAAAGTAAATGAAAACTCCCACTTTTAGGAAGCACAGTAAGGGAACAGAGAAATCAGTTTTTTTTCTGGCTGCTGAAGATTTTTTTTGAATTTTTTTTCTTTCTTTCTTATAATGCGTATAGTTTTTCTCCATCCATTGAAGAACATGTTGTCATCGATCCAGGTTGTTGTTGATGTAATGGATCCAGATTGAAGAACATATTTTAGGGTGAATCTTACTAAGAAATGTCATCTTAAGACAGATATATGTTAATTTATTAGTTGAAAAAGTATGTGCATTCAGTTTTAAAAGTCACCCATACTTGGTGGCTATTTTCTCTGTAATTTCACCTGTGAGGTCAGATAACCTCCACCTTCTAAAATCGCACACATCTCGCCTTCTATGAATGCAAGATAAATCAGTATTTTTTCCTCCCAGTTAAAAAACAATTAACAAACTTTAATTTGATAGCACTATCTCCCATATGCCCAAAGCCCGATGAACATCTTATTCCACAATGTTGCGACACAAATAATACACAAATCTTACGAGTATTTATACTTCAAAGTGCAGCTTACTGGCATGAGACAAGAAAATATGGCATGTTAGCAGAAGAGAACTGAAGTATTGCCATAAAATCTGCTAAGTTTTATGTTTGATTTACATGAATTAGTCAGGAATATAAGAATGACAAGAAGGAAAGTTCTTTGCAGAAACGTATATAAAAATGCAGAACGTATGAATTCCTTAGAAAAGACAAAGTACACAGGTTGTTGGTTTTTTTTTTGGGGGGGGGGGGAAGGAATCATGGAGGAAGCAACATATCAGAAATAGAAAAGCAAAAGACCAGAGAGGCAAAAGGAGAAGCCTATCTACGGGAGACTGTTAGAAAGCACCCGCATAGGTAGGTGTCTGGAGGATTCTCATGAGCAATCAGTTACCGTTGCCTCTTTTCACTGCCTACTTCTTAACCCTATCCGTACGCCCTGGGGTCATTTTATACCCCTGAGGTTGTATTCTCGCATTTTAGAATACATCTAGTGCAAAGATCTCTTTGAAACTTTCAGTATTTCTCAAAAAATCATTTTGACAGACTGCTATGCAAAGCGTACAGATCGGATTAACTGGCACAGAGTTCCCAAGGTCGTATGGATATGATAGTTAAACACAAAGTACGGATAGGGTAAATCTGCTCCTGGAACAGTGCAGCCACTATGAGGGTCAACCTCAGAAAAAAAGAGCTGAACAACACTGTGCAAAGAGTCAAGAGGATTGACCCTAGTTAGGCAAACATCTCTAAAAGAAAAAAGTGATGCCTGCTAGGATAAAGCAGATAATGATGGTGATGCTTGCACGTACAGTGCACGTCACATCCAGCATCATTGGATTCAAAGAAACTTTGAATCAGCGAAAGGAAAAAAAATAATCACGGTTTGAAAAAAGTCAGCTTAATCAACAGTACACCCTGCACAAATCAATTTTTAAGTGAGCCATCTTAGATACAACAAATGGAGTGTTATTTTTCCGTGGAAACAACTTTCCATTGTTTACACATCAAAAGCTCATCATGTGAATATTGGAGTGCGGGAGCAGTGGCAGTGGAATACAATTTCTCACTCCCTTTGAATTACAACTTACCTGCAGTTTGGAGGAGGATCAAGTGTGATTTCTGCAAGTTCTCTTTGTAATCTGAAACGATAGAGAAAGACAACAAAATGATGATAAGAAGATCTTTTCTTTCATATAAAACGAGCTAAATGGTCACAAATCAGAGCAAAATATCCCCCCTACCAAATCCATATAAAATATATAGATCTATTATATGTTCTTTTGACAGACTAGTGAGATATAAAATGGAGAGAGAGAGAGAGAGAGAGAGAGAGAGAGAGAGAGAGAGAGAGAGAGAGAGAGAGAGAGAGAGGGAGAGAGAGAGACAGAGAGAGAGAGAGAGAGAGAGACAGAGAGAGAGAGAAGTAAGTATGGAAAGCAGGGAACTGACGTATTTAGTCACTTTTCTAGTTAGGGAATATCAAAATAATACGCAGGAAAACAAGTCTTTGTTCACAGCAAAGAGCTTACTGCCCGGATTAATTTTTCCGGGGGGGTTTTAGTTAGTGTTTTACGGCGCTCGCAACTGCATAAGGTCATATGAGCGTGCAGGACACATTAAAAATTTCATTAAACTTAAACATTTCCAGTTGGTAGGAAATTTTGAATTTTGCCCAGGTGGCGGCCAAAGCCTACTCTTATCGATTTTAGACTACCAAGGGATCTTAAACGTGCGCAACTTGCACACGAGACCTCTGAGATTTTTTGCCCTTGTCTGAGAAGGCCACGAGTAGATCTTTCTTACCAGAAGATCAAGGGTGTGGCTGAAAGACAACAGTAAGAAGGAGCCAAGAAGTAGTAGTAGAACGGCTGCAGAGAGAGTCAGGAGCACAGAGGAGGGGGCAAAGAAGGTGAGGGGGTGGGGGCAGAAAGTGGAGACAAAAACAGAAGACAGAAAATTGGAAGAGAGCAGGAAAGGAGGTGAAAGAAGACAATTTTAGAGAAGAAAATTTTGCGGTCTCAACCCGGATTCGAACCCGAGACCTTTGAATGAGAGGTGAACTTCTTAACCTCTACGCCACAAGAGCCCCCTCCCCCCCACCCAGATTTATTTGAACTTTGATTGACGCAATAGCAAACTGTAACGTCTTGCACATAACACAAAAAAGTATACAGGAAAAAAGTGTGCATTTCAAGTATTTATTCTTCTACATAACAGCCTTCTGAAATGTGGTCGAACCTGTGTAAGACAACAGGCAGGACTGGTCAAAACAAAGAAAACAAACCATGCTCTTCTGAGGTCCCAAAACGAGGTGGTTGCAGGCTTAGGACTGCCATAAAACTAATTAAAATAATGGGGGGGTTTTTTAAGGGGACGGGAGAAATAGGAATGTTATTTTGATGTGGTTGTTTTCTTTTTTGTTGCTGGTAAAACAAAATGAAATGTGTCGGATGAGGAAGACCAAGTGACATGGAAAAAAAAATAATATGGGTCACCACCACTCAGCTAACGAGCAACACTTTTGTCACAAGTTCATGTTGACCCCCATTGTTACGGACTCAGTAGGGTAAACAGAGTGACTGCCCATCTCACATGTGATTTGTGTACGAGTTGTGGGCAGGATTATAGGTTATGGCAGATCACATGCCTCCCTCACCAGTAGCTGAAAATGTGTTACTGCTTAATCAACTCAAGTCTTGGGTAAACAGCGGGAGGGACCTGCATGACACGATCGATTCATTCATAAGAAGGACTTACAATAATGACAGGTGAACGGAAGTGAGGGATTGTCCACAGCATCAGGGGGCCGATATATAACTTGACAAAGCGCCAGGCCACGAGAGATTTGCAAGGACATCTTAAACCGGTTTTTGGTAGTTGGTTGATAAAATATAATGGTTGCGGCCAAGTTGGATAGGTTATCATTTTTATGTTGCACTATATATAGAAAAAACCCACAAGGGGGCTTGGGGGGGAATGGAAAGTGGCCGTTTGTACAGGTGGCAATAACGGCAGGTTCAAATGTACACAGTTTTTGTCCTTCAATGTTTCCTCATCAGAAAGGCATTCATTAATTATAATTAGGCCAGTGCTACTCGCCCGATGTCGGGTGGCTAGCGTCAGGCTTCTCGCCCGATGTCGGAGAGAGAGACGGGGGGGGGTGTGTGTGTGTGTGTGTGTGTGTGTGTGTGTGTGTGTGTGTGTGTGTGTGTGTGTGTGTGTGTGTGTGTTGTTATTAGAATTATTGATTCCCGTCGTTTTCTGTCTGCGTCGGTTCACAAGCTGACCCGCTGCAATACTTGTCATTATTGTACACATCATGGCCAGTCCCATCTTCATACATGACATGTATTATAATAATATTAATTTGGTCAGATAATTGCATTCAGAGTCAAACATTCACGTTAGAAATGTAACCAGTAACAATCTGACAAGACTATTAGATCTATAGAAATATGATGAGCCTTTCTTAAAAGTTCGTCTTTCTGGGGTACTGTTCTCTTTGTAGATGTATTCAGGGAGAAAGAGAATGGAAATCCAATCATATTCGGTGTCAATAGATCCTGTGAATGCCACTGATAAACTGGGAGAAAAGTTAGGTAGATGGGGGAAGTCTTTTTTTTTATAATATAAAGAAAAGGCCACATGTATGACATGGCCTGTAATATAACTTAAATAACGTGAAACCCCACCAAACTTTATTTAGGCAACACATAATAGCCAAAATAATAAAACTTGTGTAGTGTAAAGAGAATCAATAATGTAAGGTCCTTTCTATATATATATATTTGATAACATAATTTGCAGTTATTAAAAACTGTACATGTCTGACTGAATCTATAATAATAAATGTGTATTTTTTTCTTTTAATTTGACACATGGACTTTCTTCTACTTGATGCCACTCATACTCGAGGATGCATGCAATGACTTTAGGTAGAATGGAGAATAGAATAATGAGCTTGGCTTCAATCTTCAAACCGTTGTAGTTATAACATACTCTAACTTATGGCATGGTCCACTTCGCCCAAGGAATGTGTATCAAAAACTTTGGCATTAATTTCATAGACCTAGTTCACCCCTAGTGAATGTAGGAGGCCATTTATATAAGTTTGTTTATTTTTCTTTTTAAAAAACAAACGGTGGGCGTTTTTTTCATTTTGTTGTAAGGGGGGGGGGGGGGGGGGATCAACTTCGTTGAATGTGGATTCTCCATCAGTATTGTACGAAAAGGAGTGCTTTTAAACAAAATATAAATATATAAAACATAGTAGGCCTACAAGTATTCACACCTTTACACCGCCAACTGTCCGAGTTGTATGGTCCTAAAGTAAATTTGCCTCACCATAGCGACAGAGGTACACACTGCACACGATGCACAACACCTACTTTGACCATCTTTCTCCCACAAGAGAGAAAGAGAGAGAGAGAGAGAGAGAGAGAGAGAGAGAGAGAGAGAGAGAGAGAGAGAGAGAGAGAGAGAGAGAGAGAGAGAGAGAGAGAGAGAGAGAGAGGGAGGGAGGGGGGGAGAGAGAGAGAGAGAGAGAGAGAGAGAGAGAGAGAGAGAGAGAGAGAGAGAGAGAGAGAGAGAGAGAGAGAGAGAGAGAGAGAGAGAGAAACCTGAATAGATTACAAATGGTTCACGTGAAAAGAGGCAAACTGTTTCGCTCAGGTCTCTAAAACTTTGGAAAGTCTTTCCCACATATAATTCAGCTGCCATGTTGACTGATCCGACTCTTGACTTAGAGGACAAGGAGTGACAGAGTGAGTGACTGAAATTTTCGCGATTGATCACACGAATTTTAAAGGAGTGTGCTCACGGGCCAGAACACGGAACATGCACAAAAATCCCCAAGGGCTAGAAGACGAAGACTAGGCGGGGCTAATCGACCGAATTTGTTCGGCCGGAACATGCTCAGAAATCCTAGATCACGCGAGTAGCCTGGCGTTAGTCACCCGACATCGGGCGAGTAGCCACTCCGTTATAATTATCAATCATAATAGAAAAGTAGTCCTAACAGACTAATTGAATCCTTCAAATGATTCTATCATCATCATTGCCTTTCTCACCCAGGGTCAGGATATAGGCCACGAACAAGCACTCTCCACCTTTCCCTATCCTGGGCTAGTCGCTTGATGTCACTCCACGTCTTCCCACTTTTCTGTACATCCATTTCCGTGACTCTTCTCCAGGTTCCACGAGGTTTTCTCCTTGATTCTACATAATTATCTATATAACAGCATCAAGTTTTGTGCCACAGCTAAATATTGAAGTTAAAAGGAAATTGTTTTTTGTCTAGATTTCTTTGAAATTTGATGCTGGAAAAGTAAAATGAAACATCTGGCATCCAACACATAATGTGGAAAAAAAATCATATCTCAACTCTTTATCTCCGAAGGCGGTAGCCCCACTATGCCCGGGTCCTTTTTTTGGTACTAAATCAAAAAATGACAAAAACATAATTAAATCAAAACAAGTAAACCTATTTTGATAGTTTTTCATCTAACGAATGAAGTCTTGGTAAGAAACTTGTTTTCGGCAATTGGTGAAAAGTAATTTGATGTCGAAGTCGTCGTAAAGGAATGTGCCCGAGCCACTGTCAGCGGCTCACCGAAAAAGTGGTTCCGACCGCGAGCCGCTAGGAGCAGCTTGCCAGAGATAAAAAGTTAATCTAGTTTCAGTATGTGTTATACCTGTAAACTGTTCCTTTTTGTTAACTTCTAAGTTTTATTCAGTTTCTCTCATGAGAAAAGTGGGTTGCAAACACCAGCCAGTGTTGGTTACACTGTCATGATTTTGATCTGACATTAAGACATTCATCATAAGAGTGATTTTTTTATTTTCACTGTAATTTTAAAGAAGAAAATTTTCCGTCAACATCAGGTTTCGAACCTGGGACCTATTGAATGAGAAGTTTCATGGTGGTAAAGATTTATTTTCTTGCTGTTTTACCATCAGTTCCATCCCTTGATTTTCGTTAGTCTCTCTTATTTAAATTGGTGGTCAAGTCAAATTGAAGGAGAGATGATAGCACAGAGTTTCTGAATGACAAATTGTAGCTTTTGATTTTCTGCAGTCCTGCAAGAGGTTAATAAATTGAAATGCATAACCCAGCTCAACATATACATAAATACCGCTATGAGAATTGGATTTCCTGAATGCCAAGTTCATATGAAAACCCAAAGCCGATTAAACAGCAATGGGAATGGGGCATCAGGCTGCCGGGCTGCAAACTTCACGAGACGGTAAATGAAACACAGATTCTATGCCAAGCCCATGATAAGTGGACGACAAAATCTTAATATTTTAAGTTTAAGAGTAATTCACCTTCTCCCTGATGTACTGAGGTTCTTGGCAGATTTTGCACTGGACTTGTTGGCACTAGCAGCAGAGCTATGTGCACCATCAGGAATCCCTGGTCTTGAACGTGCTGCTGGGTCAGACATTCGGACACACTGAAGCCTTGCCTGACCTTCTGTTACATTTCCAACACCCGATGAGCCTGATTGTGCTGAAGAAGGGGAGGGGCTGGACATCCCACCTACATGAAAATAGAGACCATTGTCATGTGTTGTAAGTTACAGAGGATATAATTTGCCGTTGTCAGGAAGGAGTTCCGCAGCAGGCCGACCAACAAACAACACCTCACTGTAACCTTACCCATCTCTTATATAGATCTAGTTTGCACAGTGGGCCTGGTCATGGTAAGTGGCAGCCCTCTGCGGAACTCCTCCCGGTGAATTTGTAGGCGGCCTAAAAAATAAAGACAGTGCAAACATCACGACAGAGTGATTATAAAGTGGTCTGTGGAGCCATGCAAGAAAGTGAATTACTAAACAAACAAAAGTTGTGTTCCCAACTCTTGCTTTACACTTAATTACCGACAAACTGACAAAACCAACAACCCACAAACCTCCTCTTCAGATTCAGGTTAAAGGCCTAGGCCTAGACCTAGATCTCTAGATCTATCTCAGCCTCGCCTCAGGCCAGCCAGAAATTTAGAATTTTACACAGAAAACCTCTCCACCTACCAAATCAAATAGAAGGAGGATAGATCTCAGTACAGTTTCTAGGAAGTCTACATCTAGAATTATATAGATCTAGATCTAGATCTAGATCTTGAATTTCATTAGGCCGACTGACAATTACAATCAGGCATACAATCATACCAAACCAACCAAGTCCAACGACTAGATTTCTAGATTCTATTCTAGAGTGACTAGAGTCTAGGTTTATATTATTCACAGTTAGATCTAGATCTAGTCCTAAACTAGGCCTGTCTTATCGATAAAGCTGTCGTTAACTTAAAACTACTTTTCTTGTAGACAGATCTAGATCTAGATCTCTAAATCCTATTCTAAATCCACAAGGCAGGACGGAGGCTTGCTTGTCCAAAAACTAGACTAGAATCGGATCGCCAGCTGCATTTTATTTACAAAAAAAAAGGAGCGATCATTCATCGGATAAAACTGGGCTTGCGGTATTCGCCGTTCTGAATTCACTTTCACTCATAAACTTTAAACTATTTGAATTCTTCAGGCATCACTTCTACCTGAAATGTGGACTTCTTAAACCAGTAAGAACTTGATAACTTGACCCCTTCGAAGACGTGAATGAATGACAAAACTGACAACTGACAATGACGGAGTCTCCGATCTCGTAAACAGGAACTCCACTGAACGTGATGTTAGTTTCGTTATTCTAAAAAAACATCCATATTTTGTACAATTCTTATTTCTTGGAAGGGAGAGAAAAAAAATTCGGAACTCTTCAATCTAAGGGCGATAACATAGAGAACGCCGAAACTTAAGCGGCTGAAAATAGTGAAAATCTACGCCGACAGGCGCCAGTCGGTGTCTGCTAGGGGGTGCCTATTGCCGATCCCTTTAAGCTCGCGATGCATAGATCTACTGTTATCTAGTCTGCCTTCATGATCATGTACCGTATCTAGAATCTAGTTCTAGGTCTTGAGTGATTACAAATTTACAAGAATGGACTCGTCATCCGAGACGGGGAGAGGGAGAGGAGGAGAGGGAGAGGAGGAGAGGGGGAGGGAGAGAGAGGGGGAGAGAGGGGGAGAGAGGGATGAAGAGAGAGAGGGATGAAGAGAGAGGAAAAGAGGGGGAGGGGGAGAGGGAGGGAGGGAGAGAGAGGGGGAGGGAGAGAGAGAGGGAGAGAGAGAAAAAGAGTGAGGGAGAGGGAGGGAGAGAGAGAGGAGAGAAATTATCTTCCCGTGTCAGCTAGAATGTCATATAAAATTGCAATAGTATGTCATAAATGTGTCAATAACAAAGCTCCCTCATATCTTAGTGATCTCATCCTGATTTATGTTCCACCAGAGACACTAAAATATAATTAAATACTCTCTGGTTCCACCTAGATCACTAAGATCAGGCGATCAGTATCTTTTAAGAGTTCCTAGAAAAGGGGGTAAAAAATTTGCTGAAAGATCGTTCGCCCACCTTGCTCCGTCAGTTTGGAACTCTCTTCCCCAACCCTTGAGACATACAACATCTGAGTCTAAATTTTTTAAAAAATATTTAAAGACACATTTAATGACATTTTTTTTTTGTCTGTAGATTAATGTTCAATACAATGTTATGTAAATGACTATATATCCATTTATGTATTTTGTGAATTGCATTGTGTAGATTATTTTATGCTCATTTCGTGACGATGTGTAAGCGTGCACGTGTGATAAGCAAGTAGATGTGTGGGTGTGCGTTTGTTTTTGTGAGTGTGTGTGTGTGTGTGTGTGTGTGTGTGTGTGTGTGTGTGTGTGTGTGTGTGTGTGTGTGTGTGTTTGGCGTACATGTGTGTGCACATGTGTGTGCACATGTGTGCGTGTTACTGCTATGTGTTCGTGAGTGTGTATATAATATATGTGTGTGTTTGTGTGTGTATGTGTGTGTTTGCGTGTGTGTATGAGTGTGTGTATTTTATGTGTTTGTGTCGCGTGCGTGAATATTGCTAGTACATGTATTTATGTAAAGCGCCTAGAGCTGTATTTACACGGGAGTGGGCGCCATAGAAATGATCTTCATTATTATTATTATTATTATTATTATTATTATTATTATTATTATTATTATTATTATTATTATTATTATTATTATTGTTATTATTATTATTATTATTATTATTATTATTATTGTAATTCAACATCCATTTTGATAAGACACGACACAGCAAGATAAGTAGATCTCTAGACGCACAACGGAAAACTACACAGACCTCGTCTCTTCAAAATCACACACTCTACTGACACAGTAAAGCCTAGATATCTAGATCTATGTTCTAAACTCGCCCAAAAAAAGTCAAGGAACAGCTTGTGTTTTCACCTGTCAAATATAAACGTCAATATCTCACAAACTCGTTAAGATCAGTCAACCAAACTTGGCACACACACTGTCGACTAGACACAGTTTGCATGTACAGCAAATTTGCCCGCACCAGCTTCACAGTGACGGCGCAGGGCATTCTGAAACACAGTCGAAAATCATGAGAAATGTGCTAAATTTCTCTGCTTCAGCAACATTGGCATAGGGACTGTTAGCTAAAACTAAGCTTGGCACGTGCTAAACAGATGTCTTAGCTGTGATTATTGCTCCCTTACAACCCTTTATAAGCCAGCGATTTTCAGCCACGTTTCATTACAACACGATGGTCCAACGACGCTCGCTGCCGGATGTCGACAGAGGACGAGTCCTTGCCTGGCTAAAAGATGGCTCCACGTTCCCAATTGTTGCACATCGACTTGGGGTGTCCCCATCAGTCATATGGAGGCTGCAAGAACGATGACTAGCGGCCGGAAGGGTCCAGGACAGGCCTCAACCAGGGTGCCATGTTTGACCAACGACAGCATCGACCGGTTCATCGTCAGACAGGCCGTGACGTCAAGAACCACTACTGCAAACGGCACCAGGGACCAACTACGGGTGACAGCCAATGTCCACGAGAGCGAGGAGACGGTAAGGAACTGTATCCGTAGAGCCAAGTTCGCTTCTCGTGTCCCTGCCAGGCGCCCAAGGCACACGCTGCACCCAGACAGGGGATCCCACGTCTGGAGGCGCCAAGGAGAGCTGTTCCACCCTGAGTGCATCCAGCAGGTGGCGCCCTATGGAGGAGGGCCCGTTCTCGTTTTTGTTGAAATCTGAAATTGTACACACTTAATCTAAAGAGTCGAAAGCAACTTTTTGGAAAAAATGAATAAATTTGGTTAAACTGTTCTTCAGTTATCTTTGTTTGAATTTTTGTTCCTTGACTTTTTTGTGCGAGTTTAGATCTAAGAAAAAAAAATTAGTTACACCACAACACAGTTGGTATTGATGAAGCATATTTTTTGGGGGAAAAAACACTATTTTTCTTAAATATTGCTTAAAATGTAATTCTGCTCCACCCTATTTTGACGATGCTGATTTAAAAAATGTAATTAGTTTTTGTCTACCGTGAAGCACCAGCTCTGAAATGACCATTTAAAATTGTCCCCAGTCCAGTCGGGTGACGTCACACAAACCGCTGAACCCGAGTTCGAGACGGCATTGAGAGTTCGCGACCTCGGTGCTTTCTTGTCGTACCTCCATTTTTAATAACAGTGAAAACAGTTCATAACAAAGAATGAGTTAAAGAAGAAGTCTCATTTTCACTGTTAAAAAAATGGAAATACGACAAGAAAGCACTGCGGTCGCGAGTTGACAGCGAGACGCTCTTCCCAGTTTTTCGGAGTAATAAGAATGCAGTTTGGATTCCGATAAAGCCGACAACTCCGATCCGAGTTTAAAGCCGCCTGCAGTCGGCCAGCTCTATGTGGGGCAAGTTGGAAATCATAAGGGAATTTTTATACCTATCGGCTCTTACTGAGTCAGTCTCCGAAACCGGCGTCCTCTATGTTTTCACCCTAATGAGGGAGATAGCTCCGAGCCGAGGGCCGAGGAGACAGTCTCAGTCTCAGACAGTCAGACAGATAGGTCAGCTCAACATTGACTTACAAAACTAATGTAAATGAAAATGTAATATTATTAGAATGGGGTAAATTAATTGTTTTGCAAATGTAAGCAGTAGAGGAAGATGGAGTTGAGAAATTAAGGGG